CTCAACATTAACTGCGTTCAGTTTTGCTCTGGTTATTTTGTTGCTAGAGTCTCAGGAACTATTTATCCCCGTTTGGCCTCAAACCTCCATCCTCCTGGTCTCTGCCTCCTAAGTAGCTGGGATTACAGGCGTGAGCCACCACACCCGGCCAGGGCTAAAAGTTTTTGTGTAAGACATGCAAGGCTTCCCTGATTTGCAGAATTTCTGAAGCCCTCAGGTGTAGTGAAGGAAGATAATTGTGTTGACCCTGAAACATTTCAGGTGAGGTGACATTGTGTCTAGCTAGCAAAAAACAAAAAAAGTAGGGACTGGGGGATGGATGGAAATATTTATGGGATGGGCGCACAGCTGCTTATTCCGTTATTCCATCCACCTTTACAAAGTTTAAAGACAAAGTGTAAACCGCAGAGTAAGGCTATCTTCTAAAGTGAATTTAGAAACACTTTCAGAACTCAAATAAACGTTTCATCAATTTCCTGTTTCTCAGACCGCTATGTTTGAAGAGTTCCTGACAATCCCAAACCAAGGCCAAGACAAAATCAAATTAGAGTAACTAAAAACCTAACACTTTTTCAGTATCTTTCTTTGAAGACACTTAACACCCCCTTTTCTTTTTTCTTTCTCTTTCTTGTTTTTGAGGCAGGGTCTCACTATGCAGCCCAGGCTGGCCTCAAACTCCAGATCCTCCTGCCTCAGCCTCCTGAGTGCTGGGATTACAGGCGTGCGCCACCACGCCCGGCTTTCACATCCACTTATTCAAAAGCAAGTGTTGAGCATGAGCTAGGTGCCAGGTACTGAGTGCAGGGCACAGGGAACTTCCTGGAACTTCCCGGCTTGTTCACCACAAGTAAATGTGACCGGGGGGAAGAAGGAGCAGGAGATGTGGGAGTCATAGAAACAGCAGGTGGGGATGAAACGCCTTTGCCTGAAGAGGTGGCATTTAGCCCCAGAGCTGCAGGGTGTGTGGGGCTCTAGCCAGGCAAAGGTGGAGGACACTAGGGGAGATGTCCACACAGAAGGACCAGTGCGTGCAATGACTTCAAAATGCATCTTTTTCCAAGTACAATGGAAGGTTCTAGCCATTGTTTAGTTCTTTATTTAATTTTTGAGACAGGGTTTAACTCTGTAGCTCAGACTGGCTTTGAACTTGCAATCCTCCTGCCTCAGCCTCCTGGGTGCTGGGATTATAGGTGTGTGCCATTACTCCCAGCTCTAAAATGGGATTCTGGATTGTTTTGTTTTGTTTTTTTCTTGGCTGTACTGGGGTTTGAACTCAGGGCATTACCCTTGCTATGCAGGCGCTCTGCCACCTGGGCCATGCCTCCAGCCCTTTTTGCTCTGACTCTCTTTGAGATAGGGTCTCGATTTTTTTCCCCAGGGCCAGACTAGACCACAATCCTCCTATTTATGTTCCTCACATGGCTGGGATTGCAGGCGTGTGTTGCACACCCAGCTTTTACTGTTTGACATGGGGTCTCACTACCTTTTTGCCTGGGTTGGCCTCAAACTGAGATCCTCCTGATCTCTGCCTCCCACATGGCTGGGATTGCAGGTGTGAACCACATCACTCAGTTATTCACCCTATTGCTGATGGTATTTGGGTTGTGTCTAGCTGGTGCTTGCTATGTTTTAATGCTTCCTCTAAAAAGCATGTGTGGGAAACTTGATCCCCAAGGCAACAGGGCTGGAAGGTAACAATGGGAGGCACTGGGTCTTGCAGGGTCTGAGAGGATTGGTCCCAGTTATTAAAACGCCCCAGCTGCGGGTTCAATCTCTGCCCCCGTTCTGTTCTCTTGCCCTTCTGTCTCCCACCACGGGAAGAAGGCCCTTGCTGGAGCCCCTTGACCTTGATCGTGACCTTCTCAGCCTCCAGAACTGCAAGAGACAAATCTCTGTTTTTGTGAGTTCTGCAGGTTTGGGATCTGCGAAGAGTGAGCTACAGGTCACGTCCAAGGTCCCGGGGCCATTACGGTTCCAGGGTGACAAGTCCCCCGAAGCCTCCTGTGCTGGAGGCTTGCTCTCCAGATGGTGGCGGAGGTCCTGGGGACTTAGGAGGTGACTGTAGCCGAGGAAGCAGATCCTGGTCCCTTTCTCAGTCTCTGTTCCCCCCTCCCCGTCTCCCTCTCTCTCTGTGTCTCTCTGTCTGTCTCTCTGTCTGTCTCTTCTCTGTGTCTTTACCTCCCCCTCCCTTCCTCTAGCTCTCTGTGTCTGTGTCTGTCTCTCTCTATCTCTTTCTATTGCTCTCTCCAACAGTCCCCCCGAAGTGATGGTCAGGACAGACATCCTCCTTCATCTTGGGCCCAAAGCAATGGATTCCGCCAACCTTGGCCTGAACGCTGAAACCAGGAGCCAAAATAAGTCCTTCCTCCCTCCAGCTGTTCCTGCTGGCTTCTGTCGCAGGGATGAGAACCCAAACACACGCGGATCCCGTGGTCTCTCAGATCATTTTAGGACATCGAATGGAAAGGCAGAAAGAAGGAATTATCCCTTCTGAAACAATGCCATAAGAAATCACGCAGCTGTGCCTCCCTTTGAGGGCTGGGAGGGGTCCCCGGGGGGCCTGGGAACCCCGGAAAGTCAACAACCCAAACGCCCATCAGCAATAGGATGAAAGCTGAGTGCCGTGACTCATGCCTGTAATCCCGGCTTACTCGGGCCCTTACACAAGCCAGATAGATGGGCTGGCTTGGAAGAATTAGCATTCTGAATTTGGTCTGTGGGACCTTCCGAAAATGCAAAACCGAGTCGCCCCACTCCATAGAAACTGTCAGTGGATCCTTTCTGCTCTTAAGATTAGGAGCCAGGTGCCAACAAGGTCCAAAGGCCCTAACTCATCAGCAGTAACGTGAGGATGCTTGATGTTGCCTTTTTATTTCTTTAATTTTTGATGGTACTGGGGTTTGAACCCAGGGCCTTCACCTCGAGCCACTCCACCAGCCCTTTTTTGTGATGGGTGTTTTTGAGATGGGGTCTCCCTAACTATTTTCCCAGGGCTGGCTTTGAACCATGATCCTCCTGATCTCTGCCTCCTGAGTAGCTGGGATTACAAGCGTGAGCACCAGCTCCCGTCTGCTTTCACTTTTTTAAGGCAACCACAGGTTGTGGGATATTGGGGGCATTCTAGAAATTCTGCTCGCCCCTGTAATCCTAGCTGCTTGGGAGGCTGAGATCAGGAGGATCATGGTCCAAGGCCAGCTCAGGCAAATAGTTCGGGAGACCCCATTTCCAAAACAACTAGCGTGAAATGGACTGGAGGCGTGCCTCACGTGGTGGAGCGTCTGCTTTGCAAAGTGCTGAGTTCAAACCCCAGTCCACCAAACCCAAGCAAATGAAAATCCCAGCACCCAGACACTGTCTGATATTTGATAAATTGTGGTTGAATGCTTGAGCACTACGAGGCATTTCTGGAACATTTGTACCCTACAGAATAAGAAGCGAGGGTAGCCCAAACACTCTGCTACAGGGATGTCATCCATAGGCTCTTCGTAACAACAAGGTAGAGAAAGCTAGTGTCCACTAACAGGGGTTGATGACATTAATTGCAAACCTCCCATGTAAGAGAATTACAGGCAGCTCGGGCGCAGCAGCTCACATCTGTAATCCCAGCCACTCTGGAGGTAGAGATCAGGAGGATCATGGTTTGAGGCCAACCTGGGCATAAAGTTTGCGAGACCCCATCTTAACAATGGTCAGGTGTGGTGGCACACACCTGTCATCCCAGCTATTCAGGAAGCACAAATAGGAAGATGGCTTGGGCATAAAGTGAGACCCTATCTTAAAAATAACCAAAGTGAAAAGAGCTGAGGGCGTGGCTCGAGTGGCAGAGCACCTGCCTAGCAAGTGCAAGGCCCTGAGTTCAAATCCAATACCACTTTAAAAAAAAATTGTAGGAAAATCCCATAAGCAGGCTGTCTCCTTTGCTGGGCAGGTCCTGTGTGTCCAGTCCACTTAGTGGCACTTTGAGCTTGTCAACCCTGGATTGAGGTCAGCCTCACGGGTCCACAGTTTCAGAAACTGAAAACAGAGCCACCAAAAGGTCTGGGTGGCTTTTCAGCTCAGGACCCCACCCCCCGCCACGGGGGCTTCTCTTGTTACTCCCCAGCCCGTCCTCGCCAGGCCTCCAGTGTCCTCCACGCCTCGCCAGCCAGGTTGGTTTGCAGAACTGAGCCCTTAGTTAAGGTTTGTTGAGTTTTGAGGGTTTTTTAATTGGCTGTCGCCCTCCCTTTATTCCCCTGAGACATAAACAGAAAAAAAGAGAGAGATTTAATTAGCAAGGTAAGACATTCGAGTTACAGCTACCTGATCCGCAAGGGGGAAATTTAAGAGGTTGTGACTATCACTTTGTCAATCCTATATAAGGTCGGTTAGGAAGATTAAAAAAAAAAAAGCACATTTGGGTTTTTTGCTTCTTTGAACTCTTCTTTTTTTTCCCCGATTCTTCTTGGGGGAAAAACATCTAAAACGGTGAGTAGCCAGACCTACCGGACCCCAAGCTCTTCTTCTCCCCCCGCCATGCACTCTGTGCTTTGATTTTCCACTTCCCGTGGCGTTGGCTCCTGGAAGGACTTGGATCTGGTAAAGGGGACCCCCACCCCTCAGGACAGACAGCCGGGCCCCCAGAGGGTTTGCAAACAGGCCCAGGCCTCCCACGTGGGAGCCCTGCTGCGATTGGGATGCGGTTTGCTTTGAAAGGTTTGCAGCTGCCTTTGTAGTGATCGGTGCAATCTTATAGGGAACCTAAATCACCTTAGTTCTTTAGATCATATATATATATATATATATATATTTTTTTTTTTTTTTCATCTTTGGCATGGATTCAGAGAAGACAAAAGAGGAGACTGGGGTCTCTTTGTATCTGGCATAACAGGTGCTTATTGCATTTTCAAAACTGGAGACAAAAATGCACTTTTGGTGAGCCTGAGAGGGGGTACGGGCCCCTAGATGTGCGCATTCTTGCTGGCCGTTTACCGTCTGTGTTTTCTGTGTGACTCAGTAGAAAAATGAGCATCACGGATGTGCTGAGTGCCGAGGACATTGCAGCAGCCCTTCAGGAATGCCAAGGTAACAGGGGACGTGAAGAGCCGGGCTTGGTGGTACACACCTGTAATCCCAGCACTAAGGATGTTGAAACGGGAGGACTGCAAGTTCAAGGCCAGCCCGGGGTATACAGATGGAGATCCTGTCGATCTGTCTCAAAATTTAAAAAAAGTAAGAAAGCAGCAGGTGTGAACTTTGAGAAGAGAGAGGACAGGTGGGCAAATTCCAGTGGACAAAGAAGACTGGGGAAGAGGGGACAGGAGTTGACACCACAGAGCCACCCTGTCTTGGCTGTCTCAAAGTCTATGACCAGTCAAACATCCCTATGGATCACTAATATTAGAAAAGTACTTTTATTGGCAGTACCGGGGTTTGAACTCAGGCCTTGCACTTGCTAGGTAGGTGCTCTACCACTTGAGCACTCAGCCAGCCCTTTTTCGTGTTGGATATTTTTTGAGATGGAGTCTTGGGAATTATTTGCCTGGGCTGGCCTTGAACTGAGATCCTCCTGAGTAGCTAGGATTCCAGGTGTGAGCCTCCAGCATCTGGATAGAAAAGTATTTTTCAGTTGCTTTTAGTCTCTCTCTCCCTCTCTCTCTCTCTCTTTTGTTTTTTTGGTGGTACTGGGGTTCGAACCCAGGGCTGCACGCTTGCTAGGCAGATACTCTACCACATGAGCCCCTCCTCCGGCCCTAGATAAGCATTTTTAATATTTCCCCACCTTGAGTGCAAATGTAGAATAAGATCTGACGAGCACCACAATAATCCATTCTCTGTTCTTCAGATCCAGACACCTTCGAACCCCAAAAGTTCTTCCAGACATCAGGCCTCTCCAAAATGACAGCCAGTCAGGTGAAGGACGTTTTCCGGTTCATAGACAATGACCAGAGTGGATACCTAGACGAAGACGAGCTTAAGTAAGCACCCAACGCTACTGGGTAGGGCTGGGGTGCCGAGGACCCGCTGGTTCAGTGTTGGGCGTTCAGCTGAGCCTCACTAAAGCAAAGAGCGTAAATTAGCTGCCACCGTCCGTGTGGACGGGCACAGCGCTGAGACCAAGGGCAAAAGACGCTGGGTCAAGGGATTTCCTTTGACAAGGGGACCTGACAAAGATCCTGAAAGAAAACTTCCACCATGTTGGTTTCTAGAGCAAAGGAAACCTTTGTTGGCTAAGACCCTGATGATTGCAAGTACAGGGTAAAGATGGCTCCTTGGAGGAAGGAGGGAAGGGAGGTAGGGAGGAGGGAGGAAGGAGGGAGGGAGGGAGGAAGGAAGGGAGGGAGGATGGAAGGGAGGGAGGAAGGAAGGGAGGGAAGAGGGAGGAAGGGAGGGAGGAAGGAGGGAAGGGAGGGAGGAAGGAAGGGAGGGAGGAAGGAGGGAGGGAGGAAGGAGGGAGGGAGGGAGGGAGGAGGGAAGGGAGGGAGGGAGGGAGGGAGGGAGGAGGAAGGAGGGAGGAAGGAGGGAGGGAGGGAGGAGGAGGGAGGGAGGAGGGGGGATGGAAGGAAGGAGGGAGGAGGGAGGGAGGGAGGGAGGAAGGAGGGAGGAGGGAGGGAGGGAGGGAGGAAAGCAGCCAGAGACAGGGGAAGGACAGGATGACAGGAGGAGTTTGGTGTCAGAACCCCACCAACCTTTTTTCCTGCCGTAGGTTTTTCCTGCAGAAGTTTGAGAGCGGGGCCAGGGAGCTGACCGAGTCAGAGACCAAGTCGTTGATGGCGGCTGCAGATACTGATGGAGACGGGAAGGTTGGCGCGGACGGTACGTCATGCTCTATCTGTGCACGGCCTGCCGCGGGGAGCTCAGGGAGCACCCTAGGTGGCTAGGGCCGTGAGACTGGACAGTTTGGGGCTAAAATATCTTCTTAACTTTGCTGAGCCTCAGTCTTCTTATCTGTGAAATGGGAGGAAAGTGAGCATGATGGTGCTTGAGTGAAAATTCTGGCATCGCTGGGAATGTTGCCCTATGGTAGAGGACACGCTTAGCATGGGTGAGGCTCTGAGTTCGATTCCCCAGCACAAATACACAAATTCTGGGATATACCAGGCAGTGGTCCCTCTGGCCACTGTCCATGAACTAAAAAAAATTCCTTCCCCTGAGCCAGACACCGTGGCTCACGTCTGTAATCCCAGCTACTCAGGAGGCAGAGATCAGGAGGATTAAGGTTCAAAGCCAGCCCAGGCAAATAGTTCTTGAGACCCTATCTCAAAAAAACCCACTACAAAAAAAGGGCTGGTAGAGTGGCTCAAGGTGTAGGCCCTGAGTTCAAATCCCAGTACTGGAAAAAAAATTCCTCCACCTGACAAGGAGACTAGCTAGCTGCCTGGCCATCACCTGCAAGGTGTTCTGACACAGCTTGGGCAGAATGCAGACAAGGGGAGGTAGGACGATTGGATCTGAAGATAGCCCAGACAAAAGTTAGTTAGACTCTATCTCAAAACAAGCTGGGTGTGGTGGTGCACGCCTGTAATCCCAGCTGTTCAGGAGGTGGACATAGGTGAGTCACAGTCCAGCCCAGCCCAGGCAAAAGTTCAAAGCCCTATTCAAAAACAAATTAAAAAAAAAATAAGAAAAGGTCTGAGGGTGTAGCTCAAGGGCAAGGTCATGACTTCAACCCCGGGTAAAGAGAAAAAAGTGAAAGGAATTCCCACAGTGGGATTTGAACCCCTGAAGTCTGGGACCGTCATTCTCAAGTGTGTGTCACATGAAAGTCTACTGGCTGGCAGAGGAAGGTCTCTCAAAGACTTTTATTGGTATTTGCCCACAAAGCACAAGTAAGCATAGAGCCCTGGATTCAAAATTGGTCATGGCCACCTGGCCGTGGGATTGTTTTGGCTTCATTCGGTCGTGCAGCTATGTGCTGGCGTGTGTGTCAGCTCAAGAGAACTTTCTGAGCTGGGTGAGGCGGCTCACACCTGCAGTCCCAGCTTTTTATTATCAGTACCTTTCTCTTAGGAACATGAACTTGGGGGAGGAAGGTTAGGGCTTTTTGTTGTTTGTTTGTTTTGGTTTTGGGTGGGACTGGGATTTGAACTCAGGGCTTTGCACTTGCCAAGTAGGTGCTTCATGCTTGAGCCATGTTTCCAGTCCATTTTGCATTGGTTATTTTGGAGATGGGGGTCTTGAGAACCATTTTGGCCTCAAACTGCAATCCTCCTGATCTCAGCCTCTCAAGTAGCTGGGATTACAGGCGTGAACCACTGTACCAGCTAAGGTTAGGGTTTCCAAAAGAGAAAAGTTTGTTCAAAATTCTACCCTAGGGACTATCTCTTTAAAATGCAATACACTCCTACAGAACAGAGGGTGAAATAATCAGACGATGAGCTAAATGTTTGCAAATTGCCAATCGACAATCACACCGAGTTCCTTCCTTGTCAGAGGGAGAGGACAGGTGTGCTGAGTGAGTCCCTGTGTGAGGCGCAGACTTGCGGTGTCTCTCAGATAAGATTGTGCAGGGAGACAGGCTGCATCTTCCTTGACCTGCCACAGGCCACTGATTCGACATTTTTCTTCTGTTTGGACCCTTCAAGGGGGTCGTGTTTGTCATCCGAGAATTTGCTTCCTCTTCAGAACGCTCTTGGTGACAGAGAGCACGTTCCCAAAGCGCTGAGCCACCTCCACTGACCCTGTTCTCGCTTCATCTGTCCTAGAATTTCAGGAAATGGTGCATTCTTAAAAGGCCAGAGAAGAGAAAGGGACAGACAGCCGCCAGAGGTCTCTACGTCCTACCCCAAATCCATGCATCAATCCCCCCGAAGTGACTCTGGAATTTGCTCGATGTTTGAGTGAGGCAGTGACAGTTGGTGGCTTTTTTTTTTTTTTTTTTGGTGGCGGGTATGCCCTGATGACTTCTGCAAGCCCTCCCCCGTCCCCTCCCCAGACATGACTTTAAAATTCACCCAATAAAGACAGTTTCTCACCATCGACTGACGTGTGGCTGTGCTTTCTTTTTCTTTTTTTTCTCAGCAAAATAAGTGGGGGACCGGGGGGTGGGACTTTCTAAAGATCGCGGTGCCACCCGGCCCTGGGCAGCCATAGTGGCGTTGTATGTGAGGGAACCAGGTTTTAAATATATGTTCACAAATGTCACCAGTAAATGACATTGTCACACTAGGATTTTTTTCCTCCGCAATTCCTCCAACCCTGACTTTAACAGGAAGTGACTTTAGCTGAAGTCACTCTGATTAATTTTTCCTGCTTGATTGATTGCTACAAGAGAGATTTAAGTAAGGCAAGCAGAATGAAATAGATGAAGGTGTCGCCATGGGCTTAGAGACCACAAACAGGCCCACCCTGAAGTTCTTTTTTTTCTTAGAAAAATGATCTCTCAGGAACTTGCTTGTCCCCATCCCCCCTTCCCCACCTCCCCCTTCTTCTCTGCCACCATTTCCCTGGCTATTAGGTGGCACCATTCGAGCCCAATCCTTCTGTTGGAAGACTGGCTTCAAGGTCCGGTTACAGAGTGGGGCAGTCACATACCAGGACATTCTCACTAGGCTGTGTGACAGGTGGCACACAAATCTATTCTCTGACTGACCCCAAGTGCTGAGGACTCCTGAGAGGTTGAAATATTTTCCTGAGAGCTTCTTTAAAAGTTCATACTTTGTGTTTTTGGCAGTACTGGGATTTGAACTCGGGATGCTTGCTAGGCAGGCGCTCTAGCACTTGAGCCACTCCACCAGCCCTTCACTGTGAAGGGAATTTTTGAGATAGGGTCTCAGGAACTATTTGCCTGGGCTGGCTTTGAGCCGTGATCCTCCTGATCTCTGCCTCCTGAGTAGCTGGGATTACAGGCGTGAGCTAACTGTTCATTCTTTTAACTTCTCCAACACTCTCCATCTTCTGGGTCTCTTCTCCATTACTTTCTGTTTTTCAGTGAGTTTTGAACCTCTGTTTTTTGGAAGCAGTTGTTCAAAGTTTGGGGTGCTATTAGAAGAGTCTGAATCAGACTTTAGGGGAAGAGGGATCAACAGTTGGTTTTTTTTTTTGGTTTTTTTCAGATAGCATCTCACTAAGTAACCCAGACTGGCTTTGAATTTGAGCTCCTCCTGCCTTAGCCCCCCAAATGCTGGGATTACAGACATGCACCACCATACCTGGCTAACATTTTAAATTATGATGGCCATGTATTTGTTTTCATGAGCATTAGGGAGAAAAATCAAGCTACCGCCATGTGTGATTTCAGTATCGTCGGTCAGAACGAGGCCAAAGGAGGCATCAGATTTTTGGAAGTGCCAGCGTGAAGAAACTCAATAATAGCAGAACTAGCGTCTAAATGTACAAAATTCAGGAAGGCATTTTCTAATGTGTCAGAATTGGGAAATTCGCCCTTAAAATGCAGGATTCTTGCAAAGGGTCACAGAAGGATGCTAAATCATTGGTGGCTGTCTCTCCTGTCCCCTGTCCCTGTCCCCAGCCCCTGCACACACCTCCCCATCCCCCCAAACATGTCACCCTCCCGGCAGAACCAGGCCAGTTCCCTCCTCCCACAGCTGCCCTGGGTGACTGGAAATGTCCTGGAGTCCCTGAGAATGTGGACGGCGACAGCACTTCCCTGCCTGTGCTGGTCACCTAAGAGCCATGGTTCTGGTCCTTATTTTCATTTTATTTCATTACTGTTCCCCAATTAAGGTTTATTTATGCCAACGAGTGCTACAGGGGACATTCGAACTCAGAGGAACCCTGTAGCAGCCGTCCGTGGCCTTCTGGCCATCACCAGCTGAGTTTTGAAGACACGGTAGATGATGGTGGTGCAAAAAAAAACCCATGAGACCCTACTAGAAAAATAACTGAAGCCAAAAAAGAGTTGGCGGAGCCGATCGAGTGGTAGAGCGCCTGCCTAGCAAGTGCAAGGTCCTGAGTTCAAATCCCAGTGCTGACAAACATATGTGTGTGCAATACCGGTGTACGTAGATACAGCTAAGAGTTTGCGTGTGCATTTGTGTGTGTTCTAGCCACACGGAGAGACAAAGCTGCACGTCTGCTTTTATAGTTGTGAGTGTGTGTGCGTGTTTTCACAGCAGTTTTTTCTAGCTCAAAAACCAAGTGTCGCCAAGATCAGATATAACTTCAATTTATTCAGGCTTACGAGGCACATCGACCATCCTGCCTGGCAGCTACACCTTCCTTTTGTGTGGCGAGGGCTCGGGGATCCCATGGCAAGCAAAAACCGATCTTCGTGTCTTTGCTGTCACCCGGGGATGGAATTACTTTGCAAACACTTAAGAAGACACTGAAATGGAATCACCAGGCTATTTCCACCCGGCCTGTTAATTTATTCACTAGAAACACTATGCTTTTACAGGTTTCCCTCCTCTCCAAGAGTCAACTTTTTAAATTTATTTTTTGTGGTGGTAGGGTGGATTTTTGGCATTCCCGAGTAGACTTGCATCTCAGGTTGTTTTAAGTCATAAGGCTTTGAACACACAGCCGTGAGGCCAGAGCCACGTGGCCCTCACTTTACTAAACCTTGTCATCACTTGGATGATGGCTTTGTAAGATGTCAGCCTGCTGGGACTGTAGGGACCCTGTTTCTCGGGGGGGCACCAGACGTCATCTGAGACCTCATTGGCTAGCTCACCTCCTTGCTCCCCAATTTCTGTCTGTGGCAAAGGACACCAGATTTTCCCTGGGGCACCCTCATCTCTCACTTCCACCATCAGAGCTGGAGGCAGCAAGAGACTGACACGGGGTCCAGTCTGTCTTGATCTGTTTTTTTGTTGTTTGTTTTTTGCTGTACTGGGCTTTGAACTCAGGGCCTTACACTTGCTAGGAAGGTGCTCTGCCATTTGTGCCACTCTGCTAGCTTTTTGAGATGGGGTCTCAAGAACTATCTGCCCGAGCTGGCCTCGAGCTGTGATCCTCCTGATCTCTGCCTCCCGGGTAGCTAAGATTATAGGTGTGAGCACCAGCACCTGGTCTTATCTGTTTTGTGGTTGTTGTTGTTGTTCTCACTGTCCCCAACTTTACATCCATCCCTCATGGCTTCCTGCTCTGCAGAAGTCAAGTCTCAGCTGCAGGCAAGAAGTCAGAGCCTTCCAGAGACTGTGCAACCAACCGTCACAGGCTCACAGCATCTGTGATTTTTGACATATATTCCACAGTGACATAATTGCATAGCACCTGTAATTTATGTCTAAAATGACATTTACTCCATAGAAGTGTTTTCTGGTAGTTCTGCCTCTCTGATTAATAGAACTCCATTCTATTTGCTCTTTTTTTTTTTGAAACAGGGTCTTGCTACATTGCCTGGGTTGGCCTCAAATTTGTTGGCTCAATCCACACTCCTGCCTCAACCTCTTTAGCTGGTACTCAGGGCTGGACTGGGGCTGTAGCTCACTGGCAGAGTGCATGGCCAGCTTGTGCAAGGACCTGGGTTTGATCCCCAACATGATAAAACAAGTAGTGATGAGCTGGTTGTCAGTGGCTCACGTCTGTTATCCTAGCCACAAAGGAGGCTGAGAGCAGAAGGGTTGTGGTTTGAGGCCAGTGAGGACAAAAAGTTCATGCAACCTCATCTCAACCCGTAGCTGGGTGCAGTGGTGTGTGCCTCTCACCCCAGCCACAGTGGGAAGTGTACAGTAGGAGGAGTGAAGTCCAGGCCAGTGTGGGCAAAAAGCAAGACGCTATCTCCAAAATAACCAGAACAAAATGAGCTGGAAAAAGTAAAGGGCTGAGGGCGTGGCTCAAGTGGCAGAGCACCTGCTTTGCAAGCATGAAGCCCTGAGTTCAAATCCTAGCCCACCAGAAACAAAAACACAAAAAAAGATAGCCTCGCTCAGTTCCCAGAGTTTAGTAGTCGTTTGAGCAAAGTCAAAGGGAGAAAGCTGCTTTACTTTCTTTTTAATTACATTATAACTTACTATGAGGCTTAAAGCAAAGTACACAGCATCTGTGTGGGTTTTTTTTTTTTTTTTTTGGTACTGGGGCTTGAACTCAGGGCCTAGACCTTGAGCCACTCCACCAGCCCTTTTTTTGTGATGGGTTTTTTCAAGATGGGGTCTCAAGAACTATTTGTCAGGGCTGGCCTCAAACCTCCTGATCTCTGCCTCCTGAGTAGCTGGGATTACAGGCGTGAACCACCGGCACCCGGCCTCTGTGTGCTTTTATGTCAACTGCTTACATCTGAGCTCCTGGCTCCTGTTTTCACTCCTCACTTCCCCTGATTTAAGAGGTGTACATTGCAGTCAACACTCTCCCCGCAATACTGACCCCTGGGTAGAGAATTTTCCAGAATATTCGGTCCACTTATGGCCAGAACTCTGTCAGCATGACATGCAGCAATTGAGCCCTAATGGAGGAAATTCCATCTTTGAGGTCCATTTGTCCAACTGCCTGCTCCTTACCTCCAGAATTCATTCAACACACATTTAATGTGTGCATTGAGGCAGGCTCTGTGTTAGACAAAGGAACAAGAAGGTGACTTGGACACAGTCCTACCATGGAGAGGTAACTTGTCCCGGATCACTGACCCTGGAACTGTTGAGTGACTTTCTACTTGGACTTGTGCCTCTCCCACACCTCATTCCCTGGAAGATCCCAAAGTTGTAGACGTTTATGACTGAACTTTCTTGGACTCCGTCTTGAATGTCACAGTCATAATGTAGAGTGATGTCAGTCAGTTTGGCTTCCTTTTCTCCTTTCTGTCCCGAGGTTGTGGGGAAGAGGCTGACATGCCAAGGCTCAGTCCACGAAATGACCACGGAGCCCTCCTCCTTCCTCCCAAGTGTCACGGTCTTGAGTGTCACAACCACGTCTCCCTCTTCTTGACCTTGGAGGCTCTTAGCTGAGGGTTTCTGAGTTATTTCTGTGCACAAGTGCATTCGGGGACTTCCTAAACTAAGGAAGGGCTTACTGCCATCTCCCCTGTGACCATGGTTAGTCTCCCTTGCCAAATCATTCTTGACCCTGGGGGAACTCTACAAGATTTGTCACCTCCCCCCTGTGCAACAAGGAAGCAAGACACATGTCCTGTCCACTCTGGGGTCTCCAAATGTAGGTGGTGTCACTATCGCTCCCAGTAAAGAGGACACGTGAAGAGTCATTTAAGATTTTATCATACCTGGCTATGGTAATCCCAGCTACTTGAGACACAGAAACGGGGAGGATTGGTTCAAGGACAGCCTGGGCAAAAAGCTACTGAGACCCCCTTCTCAACCAGTAAGCTGGGGACAGTGGCATGCCCCTGTGATCCCAGCTACTTGGGAGGCACAGGTAGGAGGACTGCAATCTGAGGCTGGCCCAGGGCAAACGGTGTGAGACCCTACCTAAAAAAAATTAGCCAAAGTTAAAAAAGAAAAGAAAAGAAAAGAAAGCTGGAGCCGTGGCTCAAGTGGTAGAGCACCTGCCCAGCAAGTAAGAGGTCTTGAGTTCAAATCCGAGTAGTGCCAAAAAAAGGATCTTATTGTAGAGGTGATAATAACTCCCACTTCCATCAGTGTTATGAGAGCATGCATTGGGATCTCAGTTTTCTTGCTTTCTTGGCTTCGGAATCTTAAAAATATTTCCAGGTGTTTTGTATCATCTCTTTCTTGTGTTGATTAATACAACTAATTGTAGGGTTGAGCAAAACTGGGCAAGGAAGTAGATGTGTTATGGAAGAGAGCGTGACTGGCACTACAGCATTTTAATCATACATTTACACAGTGCTTTGTACTTTACAAAGGGCTCTGATTTGCAATAACCCAGGGAGTCAGGTATTAGCCTCATTTTAAGAAATTGGGGTTCAAAAGGTGAAGGGATTGGCCAAAGGTCAGAAAAGGTAAACGACAAAAAAAAAAAAAAAGCCACACAACTCAAATGCATGTATTTGACAGAAGAAGCCTGGGTTCTTCCTCTATATTTTATTTTATTTTTAATTTTTGCAGTACTGGGATTTGAACTCAGGGCCTTCACCTTGAGACCCTCCCCAGCCCTTTTTTGTGATTTTTTTTTTTGAGATAGGGTCTTTGAACTATTTGCCTGGGCTGGCTTTAAACCATGATCCTCCTGATCTCTGCCTCCTAAGTAGCTGGGATTACAGATATGAACTACAGCACCTGGCTGGGTTCTTCCTCTTATTCTTCTAGAAGCATGTGCTCTGAGACAGTAGAAAGAATTCTTCATCCTGGAGTTTTCAAACAATGTTCCCTGGAATCCCAGTAGTTCTATATGTGGGTTTTAGGGTTCCCAAGAGAGATAGGGATGGTGGGTGGCTCTTGGAAAAGGTCACAGGAAGGTACTTCAGGTCTCAGTCCACAGTCTGCCACCTGAGCCCTCATTCAACCCTGGCAGCTGGGTCTATTTTACTGTAAGTCCGCATAACACTTTTTGGGGAACAAAGAATGTGTGCAAGGATGGAAAGAGTTCTGCTGTCTTTAAACTTTTGTTTAAATTACTGTTTCTATGCTTACTCATGTACTTCATTTTGGGGGGGTAGCCCTGGGATTTGAACTCAGGGCCTCACACTTGCTAGGCAGATGCTCTACCACTTGAACCATACACCCAGCCCATTTTTACTTCAGTTATTTTAAAAATAGGATCTTGTGTTTTCACCCAGAGCCAGCCTGGACGGCTATCCTCCTACCTATGCCTCCTGTGCAGCTGAGATTACAGACATGTACCACCACGCCTGGTTTATTGATTGAGATGGGATCTTGCTAACTTTTTGCCTGCACTAGTCTCAAACTGTGATCCCCCATCTCCACCTTGAGTAGCTGGGATTACAGGCGTGCACCACCACTTCCACCTCACTTAATTCTTAAAGTGAAACTTGCACCAGGCGGGAATTAACTAGTAGTCACTTGACAAATAAGAGACGGGGAAGAGGCTAGGGGATGGGTGCAAGGTCTCACACTTAAGAGATATGTACCAAGATCTGTCTCACGTTCAAATCCAAAGGCATTGCCTCCCTAAGTGTGAAAGTCCGTAGTGCCAGGCTGACTAAGGAAGGTGGTCGTGTTCCCAATCGTCACACACCCGGCAACAAAACCAAGGTCTTCTTGAGTTTGTTGTGCTGCAGGGGCTCGAACTCCAAATACCAGACCTAAGGAGCCCTTCCAAGTGTGTCACAAGCCACACGACCCAGAGGCAAAGCAAGGCGATCCCAGTCGTTGCCATGATCTGATTAAAGGCAGCAAGGGGCGAGCGCCACACAGGTGGCTGCTCCAGAGGCCACCCGCAGGCTCCCCAACCCGGACTCTGAAGATGATGCACATAGGACTAAGGCCCGAGATGCTGCACGTTGGCCCCTAAACTTTGCTAACTGGGGCTTCTTTTGTATCCTCACACTCCCTGCTCAAAACAAAAACCATGTCTGCTGCATTTGAGATCCGTTAGCAGCGACAGAAATTCAGGAACCAATAAAATGCATTTCACCACGGTCCCAACACGGACGGAATCGGGATCCACTCGGACCGGAATAAAAGGGGACGCTGTGCGGCGGGTTCGTCTTCCGGGCCAGTAGCAATCACTTCCGGGGTAGCAGAAGCGAGGCGGAAGTGCCGTCTCCTCGCGGCTGCTGTCTCTCGGGCTGGCCCAGGGAGGAGGCTCCCGGGGAGGGGGCCGGGCCGGGATGGCGGCAGCGGCGGCCGGGACGGGGACTTGGGCCGCTCAAGAGAAGCAGTTCCCGCCTGCACTGCTGAGTTTCTTCATTTACAACCCGCGCTTCGGACCGCGCGAGGGAGAGGTAACGCGGCGCGGGCGGCCGCGGCGGCCATGGGGCGGCAGGGCGCGCGGGGGCGGCGGCTCCGGTCCTTCTGTCCCCAGTTGGAGGGACACTGGCCCAGCCCGCCCTGTGCCAGGTCGCGGGACATGGCGGGAACCCGACCTGACGTGGCAGGTGCCGCTGCCGTCCGCTAAAATGAAGAATGTCCGTAAGGTTGCCTTCGCTTTGCGCGTCACTTTTGGAGAATTGACATTGAACTTGGCTTTGTTCATTGGGAGAGTGGAATCAGATTGGTGGAAACCCCCCGCCTCCCCCCCAAAAAAGTGCAATCTTAGGGACCCTCGGAAAGTTTTGGGGCTTTTTTGGTAGGACAGGGAACTCACGGCTTCCAGCTTGCAAAGCAGGTGCTCTACCCTTTGAGCCACTGCTGTCCATTTGCTGTGCTTATTTTGGAGATGAGGGCTCATGAACTATTTGCCCAAGGCTGACCTCGAACTGCGATCCTCCTGATTTCAGCCTCCCAGGTAGCTGGGATTACAGACGGGAGCCACCGCGCCTGGTCCCAGCTATGTTTGTTGACAGCAAATCAGGTCGCATTACAGCCCTGGTTTAATTACAGCTGGGTTAAATTAGGATTCCTGTGCACCTGCTTGTTTCTTGCACGCGTGGATGTGTTGCAAATCAGCACAAATGTGGAGAAGAAATCCAGAGATTTTCACTAAAAATTATCTAGCACTGCTTTACATGAGATGTGGTTTCAGTTTGATCACAATTGCCTTCCAGACTGCTGAGCAGTATTTACACAGTAAGGGGAAGATAATGACTGGTTTTCTATTTTTAAAATATTTTTCATTGCCTTACTAAAGATTTGAACTCATACCACTTAAACCACACACCCCCCCAGCCCTAATTCCTGGTTTTCTGAAAAGGATTTTTTGTTAGGATGTGTGACAGGATGGGTGGACGTTACGCCTAGCGGTTTCAACAGTTAAGATGAAGAAATGCTTAGGTGAGTGTTGTGTTTCCATTCTTCCCTCACACTCTAGGAGGAAAATAAAATTTTGTTTTATCATCCAAATGAAGTAGAAAAGAACGAGAAAATTAGGAGCGTTGGATTATGTGAAGCCATCGTGCAGTTTACGAGGTAAATGCCTTTCACTGACCTTGTGTAGACTTGGTGCATTCTCGAAGCTCACACTGGACGACAGTTACAAATGTGTGTTTTAATTCTTTTAGGACCTTTAGTCCATCAAAACCTGCAAAATCCCTGCATACACAGAAGAACAGGCAGTTCTTCAATGAGCCAGAAGAAAATTTCTGGATGGTCATGGTATTTACACCCACGCTGTTTCTTTTTGGGGTTTCATGATGACGTTTTGGGTGATCTTTATTGTTAGAAATCACAGTTGCAATTTAAAAATCAAATTCCTGTTTTGTGTATTTGTTCTCGGGACTCTTTTAAGGAATTATATTTCTGGTGGTGTAACATGTTAACTATTACTTATTTTTGTGTGTTGCTGGGGATTAAAATGAGGGCTTTGAGCGCACGCCAAGCAAGCACTCTACCACAAGCTACATCACCAACCCCAGATTGATGTATTCAAAGCAAAATTAAATTGATTACGTATGTAATTGATTTATTGTATAATTTCAGTTTATCACTCTTTGTAGGTTGTTCGGAATCCTATAATTGAAAAACAGAGTAAAGATGGAAAACCAGTTGTGGAGTACCAAGAAGAGGAGCTGTTGGTAATGAGTCACTTTTTTATTTCATATTTTTAGGGAAAACTGGATCCTTGAATATGTCGAGTGCCTTAGCTTTCTACTGGTGGCTTCTCGGGAAACTTGTTTCATAGGAGAGTTCTGTGTTTATTGTCTACCTTGGTACAAACTTTATAAAATGCATTGATGGCTGTTGCACTAATGCCTTCTGTTTATTGTCATCTGTGTGTGAAGTCCTTCTAGAATTAGGCTTGCTGGTTTGCATATTTGAATTTAAATACCTCTTATTTCAGCACCCAGCTGTTGCAGGACCAAGTTTTTACTCACTAGAGAGCTTTGCCAAGAGTCAGGGAACCTCTGCTGCACCCTCAGTGTGATCTGTGCTGTTTTCTTCTGTTCGTAGGACAAGGTCTACAATTCAGTGCTGCAGCAGTGTTACAGCATGTATAAGGTGAGCACAGTGGCTGTCCAGTTGCCCCTGTTCTCAAGTTCAGGGCTTGTTTAAAAGTAATTCTTAAAGACTGCAAAATGACTGCACATCTGTTTTAGAGGAGAAAATAATGGGGCCTTCAAAAGAGTAGTGAGACTTTCACATACATTTGTCTCATAAATGATGTACTCCATTCTCTCTCTCTAGACTTATACAAGGACTAGATGCCCGTTGGTGAACAAATGAGTCCATATTCTTAGGGAGTTTGTAGACAGCAAATATTGTTACAATTTAAAATGCCTCGTGTCTGGTAGTGTGGCTCATGCCTGCAATCTCAGCTACTCTACACGTGGGGATCAGGAGGATCACTGTTCGAGGTCAGCCTGGGCAAGAAAAAAATTAGTGAGACCTTCATTTCAATCAATAAGCCAGGGGTGGTGGCACGCAGCTGTGATCCCAGCTACTTGCAAGGCTGTAGGTAGGAGGATTGTGGTCTGAGGCCAGGTAGGGTAAAAAGTGTGAAATCCTATCTGAAAAATAACCCAAAAGCAAAAAGGAATGTACCACTGAAGTGGTACAAGGCCTGGAGTTCAAATCCAAGTACTGCCCAAAAAAGGGAAAAATACTAACTGGTGAGATACATACGTACACACGCATGTGCATGCACGTGTGTTTGGGTGGGACTGGGGTTTGAACTCAGGGCTTCATGCTTACAAAGCAGGCACTCTGCCACTTGAGTCATGCCTCCAAACCTCAACTGGTGATATTTTTATATAAAATTAAACTTAGGCATGAGTTGAAAATGTATAGAACCTCATCTTGCTGAGCGCAGTGGCCCAAGCTCCTGTAGCCCCAGCCGTTAGGTGAATGAGGCAGGAAGATCACTTGAGCCTGAGAATTCAAGACCAGCCTGAGTAACAGAATGAGACCCTGTCTCAAAAAGATCCAAACAGGATGTGACATCTGTCACTCTGTTGATTGCCAGGGTTGATCTGGCTGGCTAGGTGGGTGTCCCTTCCTCCCACCATTCCACATTCGTCCCTCCCAGAGCTGCATGCTTGGTCAAAGACGATGACCTTCCTGATGGAGGAGGACTGTTCTTTGGTCAAGGGAATGTAAGTAGCTGCGCTCCCCCTCTAGAACAGCCAGACAAGCTCTCAAAAATACAAACGAAAGGAGCAGTTAGGCAATTTCATAAAAATAGCAGCCTCACCTAACAGTGTTTTGGGGTTTTGTTTGTTTTGGGCTTTTTTTTTTTTTGTGGTACTGGGGTTTGAACTTAGGTCCTATGCTCACCAGGTAGGCGGTCTACCACTAAGCCACACCCCAGCCCCTTTTGCTTTTGTTACTTTTTTTTAATAGAGACTCACTTTTATTCCCAGGCTGGCCATGACTGTGATCCTTCTATTTACAGTTCCCATGTAGCTGGGATGACAGGTCGGCACCACTGTGCCCAGCTTTTTACTATTGAGATGATGTCTTGTACACTTTCTGCCCAGGCTGGCCTTGAACCATGACTCTCCTGACCTCCACCTCATGAGTATCTGGGACTCAGGCATTAGCCGCTGTTTCTAGCTAATGGTGTTTTTTTTTGCAATCTATTTTATGAGTAGGGCTTTTATACAGAAATATTTTCCTTATTTAAAAGGAGCTGGGAGGGGGACTACTACACTGATTAATTAAAAGGAAAAGGAGAACTCTTTAGAGTTGGAAATTGATTCTTTCCACCATGTTTTGCATTGTTAGCTGTTTAATGGGACATTTCTGAAAGCCATGGAAGATGGAGGTGTCACGCTCCTGAAGGAAAGACTGGAGAAATTCTTCCATCGGGTAAGTATTTTGAATTTTATTTTATTTGTAATTTTCATAGTATTCAAACAGATCTTTAGGGAAATACAAATTCAGGTAGGGTGTAGCTCACTGGTAGAGTGCTTGCCTGGCATGTGCAGGGCCTGGCTTCCGTCCCCAGCACTGGGGGGTGGGAGGAGGGGAAGGAATGATGAAGAGAAACACAGATACAAACAGGTTTGTTTCTTATCTCCAAAGCCCCAGAACTTGAAAGTAGCAAAGAGCCTGGGAGGTACGATGGCAAAATCAGAGCAGCAGGGAACTCCTTGGGCCAACACTCTTGCAATTCTGTCTGTCTCTCTCTCTCTTTTTTTTTTTTTTTTCTGTGGGTCTTGGATTTGAACTCAGGGGTTTGCCCACTTGCAAAGCAGGCACTGTACCACTTGAGCCACACCTGCAGTCTCTTTTACTCTGGTTATTTTGGAGATGGGGTCTTGTGAAATATTTGGCCTTGAATTGTGATCCTCCTGATCTCAGCTGTCCAAGTAGCTGGAATTATAGGTGTGAGCCACCATGCCCAGCTTTGCAGCTGTCTTCCAACTGTTTGTGTAGGATCAGAGATTCCTGCCTCTGTCCAGTGCTCCTGGAAGCATTTTGCAGACACCTTTGGCCTCTTCATTGTTCTACCTGTGTCTGTGTGCTGTGGGCTTACTCAAAAGCGATCTTACTATGTGTTGTATTATTTGACTAGCAAAATTTAAACAAATACCAGACTTGCACATTCCTCTGAACAGTCATAATCGTTGTGGGAAGAGGTTTTGGGGGCAGGTGTGGTGGAGCACACCTGTAATCCCAGCTACTTGGGAGGCGGAGAGAGGAGGATTGTGGTCTGAGGCCAGCCTGAGCAAAAGTGCAAAAACCCCATCTGAAAACCAAACTGAAAGTGAAAGGATGGGGGGGGGTGTGGTTCAAGATGTAAAGCGCCTGCTTAGCAAGCATGGGCCCTGAATTCAGTCCCTAGTACAAAGAGGAGAAAGCTTTTGGCTGTGACACGGATTCTGTCACGTCAATGACTATTAGTGAGTGCAGTTATGTCCCAGGTGATAACTGTCTCCTGATAGTTGCTGTTCTCTATCGTAAACTGAACTTAGCTTGTGCTACCCTACTTTTCTGTCAAGTTCAGTTTACGCTAAGGTCGTGATTGTCAGTTTATCTTCTGCCTAAAATACCTCTCATGTCTTTCTTTGAATTCGGCTTTTCTCTCTAAAGTGTCTTCCATGCTCCCCACCTTTCTGTGCTGATATGGGAGCCAGGGCCTTAGTGTGCCTGTCAGTGCCCCACCAAGAGCTGCACCCAGTCCCACCTGTTTCTGTGAATTTCCTTTCCCCTTCTCTTGACTTCATGATGTTAGTGCTGTCATGCTCTCTTGACTTGTGTTCATGTCCTCATCACCATCTTCTTGAGGGTACAGCTGTCACCCTGGCTGTGTCCTGCTGGGCGGGACTGTCTGTCCCCAGCATTTTGGTGAGTGTCCCCAATAAGCTTAATCTGAGGAGCACTGAGAGGAGTGCTGAGTCCTCAGACACAGAGGAAGGAGCGCTCCCCACCTCGGTTCAGCTTATATTTTGAAGCTGGCACTGACTTCAGGTCCAGGGGCCAGGCTTACCTACCCCCGTTGGTCTTGTCGCTGCGCATGGCCATCCTGCAAGTATCTGTCTGATGCTAGGGGTAATTGTCTCAGTTGTCAGAGGCTGCTGTGCTGTCACTCAGCCTTGACTTTATTTTTTTTTATTTTTTTTAATTGTTTTATTATTCGTATGTGCATACTTGACTTTATTTCCCTTGTAGTATCTGCAGACGCTCCATTTGCAGTCATGTGACCTACTTGACATTTTTGGTGGGATCAGCTTCTTCCCATTGGACAAAATGACTTACTTGAAAATCCAGTCTTTTATCAATAGGATGGAGGAAAGCCTGAACACAGTGAAATACACTGCATTTCTCTACAACGATCAGCTCATCTGGTAGGTACGCCGCAGACCTGCATGGAAGAGGAGGCCGGGCGATGGCAGCAGCAGCGGCTGGGTAGACAGCAGGTTGTCGCATAGGAAGTAGTCATGGGGGATGGTGGGAAGCTTGTTAGATATTGTCAAAACAGCACAAGGATTATGAAATATTACAGTAATTAAAATTACCAAGCCTGAGGACTTAAAGCTGGTTCCATGCAAGGAGGGGAAAATGGCCTATCACGTCAAGCTCAGGAATCCTGATTGTAGTTTGGTGTTTTCCAGAAACCTCTTCAAAGAAATGGTATATTTAGAAAGCATCATTTTTACACTTTTTTTTTTTTTTGTGGTACTGTGGTTTGAACTCGGGGCCTTCACCTTGAGCCACTCCACTAGCCCTTTTTTTGTGAAGGGTTTTTTCAGGATAGGGTCTTCCAAACTATTTGTCCAGGCTGGTTTTGAACCTCGATCCTCCTGATCTCTGCCTCCTGAGTAGCTGGGATTAATAGGTGTGAGCCACCGGCACCCAGCATTTTCATACTTAAGAAGCTAGAGGTTATTGTAAAATAAGCCAAGATGACCAGAGTGTTACATGAATGAGGAAGTCATCAAATACAGTCATCAAACTGTGTTTGTGCCCTGGAGGGGGAACAAAAACATCATTCTTTAAAATAAAAAACAAAAGCATCAGTGCACAAGTGAAAAGGTAAGCTGTTATTATTGAGTCAGTTATCTAAGACTAAACTCCAGAGAAGCTGCTGATGAGTGGATGTGACCCCAGGAGTCGAATGCAGCCCAGTCTGCCTCCCAAGGCCTATGCTGGCAGAGATGAGTTCCTGAGTTCCCACAGGGAACACTGGCAGCTCTCCAGCAGTGCTCTGGGGCCCTCGGTTTTTATGGTGGTGGTCACTGTAACTCCTTTTCTTACATTCAGAGCGTGGCCATATTTTAGCAGGAAAAACTGAGGTCAGCTGATAGAAAGGTAGAGCTGATCATCATGAAACCTGCCCCTCCCCTGCCAGAATCCTGTAGGTGTGTTTGAGGAAGAGACACAGAATCATCTGAAGGAACTCGAATGCATTTAGTAAACAGCTTGGTGGGTTTCCGTGAGGACCTCACCTCCTATGAAGTGAGAATCTGCTGCCTTGCACCACATTAACTGAAGGAAGTGGTGATGCTTATGTCCTGTCAGCAGCGCGAGACTTCTCAAGCTGCTGACAGAGGACAGCTGAGCTGCTCTACAAGGGAGGATGACGGAGGTGGCCAGGAGGGTGGCAGCCATCCCTGCTTATCCCCACTGTCACAGAAGGGTAGCACACAAGTCCTGCTGTGGGCAGGAACCCTGGGAGTAACAAAGGGGAAAGATGCAGCGTCAGTGAGTCTCCAGTCAACTCAGCAACTTGTGCTGAGAGACTCGAGCCAGAGTGCCCACCAGGATTGGCGCCTGGAAACCTCGACATCCTCTACCTCCTGCCCGGCTCCAGGGGATCCTCCCAGCATCATCAGTTAGGAGCGGCATCCTCTGATAGAGGGGACAGGGTGAGATGGGTCCCAGGAGGCAGAGCCTTAAGAAAAATAGCATGTTTTCTGGGCGTGGTGATGCATGCCTATAATCCTCGTTACTTGGGAGGCAGAGGTAGGAAGATTGAGGTCTGAGGCCAGGCCAGGCAAAAGGATGAGACCCTAAAAGCAGAAAGGACTAGGAACACAGCTCAAATGGTAGTATGCTAAACATGAGTCCCTGAGTTCACCACCCTACCAATGAAAAAAAGAAAAAAATAGCACATCTTGACGGTGAATTGCTTGTACTAAAGCTGGCATGTTTCAGTACCAAGGAAGAATTAGGTACTTATGAGCAGGGTGGGTGGGTATTGACTCTGACCACATCACAGGGTGCTGGCACGTGTGCACGCAGTACTCCGGGTGCTCAGTTCTGGGCAAGGCATTGGCAGAAAGTATCTTAAGAGTTCTGTCTGGATTATTTGTAACAAGTGGATTGTTTTTAGTGTGGGGGGCACTGGGGTTTGAACACAGGGCCTCGTGTGTGCTAGGCCAGCGCTCTGCCTCTTGAGTCAACCCTCAGCCCTGGATTTAGTGTTTGGGGCTTCCATTTCAGGGTTAGGGATTTATTGCTGATGGTGAGGTAGGGGGTGTCTACTGGCCTGAGTTTTGGGCTTATTTTTTTGAGAAGTTTTTCTTTAACATACTGATGTACTTTTTAGGAATTGACACATTTCTTAGTAAATGTCTTAGATACCTGTTAAGCTACTCAAAGTCCTTATTCTGTGCTCCTGCTGCATGGCTTTATATTGAACATGGTGAGGTAACGAAGTCTGCTTCACACTGGTCCTCACAGGAAGGACTCTGCCCTGGGTGACAGCCACCCTTGCTTCTGCTGAGAAGAGCCCCAGACAACCTGTGTCTCCAGTAGAGATGGAGTCGGGTGACAGGTGAAAGTCTGTAGCAGTGAAGTAAAAATGGTCCCAAATTATGTGTAAAATGAGAACAGTCAGTGGCAGCAGGTGTGCACGGTGACTCAGCTGGGCTGTGAGCAGTAGAGAATGGTTTGGAGGGTGTTTGTTTTGTTTTGTTGAGACAGTGTTGCCCAGGCTGGGCTCCAACTCCTGGCTTCATGCAGTCCTGTCTCAGCCTCGTGAATTGCTGGACTACTGGCCTGTGTCCCTGCGACTAACTTGGGGATTGGGGTTTTCAAAGAAGAATGTTCTGAAGTAAGGATATTTGAGAGATGTGGGGAACGTCTGTGCTTCTGAGTTGGAGTGAGTGATTTCTTGTTCCACCCAAGCCATTGGTGGAGTCCTGCATCATTCCTGCCGTGTTATTTGTGGTCAGGAACAAGCTCTTCTGTTTGATTTTTACAGACTTTTCATTTTGAGGTGCTTGAAGGCTCAATGTGAGCAGCGTTGTCACAGCGCCATGATGCTCCTTAACTGTGATACGGTACTGCTGCTTTGATCTTTGGGGAGAGGGCCTGCCAGTGGGGACCAGATGCTGGATAGAGTGGCCCTGGGAGGCTGGCGGAGACTTGCAGGAGGCAAGGGCTCTCGACAGCCATGTGGGAGCCGCCAGCTGCGGCCTGCACTCTGACACTGCCTGTGTGGAGTTTGGCTGAGAGGCCTGCTGGGACTTTTTCTTTCAAGTGGTGTATGCAAGGCAGGCCTGCAGAGCAGTGGCCCTTAAGAGGTCAGGACAAATCGCTGGTGCCAGCACTGGGACCTAACTTGTTCCCTTTCCGAACTTCTCAGTCAGGACAGCTCTTTCATGGAAAGGAAGAGTCGGTGAGCTTTGTCGTGAGCAGCAGGAAGACAGACTGTCCTAAGCTTCTAACCCAGTGCTTTTCTGCTGTTTCAGGAGTGGATTAGAACAAGACGACATGAGAATCTTATACAAATACCTCACCACCTCCCTGTTCCCCAGGCACATTGAACCTGAGGTATGTCTGGGCGTGGCACATGCACATGCTTTCTGATGGACTCGGGTGAGGAGGACGGCACATGGCACCCCTGAGCTGTGCTCTGTGTTAGCAGCATGATCTTTAGTGATATTTAGTTGTATATTGGCCAGTAGCACAGAAAACTGTCCGGTTCATTGGGTGTTTTAAGAGAAGCAACGCGTAAGATAGAAGGAAAACCCGGTTTTGGGTAGGGTTAGGGGAACCTGAGAACGGCATGACCTGTGACAAAGCCTGGCTGATGCCACAGCCTCTCCATCTGCCAGCATGAGGTCTCACTGTGAGTGGATGGCTTATTGTCTGCCTGGCTTTTCCACTCTGGGGGTTAATTTTCCCAGTTTTCTGCAGAGAACTTTAAACAGCAGCGTTTTCCCCAAGGCATCCTTTGTAGCTTTAATTAGGTTGGAAGTGAAAAGTGTTCATAGCTCATAAAATCCATTTTTGCTCAGGTATGAGCAGCCATTTGATCTCTTCACTTGCAAACTCATGCTTGCTCTCTTGAACGCACTCTTTCTCTCCCCCACACACTTCCCTCCCTTCCTACTGTCCTCTATTTTTTAAGACCTTGATTTTTTTTTTTTTTTTTTTTTTTTTTTGGCGGTACGGGGTTTGAACTCAGGGCCTCATACTTGCTAGGCAGGCGCTCTACCGCTTGAGCCACTCCACCAGCCCGAGACCTTGATTTGAAGTAACAGGAAACACCTCTGGTGAACTGAGAGCAAGACTTTGAGACGCCCTTGTCCAGACTTCACTCCTTTCTGGGCAGGCTGAATGCAGAGGCCTGTGGTTCTGGAGGACTCAACTGCACCAGCCACTGTTCCTCTGTCCCAGCACACCTGCGTGACCTCCTGACAGCAGTCCTCAGAAATGAGAGCGCTAGCTCCACCCGACAGATGAGGCTCTTCAGGCTAGGTGGGCACCCAGAAGGACATGGCAGAGCCAGGACTCGACTTTAAGGTCTGCCAGATCTCAAAGCCCCTGGTGGCAGCACATACTTCAAGGGCCACTTCAGGCACTGTCCACCTGTGGCACGTCAATAGAGCTGGAGGCGAGGCCTCTTCCAGCACAGACCGCAGGGCTGAGGGCCGACCAGGCTTCTCCACCACTTGGGCTACACGCTAAAACTTCACATAGAGCAGAAGGGCAGCAAGCATTTTTAAAAGAATAACAAGCTTTGCTAAGAGGACTGTTGATTTGTACTTTTTCCATGCCTGTGCACGTTGAAATGCTGTATTTTTAGCAGAATCATCTAGGACTTTGACAAATGTAAGCGTGTCAGGGACATAGCGACATGACTGCAGGAGAGACTGACACCAGACAGGCCTGGTTTCCATGTCTGCCCCTGCTACTCAGGATCCCTTGTAGAAACTTCAGTTCCCACGTACAGGAAATGAGCAAGGACACCGCCCACTGGCGGTGCGAGGAACATTAAGTAACTGAAGCCACGTGGGGACTGTCATTGACTCTCATGAAAGGAACTGAGTTGGTTTGTGGGATTTTGGACAAGCTGAAGTTACGACAGTCCTGGTTAAAATCAGTTCAGCCAGTTCCTCATGGTCTTCTGTAATTCACCCTCTTTTGGGGGGCATGGGAGGAATTTAGGAAATTGATGTAGCAAAGTGGCATGAGCCAGCTAGCAGACAGGAAAGCTGTTTGTCAAAACTCAGAAAGTAAACAATCTAACCAGTCATTTCTCCACATTGAATGTGTCTGCAGTTGGCGGGAAGGGATTCCCCAATAAGGGCTGAAATGCCGGGAAATCTTCAGCATTATGGAAGGTATGGCTTTCTTTTTTTGAAGTTAGAGTTGGGTTTCATGATCTTTTCTGGTAAAGATAAAACCACAAACGCTGAACTGCCTTTGTACTATCTCACTGTCAAAAATCAACAGAACTTCTGTTGTTTGCAACAAAGTTAAACTGTATGTCGTCATATTCCGATTCAGTGTCCACCAGGTAGCATCTAGTTCAAAAAAAGTGACACGTGTTGGGTAGGAATGTTCTCTGATGGATTCCTGTTCATGGTTTCCCTCGTTGAGTTGAGCCCTCTCTCTGCTTACTTTCAAGATTTCTTACTGGACCCTTGAACCTCAATGATCCAGAAGCAAAATGCAGATTTCCCAAAATTTTTGTAAATACAGATGACACTTACGAAGAGCTCCATTTAATTGTTTATAAGGTAACGACTTTTCCTCCACTGCTGCAAGCTAATGTCAAGTAGCTCTCGCGTGTGCTGGGCCTGCGTGTGGCCCTCTTCAGTGTCTCTTGGAAAAGATATTGCAAGTTCTAGTTGTGCAGCTCACAGTGAGTTCTCTTCATGGGTGGGACATTCGCTGCAGCCCTCCTAAGAAGTTTGGCTAGTAGTGAAAGGGTAGCTAGCTACAGGGGTGACGTCCAAGCATCTGATGTCATGCAGGCTCAAACCAAAGACTGCCCAAGGGTTGGCTAAATGTCTCTGGTGTGGGCAGAGTATACTTCACCGAATCCTGCCTTTGCTGTGGCTTTAAAGCTGAGAGCTTGTTAATTCTGTTTCTTTTGAGATACTACCTTGTAGCCTGAGGGTCCCTCACACCTATAATCCTGGCTACTTTGGAGACTGAGATCGGGAGAATCATAGTTCAAGTCAGCCAGCTCAGACAAATAGTTCTTTGTGAGACCCCATCTCCAAAATAATAAGAACAAAATGGGCTGGGGGTGTGGCTCAAGCAGTAGAGCACCTGATTTGCAAGCACAAAGCCCTGAGTTCAAACTCCAGTCCCACTAAAAAAAAGATACTGCTTTATAAGGATATTTAGGTATGGTGAGCTTTCTCTCTCTCTCTCTTTAATTTTGAGACGGGTCTCTCTGTCTTGCCCAGACTGGCGTGGAATCCTGGGCTCAGGTGATCCTCCTGCTTCAGGCTCCCAAGTAGCAGGGTTGATGATGCACCTCACCATGCCTGGTTAGCTGTTTCCTTTCCCTTTGCTTTACCTCCCTCCCTCCCTCCCTCCCTCCCTCCCTCCCTCCCTTTTTTTTCCGAGACAGGGTCTTGCTATATAGTGCAGTCTGACCTTGAATTCAAGATCCGCCTGCCTCAGCCTCCTGACTAGCATGCTGTGCCATCACACTTGGCTCTGTTTTCTTTGTTTAAAAAAAAAAAAAAGCAGTTTGAGTGCAAGAAAGAAGACTGAGCATATGTGTTCATGTTCTTTCCTGCTGGAAACTATGGCTAAGTTTTAATCCATAAAAGAAGCTCCAGGAGAACGGGAAGCAGTGACCAAGGGTGAGGGAATGCTGCCACTGTCAGGAAAACAGGAAGGAGAAGGGGAGAGGAGACTAGGGGAGGCTCCAGCCTGGGGTGTGCGGGGTCTGTGCTGAGCCAGGACCTCACCTGCTCAAAAGGCTGAGCCCAGGAAAGATCCTGACCTGCAGGTGATCATCTGAGGGCAGGAGTGGGGAATGAGTATGGAAAGAAGTGGGGTGGGGTGGGATGGGTAAGCCAGTCAGGCCCTCTGTCCTATCCTGTTCCTTGCACACAGACACACCTGTAGCTGAGCACCTGCCCCTTGGGGAAGACTGAGAGTCTGTGTAAAAGAGAATGAACAGTGCAGAGAGACCTAGAGTAGCTAATGTGAGCATCTGTGCCCAAGGACCAGGTGTGCTGGTGCTGGCATTTCCACCTGCCCAGAGTGACTCCTTTCTCATCCTGTGCTCCATGTGAAGCCTCCATCCCTGGGCAGCCTTTTGGTTCCCTCATTCAGGACTACAGGCCCTGTAAGAAAAAAAAAAAAGTATCTGGAAACAGACAAGAACTTTTTAAAATTAGTATCCCCTCATTGGAGAAGTCGTGTGTTGTGTGTACAAAACTGTAAAAGGACAACAGAGCTCAGCTTAGCTGGGTGTTGCATGCCTGTGATCCCAGCACTCAGCAGGTAGAGGCAGGAGGATCATGAGCTCGAGGCCAGCCTGGGCTACACTGTGAGACCCTGTCTTAAAAGGAAAAGAACAGCAACAAGACTGCCATCGCTAGGTGCTAGGTGACAGCAGGAGAGAAAGTTCCAAAGGCCTGGGAGAAGTAAGTTTTTGTCAGCGCGCACTCGTTCAGTTAGTTTTGTCTGGGGTGCGGAGTTTCACCACAGAGCCTTGGTGTGCTCGTCAGGAGCTCTACCCCTGAGCCACATCCGGTCCTGGCGTAGGCTTGTTTGCCAAGCTGGTCACGGGTGAGATGGAAACATGGAGCAAACAGGACGGTGGGCGTATTGTGCCCTGCATCCTTTCAGGACATGGGATACTGCTCTGCCTCAGGAGCGTCAGTCACCCAAGCAGGGGACACCCCGGAATCCAAACCAGGGGCTCCGATCCAGGGAGCACGGAAAGGAAGTGTCTGTGATGGAGTGGAGGGTGGAGGGCTCAGGCTCTAGAATACAGGTGTGTGTCCTCGTGAACTGGTGCCAAGTCAGTTTTATGTGGGGGCAGTAAAGAGGGCCTGGGAGGACAGACAGACAGATGTGGTCCCAAACAACCCATGCTGAAATGGGGCGTCCTTCAGAGTAGTAGTTACAGGACAGTAGGTCACAGTCAAGGGTGCTCAGGGCAGTGACTTGGCACCACGGCGTGCTAAGCACGTATGTTAGGTTAGAGGCCTTTGTCTTTTAAGCAGCTTCACTGGGGTAAAATTTTCACACTGTACAGTTCATCCATGTCAGGTGGTCCAGGGTCGGCCCAGTGGTTGCCGAAGTCTGCAGGAGCACCCTCTGTGTTCCTTGGGGGTCTCCACCACTTTTAGGGTTCATAGTGGGGCAGGACCCAGACAAGCGTGTGCACTGAGAGTTACAGCTTGTTTGTCACAGTGTAGTCGGCCTGGGGAAGAGGCGGGGTGGCAGCCCGTGCGTGGGCCCTGCAGGCTGTGCAGCTCCCACAGCAGCATGGAGGCCCACTGGGCTTCAGAGTCCCAAGTGTTTATCACGGATTGGCCCCACGTGTGTGTGGCCTTTGAGCTGATGGGGCAGGTGCTGTGGCCAGGAGGGATTTTTCCCTTTTCTTGGGATGTCTTGGTCAGGTTTTGGTGTGAGGTCACGCCAGCCTGGTGGACAGGGGAGAGCTGTGAGCTCAGGGCCTCACGCTTGCCAGGCAGGCGCTCTGCCACGTGAGCCACTGCGCCAGCCCAGTGTCGACTCTATAAACGGTGGCTAGAATTCACGCGGACACCTGTCCGTGGGCTTTCCTTTGTGAGAAGTCTTAAGTGACTGAGCTGTTTCCCCGTACACACCGCCCTCATTTTCTTCTTGAGGCAGTGTCGGTAGTGTCCGTTGTTCTAGAAGTGTCTCAGTTATGAAGTTACCCAGCTTGTTGGTGAGCCCCTTCTCTCAGTGTTACGTACAGTGTTTCTTTTCCAGAAAAGTCAGGACCCTTCTCTCAGTGTTACGTACAGTGTTTCTTTTCCAGAAAAGTCAGGAGTGACGTCTTCATTCCTGATTGTGGAATTTGAGTTTTCCCCCACCCCCCGCAGTCTAGGAAGAGGTTTTTCAGTTTGCAGATCTTTCAACTTTTGGTTCCACTCATTGTCTCCATTGTTCTCTGTTGATTTTTTGTTTGGTTTTCTTGCAGTACTGGGGTTTGAACTAGGCAGGCGCTCTGTCACTCGAGCCACATCCCCAGCCCTTTTGCTTCAATTTTGAGATTGGCTCTCACTTTCTGGCTAGGCCAGCGTGATCTTCCTGTTTATGCTTCTTTTCATTTCTGGGATGACAGGAATGAGGCACCGTGCCCAGCTTTTATTGGTTGAGATGGGGTCTCATGGACATCTTGCCTGGCCTGGCCTTAAACCGTGCTCTTCCTGACTGCAGCCTCCCGAGAAGCTAGTGCCCACCTTCTGTTTGATTTATTTCCATTTCTTCATCATCTCCTCCCTTCTGTTTGTTTCAGGTTGTTCCCTTTTTTTTTCTAGGATTTAAGATGGAAGGTTAGGTTATAGATTTGAGATCTTTCTTTCAATTAGTTTACAGATACAAAGATGATCACTGTTTTGTTATTGTTTTTGAGACAAGTAATCTTGCTTGTAGCCCAGGCTGGCCTGCAATTCACCATCCTCTTGCTTCAGCCACCTGAGTGCTGATTACAGGTGTGCACCACCATGCCCGACTCTGAGACCTTTTGGGATGAATTCTAATTTTGACGTTTGCATTTCTAGTCTTGGTTGTTATTACTGGGTGACACTGCAGTTACTTGCTAGAATGAAGGGAGACGAGATGAGAGCACCTCGTGGTGTTTTTAAGTTGTATTAATAGGAATTGTCGAGTCCACACGGAATAGAACAATGAACCCCAAGTGCTCATGACAGAGCTTAAGTTAGTAAAATGCTAATCTCCATGTGTCCCTGTCCCTGTCAGCTGGAGCACTCTAAGTCATCGTGTCACTTCACAACTAAATGAATTTGCTTGCCTGATTGTGAGGACATGTATGTGACACGACCACCGTGCCAGAGTCATGCTGCACAAGTAAACAGTCCTCCTGATGTCAGCTGCCCCAGTGGACTAGAGTCCTCTTCTGTACTTGCTGTGTTCAGGCGTGGCGTAAGTGGGACCATGGTGCCTCCTTCCTGTGCGTCTCTAACGTCTGCTTTGTTCTCTGCAGGCCATGAGTGCGGCCGTGTGTTTCATGATTGATGGTAGGTGCACATGCCGGGTCCCAGTGCCGCCTGCCCGGCAGCTTTTGGCCAGATTCCGTCCTGGTCTTTACGGCAGATGTGTTGTCGCAAGCTGCACAGGCTGTGTTAGACACTGTTGCCCATCCGGGAGCGCTGCCCCCTTCCCTGGCCCTGCTAACCTCCTGAGGCCTGGCCTTCCCGCTTGTCAGCAGTGGGATCTGTGTGTCCTTCTGTGCTGCTGCCTCCGGGACTTGGGGCGTTAAATACGGTCATGTTAGTGACGTTTCATACAGCTCGTGGCCCAAGTGCTGTCTCACGCATGTAGTAAACATGTGACCTGAGGTCGCCCAGAGCAGGTGGCCAGTTTGTCACCCCTCAAGGCATGTGTACAGCAAGTCTCAGACCGTGTCTGAGTTTCTTAAATATACCTCATTTTGTGAGGTATATTTATAGCTTGTGTTTGGGTTGTTTGTTTTTCCTTAATTGTTTGATACGTGAGGTTTTTGTGGGATTACTCTAGGTAGAGGACAGTAAAGTGACTGTTGGTCTGGGTGACTCAGAGTACCACGACACTGAGTGCTATCGTCATTTCTTTTCCAGCCTCCATCCAGCTGACGCTGGACTTCTGCCGGAGACTGGACAGCATCGTCGGGCCCCAGCTCACAGTGCTGGCCTCCGACATCTGTGAGCAGTTCAACATCAGCAAGCGGGCGTCTGGGTTTGTACCTGGCTTCGCTTACTTCCCAGCACTCGAGGGGTCATGGGCGAGCCAGAGTGGTTGTACGTAAGAACAAGGGTGGTGTCGACCCTCCTGTGTCCCTGAGGACCTAGAGAGCAGCAGCGAGCTGTCGGCCCTGACGGAGGGTCCCCAGGGGCTGCGCTGGCTTCTTCCAGCGTGATGGTTGGGGCTGGGTCGGTACTTCCCCTCCCCCCATTGGTGGCATGGACGTTTGTGGCTCCATGTGCTGTCTGTGCCTGTGGCCTTGGCCTGTGAGTCCCACTTCAGCCTCCCCTGAACCAGCCCAGGTGGTCACTCCCCAGGCAGCAGCAGTCAGCATGCTTTGCCTTGTGTAGATCGGCACACAGAAGTGTGGAGGTGGCTGTGCCACGCCCTCGGCCTTGGTGCTGAGGTTGGCGGCACTGGGAGACATGGTTGTTCTGTGGAACACTGAAGTCATCAAACCCCTGTTCTCAATCCCAGTGTCACATAGAATCTTTGTGACTCTGAGAAATACAAGCCGTTCCTAAGGCTTTCCATTCATTTCAGCAATTACTGCAGGACTGTGACTTTCTCTGTGGCCATGTTTTCAAGAGGATCACAGGTCAAGGACAGCTCAGGCAAAAAAGTGAGGTGCCATATCAACTAAAAAAGAAACAGCTGGGCAAGGTGGCCTGTGCCTGTCATCCAACTAAGCAGGAGGCCTAGGTGGAGGGATCGCAGGCCAGGCCAGCCTGGGCAAGAAACGTGAGACCCTATTTGAACAATAGCTACAAGCAAAAACAAGAGGCTGGGGCATGGCTCAAGTGGGAGAGCACTGCCCAGCAAGTACGAGGCCCTGAGTTCAAACCCCAATACCACAAAAAAAAGAAAAGGGTGTTGTCCCTAGGCTTGCCAGTCTGTAGACCAGAGGGGATAGTGTATGTTTAATGACCAAGAAGAGTGAGCTGGCCAGCATGCAAGCCGCTACCCCAAGCTTTTTGCTTTTGCGGTCCTGCTTACGTTTTCCCCACTGTCAGTTTATTCCTTCCATTCTGTGGAAGAGGCATTGCAGTCGTCCGTCTCCTGCCCTTTTGTTCATTCCTGGGCCCCTTGGCCAAAGCAGCGGAAGCCCATTTACGCGCACTGTCAGCGCAGCTCCCTCAGGACGCGGAAGCCGTGACCTTTGGGAGTAACTTTGGTCACGTGGCCGATGATTTACGTGGAACCCTGCGCTCATCCCCAGCACCATGGACAAACGAGGTGTCACTCTCCTAAATCGGGTTGGCAGATTTTCTGCAGCGGCCAAGTCGTGTTTTAGACTCTATGGGCTGTGTGCGTTGCAACCACTCAACTTCATTTTATCAGGAAAGCAGCTGTGGACAGCACACGGAGTCCAGGGTTCTGGGAAAACTAGAGATGCAGGGCCATGGGAGCTGACCTCTCCACGAGAAGTTAATGACCTGAATACATTTCATTTGCATTTTTCAAAGTCAGCAAATAGCCAATTGATTGCTTTTAAAAAGCACTATGCTTTCATTTAGAAAGGCATCACATAGGGGTTGAAGTATTTGGTGTTTAAAAAATAAGCTTCAGCTCTCTGGAAGTCTGTCTCGGATGTCACGTAAGCCGTTACTCAAATGCACTGTGTCACCTCAGCGAGATTCTTGATGTGAAGCCCCAGGGCCTGGCCTGCTATTAAGGTTTTCACAGTGCTGCTGTGTTTTGGTGTTTGGGTAAGTTTTCTTCCCAGCAGCCCCATCTCAATGGCATCTTTTCACAGGTCTGAAAAGGAGCCTCAGTTTAAGTTCATCTACTTCAACCACATGAACTTGGCGGAGAAAAGCACAATCCACATGAGGAAGACCCCGAGTGTGTCACTGACGTCTGTCCACCCGGACTTGATGAAGATTCTGGGTGACATCAACAGTGACTTCACTAGGCAAGTCTGGTAACTGTGGGGAGGTGACCCAGAGCCCCTACGGAGGACACAAGCGTGCCGCTCATGGGCCTGCTCCCCACCGCCCTCAGCACCTGTCTCCCTCGCATGACCCACTCCAGCGACCTTGCTTTGCAGGGCGGACGAAGATGAGGAGATCATCGTGAAGGCCATGAGCGACTACTGGGTTGTTGGGAAGAAGTCTGACCAGCGGGAGCTCTACGTGATTCTGAATCAGAAAAACGCAAACCTGATTGAAGTCAATGGTAGGTAGATTTGGTGGCTGAGCCATGTTTTAGTGCTAATGCTTCAGGGCCCGCGCTCGTCAGATGGGAGACAGTGCTGCTGAGATTCACGCAGGTGCTCCGTTTTGTTTCTCTCTACTTATGCCATGGAAAACTTGGCAGTGGCTAAAAGAAAATCGCTTTAGCCGGGTGTGGTGGTGCACGCCTGTAATCCCAGCACTAGGGAGGCTGAAGCAGGAGGATCACACATACCTTCTGTGCCTGCCAGGCAGGGGTTGGTCTGGTCCTTTGCCCGGCATGACCAGCAGCTGCTTTGTGGGGTCGTGGTAACTGTCGTCCTGGAGAAAGGGCTGTGTCCCCAGCACTGTCACTGGGCCTGGCCTCACTGCTGCTACCTCAGACCTGGAGCGGTGGGTGGGGGTGTGGGGGGGGGTACGCAGCCCTGAGCAGACTGAGAGAAGGGAGGGAGGGGATTGGTTTTTCATTTATCTCTTAGGGCTTATTAAATCTTTCTTTTTATATTAACACCTGTGTGGCATTTGCATGCACTAGTATCGCGAGGCAGTACGTGCCTGATTTATTTACTTCTGGCAACACTGGGGCTTGAACTCAGGGCCTTGTGCTTGCTGGGCAAGTGCTCCACCACTGGGGCTGCACCCCCAGCCCTCATGGGTTTTTTTTTGGCAATTTTTTGTTTTTCAGACAGGACCTTGTACTTCTTTTGCCCTGCCTGGCCTTGGACAGAGATCCTCCTTTCTCAGCCTCCCAAGCCGCCTGGGCCGCCACACCTCAAGCAGCGTGTGCTTGGTTTTACACGCGAACTTAGCGAAAGGGAGAGGGTGGCAGTGTGGAGAGGTCACGGGTCAGGCTGCAGGCAGAGCTTTCGTGACGTCCATCCGCTTTCTCAGGACAACTGCTGCTTGACCAGGTTTCCCAGGATTGCTGAGCTCCCTCCCCACCTTGTCAAGCTGACGCCATGGTGGGTGTCAGAGGGTGCTGCGTTCTCATGGCCTCCTTGGGGGTTTTGACCCTTTCTCTCGGTTGACGTTTTCTGCTTAGGCTTCAGACGATGACTTACTGTACCGGCTCTCTTCCGGAAGTGCTTAGGGCACCGAGTGACGCCATGTAACCTGTGCGCTGCTTTCTCTTCTTTCTGCAGAAGAAGTGAAGAAGCTGTGCGCCACCCAGTTCAACAACATCTTCTTCCTGGACTGACCAACCACGGCGCGCCAAAAACCTAAGGGACTCGGCAGCGTCGTTTGTTGCTGCAGGTTTCTGCTCGCTCTTCTGGCTGCACTAGGACAAGAGCCACGCAGAATGAAATCTCTACTCAACCTGACCCGAGGTTTTTAGATTTTAAATATGTACGTGGAATAATGAAAGGTAGTCTGCACTCTCTTTCATTCCGTTCTTTTGACATGTGAATATTTTACTGGAAAGAAGACTAATAAATTGCTAAAGTTTTTAAAATTCTGGTTTTGTATGGAGTCTCTCTTCTGTCTGTCCCGTGGACTCCGGCTGGTGGGCCCCTGGCTTGTGCTCTGTGGATTGAGAAAGCTGTGGTTGATAGATACATAGATTTTTTGTGGGGCGGTACTGGGGCTTGAACTCGGCCTCATGCTTGCTAGGCAGATGCTCTACCATGTGAGCCACTCAGCCAGCCCTTTTTTGCTTTAATTTTCAGATAGTGTCTTGTGTTTTTGACGCGATCCTCCTGCCTACACCTCTCACATAGCTGGGATTATAGGTGCATCCCACCACGCCTGGCTTATTTATTTAGATGGAGTCTGGCTAACTTTTGCCTGGGTTGGCTTTGAGTTGTGAACCTCTTGATCTTCACTTCCCTAGTAACAGATTACAGGTGTGCACCACTGTGTCTAGCCTGGCCGTTGGTATTCTGATTGCCAGAGTTAAGGTCCTTGCCCAGTTGTGAGACCTGAGTGGGGGAGGTGTCCAATCATTAGACGTCACTTACCTGAGTACTACTGTGATTTTCAGAGCACGGTGACCATGAAGGCCTTACAGTGCCCAGTGTGGAAAGAGAGCTTTGTTGTCACAGGGCCCTGCCAGGGCACGTGTGGGGAAGTCTGGTTGAATTTTACTTCACTTGATCTAACTCTGGGAAGTCTGGACAGCCGGCGTCTGTGGAACCAGCCAGCTCGGTGCTCTTACAAACCCGGGCCCTCCCTGGCCCCGAAAGTGGCTCCCCCACCGTCCGCTGGGCTGAAGCTGCCGAGCCCATTTCTTGAGGGATTTGTGGTATTCTGTCCAAAATCATTCGCAATTTCCACGGCAGTTCCTGCGTGGCCCTGCCTCAGGTGGGACTGTGCTTTTTAGTTTCCATCATCTGTGCTTCTTGGCTGCCTTGCAGTTACGTCGTTGCCCTCGTGATCGTTTGGAATTGTTGACTCCGAAGCTAAAATGTGCTCCACGTGTCCTGTGCTCTGCTGCGTTCTGGTTGCGGCTGCGTGACGTGTTGCTTACGCTCCCTGTACCTTTCTGATCTGCTGTTTCTCCGTTATGACGGGCGCCATCCCCGGGTCCGAGGGCTGTACAAGATGGATGTGAGCACGTGCACTGTAATGCTGCTTTAGGGTGTGGCTTAACTTTTACCTGTGTGGTGAAGTTTCTTTCAATTCTGTTTTGTCACTGGCATTGCCTGCTATCCAGCCGCTTGTTTAGGTCTTAAGAGGTTTTCTCTTATAAAGAATGACACTGAAACTGGGTGTGGTCGTGCACACCTGTAATTCCAGCACTCAGCAGGAGAATTGGGAGGTAAAGGCCAGCCTGAGCTACCAGTGAGATCTTGTTTCAAAAACAACTGGGCACCCGTGACTGAAGCCTGTCATCCTAGCTGCTTGGGAAGGCGAGATCAGGAGGATCACAGTTCAAGGTCAGCCCAGGCAAATAATTCATGAGACCCCATCTCAAAAAAACCCAAAGCAAAATGGACTGGAGGTGTGGTCAAGTGGTAGAGTGCCTGCTTTGCAAGCGCGTGGCCCTGAGGTCGAGCCACAGTCCTGCCAATAAAACCAGACATGGTAGCGTTGGGTGTTGCAGTGCAGTCGGGTCCTCTCTGGGTGTTGGCAGCAGGCAGTGAGTCTGACGTGTCCTTGCTTCTGAATTCCATCTCCTGTGTTTTCTGTTCCAGTTTCCCTGCTTGTCCCTGCCCCTTCTGTAGGACTGAAGCTTGCCTACACTCCTGCTTGGGTGGAAGCTTCACACTGTGTTTTTATCGTTTTGATGATCACCCTTAAACTATGATACAGATTTCTGTCTGTACTTTTCTGGCACAGACCATGCATTCGTGGACCCCAGAGCCATTGCTGTGGCGTTTTTTCAAACACCTTGCAAATGCCATGGCCTTCATGGGAAGGACAGAGCAGTTACCGGGGACAGAGACAACATCAGGTGGGAGTGAGGGCGTTTGAAGAAATGTTTGAATAATTTCTTCCACTCCCTGCTGCCTTCTGGTCCATTTTGTCAGACTCTGAACTTAACGGCCACTGCTCTCCTTTGATTTCTAAATCAGTGTTTAATACACATTCGTTAACATGCAGCTGTCTACTTGACTTTTAAAACACAGGCCAAAGGCAGAGGGGGTGGCTCAAGACAGAGCTCAGGGCAAGCTCTGGACACAGCTGCCATGGTAGGAGTTTCCAGAATGCTAAGATCAGAGCGACAGGCAGAGTTGTTTTGGGGACACCAGCCAAGTGCATGCATGCTTGAGCATTTGCGCCTGCCTGGCCCGGCCCCTTGCCTGTGACACTGGTGCCTTTACTTCCTCCTCTTCTTGCTCGAGCTGGCCCTGCTGGTCTGGGGCGTGGACGTGCCCTCCTTGGGAGGGCTGGACATGGGGACCGGGAGCGTAGAGGACGAGGCGTCCGTCGGCTCCTTCAGTACCGTGATGTCCACCTCGTCCTCCAGTCTCCGAGCCTCTTCCAGCCTCAAGCTAGTCAGCCTGAAAAGCAGAAGCAGTTAAGTTCCTTTCTCTCTCTTGCAGTTTGCCGTGCGTAATGGGCCTGTGTTTCCACAGTGCTCGCGCGTGACCAGACTGTCAGATGTGTCACTGCCTGAACTAGTAAGTGAAGCTGATGTCTGACCCCAACCCCTCCCTCCCCAGGGGTCAAGGGTGTGTCACTGAGTTCCCCTGCCCATCTCACAGCTGCCCTTTGGTAGTCAGTCAATCCCCGTGTGACGCTGTCTCAGGCCTCAGCCAGCTCTTCAGCAAACAAACAACACGTGGCCCTTAGAGAAGCCCTGGTGTTGGAAACCAGAGCCAAGAGCACGTGTCACGGGAGTTCCTGTGACTCCAGAAGTCACCAGGACACAGACCAAATGCTTATCTCTCATGTCCCAGGCATCTTGGGCTGCAAGCCCGGGTCCTGATGCTGTGTGCATGGTGACCACAGGACACAGTGGGCACCCACGCACCTGGCCTCCAACTCCTCATCCTCTGCCTTCTTCTGCTGCTCCAGCATGGCCTCCCGCAGCCGGTTCTCCTTGGTCTTCTCCTTGACCAGCTCCTCGTGTCTGTACGCGGGGAAGAGCCAGGTGGTGAAGAACACATACAGCTTGCCAGCCCACGCATCCAGCTTCTCCTTCCGCTCATTCTTGGACTTCCCTGCAACAGAGCAGAGCTAAGATGAACATGAGGACAGCTGTGCGCTTCTGCCCTTCCTGGGTTGGGCCTCTCAGGCTGTGAGGACAGAAAGCTGCAAGTGCACCGTGGACAGGGTTAGTTGTTACCACCGCCTTGGAGCCTTCTCCTACTGTTACTTTTTTTCCTAAATAGCTAAATATTTTGGTTTGTAAAATGAAAATTTCAAAAAGTTTGTTTTCCACTGGTGTTGCTGGTGCAGCCTGACGGGTCTCATGTGGCCTCTGCTCCAAAGCAACACTGGGTGGTGCTCAAGAACAGAGATGTAGAGCTGGGTGCAGTAGCTTACACCTGTAATTCCAGCTACTTGTGAGGTGGAGATCTGGAAGATTGCAATTCAAGACCAGCCCAGGGAAAAAGTTAGCAATACCCCATCTCAACAATAAAGGCTGGGCGTGGTGGTTCACTTCTGTAATTCCCAGCTACGAGGGAGGAAAAGGTAGGAGGATTAGTGTCCCAGGTTGACTCTGGGCAAAAAACACAAGACCCTATCCCAAAAATAAGCAAAGCAAAGAAAGGGCTGGCGGGGTGGCTCAAGTGGTACAGCACCTGCCTAGTACACATGAGGCCCTCACTTCAAACCTCAGTGCCACCAAAAACCACAGGCGGTTAGATTCAAGGCCCAGCTGTGCCACAAGCTAGTAGTGCAACCTGGCAACTTCAGGGCCCATGGGAACCACAGCCACACTAACCTCCTCCAAGCTTGTGGCTACATGCACCTGTGCACCAGGCACCACACAGGAAGTACTCGATGATGGCCATCGTGGGAAAAGTCTTTAAAGGACCAATGTCATAACCTAGGGGGTGGCAGGATCGGAACGGAGTCACAGATCATCAGGAAATTACATTTTTTTTTTTTTTTTGGTGGAACTGGAGTTTAAACTCAGGGCTTTGCATTGCAAAGCAGGCGTTCTACCACTTGAGCCACACCTCAGTCCATTTTGCTCTGGTTATTTTGGAGATGGGGTCTGCAAACTGTTTTCCAGGCTGGCCCCGAATTGCAGTTCTCCCAATTTCAACCTCCCAAGTAACCAGGATTACAGGCATGAAAACCCCGGGTGCCCAGCAAGGGGAATTAAAATCTTTATGAAAGTTTAAGTGCACTGGGTAAAGTTTCTAGCTATTGAAGTCAAGCTGGCTTATTGTAGGAAACAGTAGATTTGCTCAAAATATGTTGATGCAGAGTTGGGTGGTAGGGCGCCTGCCTGGCAAGCATGAGGCCCTGAGTTCAAACCCCAGTACTGCCAAAAATAAATAAATAAAGGCCTTTTTAGCACTAAGTATATAAATGTTCACTTGCATTTTCTTAATCCTTATGGCTCCCGCTTTTCCGTAAGTGGACTTTCCCCTAAGTGTGGCCTGTCCTGCTCTGTTAATTATTCTCTCTCCTACTAAGGAGAAGTGAGCCTTCTGCTCTGCGTTAAATGTGTGTGCTGCCGTTTACACTGATTGCCTGTTTTTTTGTTTTTTTTCCGGCACCAGAACCTTGCTTTGACTGATCGTGGCTTTACGTTTTCAGTGTGTTTTAATACCTAGCTTTGTTTTTAATGTTCTTTTTTTCCAGTGCCGGAGATGGAAGCAGGGGCCTCACACACGGTGGGGAGCAGGTGCTTGGCTGCAGCTGCCTCGTGGCGCTTTCTTCCTCTTCATTTTCCCGGGCGAACACCAGGACCACTTTGTCAAATTCATCAAAGTGTTGGGATTGGAAGGAAATCTAAACTGTTTCAGGAAGAGTCGTTATTGCTGCAGTCCTCAGTCTTGCCAGGCAGGTGGGATTTCCACTTACTGATTTTGTTTGTGTGTGTGGTGTTGGGGACGGAGCCCAGGGCCTGCTCAGGCTAGGCAAGCGCGCTGCCACCAAGCTGCACCCGCCCCTTCCAGTGCTTCTGATTATTCTAGGCTTTTCTAAGGCCTGTCAAGTTCAGTGCTTTGAGGTTCTTAAATTGAAAACTGACAGATTACAACTACGTGAGTCATAGGATGTTCAGTGTGCCATGGTTACAGAAAGCAAGCTAACAGATCCATGGCCTCAGACACGTTGCGTGGTGAAGGCATTTGAAACCTGCTCTTGTATAATTTGAACGTGCAACATGTTATTACTGCTGGTCGCTCTGCCCCTCACCCCAGCCTGGGGACCCCATCCACTCGGCTCCCACGAGAGCTCCACGGCGTCCAAGTCCTCTTGTGAGTGAGCCACCTTTTCTCTTTCCACTTCCACTGGTGACATTCAGGCCGATTCCAAGGCTCAGTGTTGTAAGTAGTGCACCAGTGAGGGAACAGGGACGCCTCTGCCACAGAGGACAGGGACAGGGATGTGGGACATGGCTGCTCAAGTCTTTGCTTTGTAAGGCACCGCACAGTCTCCTCCAATGCCATAGCAGTGTGCACACCCCACAGCTGTGCACAGGCCTGTTTTCTCCACACCCTTTTATCTTCTGCCATTCCGACAGCTACATGGTGACATCTTGTGGCTTCCTTGGCGTTTCCCTAATGATTGGGGATGTGGAGCATTTTTTTTTGCATTGACCACTTGCATGTCTCTGAGAAGTAATCTATTTGGGGCCTTTGGCAGTCTTTAAATGGGTTTGCTTTCGTGCTGGGATGTGCTCCTCATGTATTTTGAGTATTAGCTGGTCACCAGAAGCGTAGCTTGTCTTCTCCTGTCCTCACTTGGTCCCTTGTTCTTCTAACTGTTCCCTTTGCTGTACAGAAGCTGTTCAGTTCAGTGAATCCCATCTGTCTGTTTTGGTCAGTCCTATTGTGTAGGTGCCACAACTTCTTTTGGTGTTTTCCCTGACACCTTATGTTTGCTGTTGTCAACAAGTGGAACTTCTTCCAACAACTCTTTGAATTTTCTTCCCTCTTTATATTTTCTGACTGTTGCTAGTAGTCTATGGAAAAGATAATCGACTTTGATTTTACTTCTGGTTTTTAAACTAGTCATTTTTTATGGGATTTGAACTCAGGGCCTCACAGTTGCTAGGTGGGTGCTCTACCACTCTGCCAGCTCCTAATCCAGCCATCTTATTTAATTCTGTTTCTAGTAGCTTTTCAGGTGATTCTTACATTTTTCTAGGTGGACAAATAGATCATTCATTCATTCACCCCTTTACTCAAACCAACTCGTGCTTAGCACTGCTGAGGCTACAGGACTTTGCTCTTGGGACACGGCCATTCCGGGGGTGGGAAGAGGATGGAGCAGAAGGGGGACAGATGTTCCAGGCAGTGGCACTGCAAAGGGGGACGGAGGCAGGGAAGTGAGCACAAGCCAGCGTGGAGTTCGCACTTCACAGGAGGCGGGGACCTTTTCTGGGGTGGAGTGGAGCCCACCGCGTGCACCGTGGTTGGCAGCGTGGGCTGTGCTTCTGGAAGAGTCACCAGGAGGGCTTGGCCTCTGCCCACAGCCTTCCCATATGCAGGCTCTGTGTAAAAGCCCAAGCTCTCTCCGTGAGGAAGCTCACGACAAAGCATTGCCATCGGAAAGCCCGCCTGCAGCAATTGGGTTTTCCTTCCTTACGCTCAGCTGGGCCTTTTTGCCCGACGTCCACGGGTGCGCTGTCCTCCACTTCTGCTGGCTTGGAGTGGGATTCTCTCGGTGCTGGGAGTCCTGTGGCAGTTTCCCCAGGTCTTTGAATATATAAATTCTAAATCTTTTAATTTCTATGAAATGTCCTAGAAGAATAGGTTTTAGATCTGTTATTTCAGGAAACTCCTATGATGGCAGGACTTCTTTGCTTGTCTTCTACTTTTTTTTTAAGCAGTGATGAGGTTTGAACAGGGTCTTGCTGGCAGGCACTGTACCACTTGAGCCACGCCCCGGCCCTTTTTTTGCTTTAGTTATTTTTCAGGTAGGGTCTCAAGAGTTTTGAGTGAACCATGATTCTCCTACAGAAGCTTCCTTGTCGCTGGGATGGCAGCATGTGATGTCACCCCAACCTTTCCACGGAAGTGGAGTCCCAGAACTTTTGCCCAGGCTGGCTTTAAACTTTGATCGTTCTGAGCTCCACCTCCCAAGTAACTGGGATTACAGGAGTGAGGCACCATCTCTGGCTCTTTTAGACTGTTGAGTTTCCATTTTGCACTTTCTGCTCCTGTTAGGGTAATCTCTTAATTTGTTCACTCTTTTTTTACTTCTTTGGCTTTTCTTTTTCTTTTTTTTTTTTTTATGGTTTTCTTTCTTTCCTGAGTTCTATTGTTCCATCTGAGGTTTTCTAACTCTTATTTAGGGTGTGCTCTTCTAATCCACGCAGTTGATCTGAGCTCATTTTGCAGTGTTAGGTGACACCATCCGTTTTGTGACCTGCTATGTCTGGCAAGCTCTGCTGTCTGCAGGGTATTATTGTGCTGCCCTTTTTTTTTTCTTTTGGTGGGACTGGGGTTCAAACTCAAACCCTGCTTGAGCCACACCTCCAGTCCATTTTGCTCTGGGTATTTTGGAGATGGGGTCTCATGAACTATTTGCCCAGGGCTGACCTCAAAATACAATCCTCTTGATCTCAGCCTCTCAAGTACCTAAGATCACCAGGTGAACCATAAGCATGCAGCTCATATTTTTTTTCTTATAATAATTCTTTCACATTTGACATAAACCTATTCATTTTTACTGCAACCTAGTTTTCTGAACTTTTAGGGCCTGGATGGGTAGATCATGACAGTTTGAGCCCACTCTCCTGACTCCTACCTGTGTCTTTCCCCTGGACGCTCCCGGCATTACTGGCTCAGACTTCTCAGTGTGAATGCTATGTCTTACACTTGCCCCTCAGTCTGGGCCTTCTGGAAGGAGCTCTGGACTGTGAGTTGTAAGCACTTCTAGGTCCCAACCATTCTCCCCTTGTGGGCCTCACCTGTGCTCCTTCCCCTCTGGAGTCCACCCGCCTCACCCCGCCCTGCCAGTCAGCTGCTCCTCCCAGGGTGCCCACCATGCTTGCCCTGAAGTACTGGGATTTGAACTCAGGGCCTCACACTTGCTAGGCAGGCCCTCTACCACTTGACCCACTCTACCAGCCCTTTTTTTCTTTGAAGGGTTTGTTGGGGGTAGGGTCTTTCGAACCATTTTTGGGTGACACCACAAGAGGAAACTTCCGTACCTGACCTTGTGACGAGTCTCAGAACAGAGGCACTGGAAGCACTGTACAAAATAACCTGCAGGCTGCGCTCAGGAAATGCACGTGAAGGACAACGGGAGTTTTGTATTTAGATGTGGGTCCCATCCCCAAGGAAAATACTCAAAACCAGACAGCCCAAACCTGCAGCTTGGGGCCTTGAGCCTTTCAGATGTGGCTCTTCAGCCAGCACGGGGCCACCACCTGCTTGGATCCCCCAGGTTCTCTCCCTGTGAACCTACAGAGCCGCCTTCCTCAGCTCTGTCTTCTGCCTTTGTTCTCCCGTACAGGACGGACGGTCGGACACGTGAGCTAGCATGTTAGCGCCTCTCTCCTGCATCCCGTCTGGGGTCAATGTTTCGGTTTTGTGTTACATAATGAGAACGTGGAGGACTCTAACCGTCCTGTCATCCTGCCCTGTGAGTCAGTAATGTTACTTTACGGTCCTGAGCGTTCCTAGAAATGCGCGTGGCGTCCTCTCGGATTGCTGAGGACGTGGAGGCCGTCGTGTTTGGTGGGGCTTTTGTTCCTTGTTTTGTTTTTGCCTTTAATCGCCAAGCAAGTAGACAACATTTTACTCTGGGGGGACGGTGTTTTCCGGGGTTTGAACACAGGCCCTGCGTCTGCTTGCGAGGCACGCCTCCTGCGGTATTTTAAAGTCACCATACCTGGCCCTTCCTTCACGTCCTCCTCTTCAGTGTGGGGCAGTTCGCTGTTGTCCTTCACACCTGCTCTCGAGACTGCCTCCACATTTGCTCCTGGTCCTGAGGTTGTGTCAAATGTCCCACTTCGGACTACAAGTTAGAAAAATTTATGGTTATGGAATTATTTTGTGTTTTAAGAATCACTTAGGTATGTACATTATTTTGCCAAAATAAGTGCCACTTTTTTTCATATTATTTATCTTGAAATTAAGGCCTTCCAAGTTGTGATGTACTCTGATGTGTTAAAGGTATAAAGAACCTCTCTCTGGGCCCACACTGGTGAATGGGCCACACGGGCAAGAACCGGCACAGGGAGGTCTTGGCCCGGCTTCCGGCCTCAGATCTGGTGCAGTTAGACTCACTAGCTAGCTGGGACACAGTATTCATCCACAATTGTCTTCCACTTATTCAAACTCTGAAAAGCCATTAAATAATCTGGTACTCTCACAAGTTATCATTTTTCCATCCATTTAAGCAATCCTGACTTTGTAGTCACTCGGCAGATTTTAAAATTCAGAGAAACGGGGCTGGGGGTGTGGCTCAGAGAATGCACGAAGCCCTGGGTTCCATCTTTAACACCACCACAAGAAAAATAAAATTCAGAGAATTGAGATATGTAGGACTAATTAAAGTTGAAACAGGTCCGAAAATGAAGAAAGATGACTTGTTCCCTCTCAAGTAGACACCCCCTAGCTGGAGGGCTGAGTCACAGCCACCCAGGCAGCAGTAGTCAGATAAAGTGACTGAGAAGGACATCATGTGGGCTGAGAGAAGGGCTGTGACACCAGACAGGTCAGCAGCTGCCTTGGGCATGCAGCAGGTGCTCAAGCAGTGTTAAAGGGCTGGCCAGAGGTCCAGGACACAGCTGGGGCACAACAAGCTCTCAAGGCCAGCTTCACTCCACAGTCAGCTGCATAACTGACTGCGTCCCTTTGTGGCTCTGTTGTACAGGAACCACGTCGTGGTGAGGGCGTTCCAGGAAGGTCTTTGGTAAGCTTGGTTCTCTGCTGGGATATGACTGCCACAGGACAAGCATCACAGCCTTGCACATCCTCAGTAGAGGAGAAAAGTTGGAGGATTTCCAGAAACCACTGGTGTCCTGACCACATGGGGCAAGGTCACAGGTGAGGAAGGGGAACTGCTGGCCATGGGGAGGGCAGGACACGGGGCATGTGGCGGCAAGCGTGTGCCCTCGGATGGAGGACAGGGTCCTGCTGATGTGCCCCCAGGAGGGGCTCAGGACAGGATTTTCAAGGAGGACACATCTGGTGGGCCACCCACCACAGAGAGGCCGGTCAGCAAAGGAGGGATGACAGGGCCTGTGTGTTGTGGGAACTGGGCCATGGGCAGCTGAGGGCCAGCGAGAGGATGGCGGAACACCACACTGGTTGTGTTGACACCATGGCCCTGGGGTGCCTACAGAAGGATGAGGTCGGAGGCTGTGCAGATGGCGGGAGGTGAGGACAGGTGGCCAGCAGGGAGAGAGAAGTGGGTGGGATCAAGAGTGTAAGGCCTTGAGCAGGGGTGTTTGAAAGGTTTGAGCGCCTTTCAAAACCAGGGAGAAAGGCCCCGAGAGAACGGCTAACATCTACCGTGCAGAGATGGGTCCAGCAGTGTGACCCCGCCCTGAGAGCCAGCACTGTCAGGCCCCAGGGTGACCCGAGGCCGCTGAGCCAGCCTTGTTCCAGAGGAGGTCAAGTTTCTGGAGTGTACACGACTTCTCAGCCACAGTTAGATACTGAAGTTCTCCAGAGGAAACACTCACCGTTTGGGGACAGGAAAGATGGTCCTTTTCCTGAAGGCTTAAAACTCATTTTGGAATCTTTGTCCTCACTGAGAGACTTCTTGATCTCAGGTTTTCACATTTTTAAAAAGTCATGAAGAAAAACATGAGTAAAAGCAAACAAATCACAAAGCAAAATATTTCTGCATCATTATGTACCAAAGCCAGCTTTCTACATTAGAGGCCGTTCTCTTCTGGTTGTTTAAGACAGGGTCTCACCATGGAGCTCAGGTTGGCCTTGAACTCTTTGCCCTAGTCTGGAGTGAGGGCATCTCATTGTTTCTTTTTTAGGGTAGTAGGGTTTTGAACTCTGGTGCTAGACGGGCACTCTACAACTTCAGCCACGACCTCAGCACTTTTTGCTGGATTGTTCAGGAACCATCTTGCATTTTGGCCTGGCGCTGGCTTCAGACTGACATCCTTATACCTACCACCTCCCACTTACCTTGGATCACACCACCACACCAGGCTTATTGATTGAGATGGGGTCTTCATAACATTTTGCCTGGGCTGGCCCTGAACCTAGCTCCTCCCAATGTCTGCCTCCTTAGTGGCTGGGATTACAGGTGTCTATCACCACACCCGACTAACTCCATCTTTTTTTGGCAGTACTGGGGTTTGAACTCAGGGCCTCACACTTGCTAGGCAGGCGCTCTACCACTGAGCTACTCTGCCAACCTGCTCGATTATTTTTAACCCATATGATACTGAGATGTGCATTCTTACGAAAATGGAAACCAGTTACTGCATCTTACTGAGAGTCTCTCTCAAGCTCCAATACTGTGCGTGGTTAACTGCACTTACATCACACTCTGTGGCTTTAATACACACCTGTATGTTGTAACTCCCACATTTCATCTCCACCAGAGTTCACCTTGAACTGCAGACATCTCACTGTCATCTCAGATGTCTAATCAGGCACCTTTAGCATGTCCACAGTCGACCTCTTCATTTTGCCCTGGTCTCATCCCCACCCCACTGGGGTTTCCACAATCACCGGAAACAGCAAGTCTATTCTTCCAGCTGCTCTTGGGTCACTTTTGCCTTTTTGTCCTCTCTATGCCCCACACCCTCCTGCTGGGTCTGGAGACCTAAGGCAGATGAATGAGAATCCCATTCCCCATGGCGGGCACTATGGATCCTCCATCCTGAGAAGGAGTTGTAAACCTGCAATCCTGCCCCCTGAAGAGAAGATACAGGGTCTGATAGATCTGCCACAGGGCTGATGAGCAAAATGCTCTCAAGATCGTTTTCCCTCCCCAGTAAGGGGCAAACAAACCAGTTCCTCTAAGAAAGCCTGCAAATCATGGCCAATGAACACAGCCTACCAAACCCAGAGTTAAAACATCCATAAAAGCCCCAGCCTTCACTTGAGCAACGAACGAGCGATTTCCAGGCTCCACTGCACTGCTCTAGCTGTGGCCTTTCCTTTCTCTCTAATAAATCCCCCTTTTTATACACTGGCTTTGGCTCATCCTTCAGCTGCCTCGTGAGCCAGTTCTCTGGCCTGTGAAGGCAAGGACCCTCGACACTGGCCTGCAACACTTCAAACCAGCACTTAACACCAAAGCCCTTGGTCCCGAGCCCTTCTCCCTCCTCTGTCTCAGTCACCATCATCTCTGAGCTGGACGCTCCAAAAGCTTCCCGACTTGTCAACATAGAAGCCTGAGAGCCTGCTGACACTTGGTGGGGACAGCTCCAGTCCCACTCACCCAGAGTCAGCCAGACGCCCTCACACGCTGTGTGACAGTGTCACAGGTACACATCTGGAGTCAAGCCACCTGGGCAGACCAGCTCCACTGCACACCGGCTCTGTGACCACAGGCAATGATGTAGGCTTTCTGCCCTGCAGTCCTCTTAATGTGTAACGACAGGACCTGACAGTCATCTGGGGCCTGGAGTGACCTGACACCCAGGAAGCACTTGACACCTGGCAAAGTCCCTGAAAATGTGAGCTACTGCTATGTGGTTGCTAGAGTTGCCTGTCCCACTGTCAGGAGACCTGACAACGGTGACATCACAGTCGCCATGTGACTGTGACCGGGTGAGCTGTGAATACAAACCTCGGGTCTCCTGGTTTTCCCGTCAGGCAAGGCTCCCAACTTGCTGGACGATGACTTGGCATTGAAGTGAATGATGTCAGAGTCATGGCTCGTCACTGCACTCGGGCTCCTTTGAACCATCTAAGCAAGGGCAAGAACACGCAGGGGTCTGGTTTCTGCAGAGACACATACGTGTCCACACGCACATATTTCCTAAGTTACGAACGTACTGGAGCACGTACTACATACACCTGGGAAACCATCCCCTCGGTCAAGACAGCAAAGGTGTCCATCGCCCCCAAGTGTCCCCACCACTGCCTCGGAAACCCATCCCTTTGCCCCCAGCCCCCGGCACCCACTGACCTGCTTTTCATCACTACCTGTAACCTCGCACTTTCTAGAACTTTGTCTAGATGTGATCGTGCAGTGTGTACCCTTTTGCCCTGGACTCTTTCACCCAGCCTAACTCTTGCGACAGCCCTGTTGATCGAGTATCACGAGGAATCCTGAGGCACTTCTTGACAAGCCACCTCCCACGGGAGGGATGACTGCGTCTGGTTAGCTCGGTAGGTTGTCTGCAGGTTTCGATGATGGGCCTGTCTTCTGACCCAGGACACGGTCTGGTTTTGTACAGCATCACGAACACTGGGAGACAGTGCAGTTTGCTACTCTCCTTTAGTAAGTTTGCTAAATGGTGCTGTTTGAACCTCTGTGCTGCCTGTAGTCAGCTTGCCATGTGTTTCTAAGAGCAGTCTCTCCAGTTGTGGGTCTGTGTCACTGGTGCTCTGAAAGTCACAGGTGTTGAAGGGTTGGTCCCCAGCTGGCAGATTCAGTCACAGGAAGGTGACTGGCTCTTGAGGATTATTTGGTAGCAGTGTTGGGAGGTGGTGGAGGCCTAAGGAGGTGGGGCCTGGGTGTCCCCAGACCCTTCCAGTCCTTTTCTGCTCTGCTTCCAGCATGATGCCCTAGCCCACAGCAATGGAGCCAGTTCGCCGTGGCCCCAAGCCTCTGAAACCAGGAGACAAAATACACCTTTCCTCCTTTCATGTTGTCTGTGTCAGGTATTTTGTCACAGCAACAAAAGGCTGACCAGCACACTCTGAAATCCTTTTTGCCTGACGTTGATGCAGCACCCAGCTTTCATTGACTGGTGTCAGTGTGGTACAGGCACCTCTCCGTACTTCCACATTCACCTGTCATGGGTTTGTTGTAGATGATTTAGAGGCCAGTTTTGATTTTATAAATCAACCTGACAATCCGCCTTTTATTTGGGTGTACAGTCGTTTACATCAATATGATTAATCACTGCCCTGCTGTTTGTCCCTTTTTTTTTTTTTTTGAACTCAGGGTCTACACCTTGAGCCACTCCACCAGCTTTTTTTTGTGATGGTTTTTTCTTTCTTTCTTTTTTTATTCATATGTGCATACAATGTGATGGTTTTTTCAAGACAGGGTCTTGTGAACTATTTGCCTGGGCTGGCTTCGAACCACAATCCTCCCGATATCGGCCTCCTGAGTAGCTTGATAACAGGCGTGAGCACCAGCACCTGGCTCTGCCTCCTTTTGGCTCGAGAGTTTTTACACTCCACTTTGTCTGCTTTGCTGGCTCCTTGGGATGCCGTGGTTCACAGTGCACTTGCTTGGCTCAGTGCAGTGTGCCCACAGGGGTGGGGCGGCAAACTTGCTCTCCCAGTTCTCCTTTTGTAGCTTTTGAGCTCTTGTCATCATCTTGGGGAGACTGTCATCACCGTTGCTTTAAACACTCAGCATTTGAAGGGATTTAAAACAAAAGTTATTTCGTATGGATTCACGCAGCTTTGTCTCCAGTGCTCTTTGTGCCTGTGAGAGGGCGATTGCTTGAAGGACTACTCCCTTTTGCGTCTTCTGGTAATGAATCCTAAAAAGTCTTTATTTAATCTTCACTTTTGTATTCTTTTTTTTTTTTTTTTTGTGGTACTGGGATTTAAACTCAGGGCCTCACACTTGCTGGGCAGGTGCTCTACCACTTGAGCCACTCCACCAGTTTTTTGTGTGTGTTGGGTATTTTTGAGATAGGGTCTCCCAAATGATTTGCCTCGGCTGGCCTTGAACTGAGATCCTCCTGACCTCAGCCTCCCCAGTAGCTAGGATTACAGGTGTGAGGGCTGGTGCCTGGCTCTCCCTCTTCTTCTTGTGATGAAGTGCTCATAACGTAAAATTCCTGTCTTAGCCTCAGTGCATGGTTCTGTCGCCCTGAATGCCTTCATGTTGTGCTCTCATTGCTACCATCCACCCCCAGAGCTGAGTGTGCAGAACTGGGCGGTCCCTTATCTCCCCATCCCTCTGCCCACCAGACCCCACAGCCACCCCCCCACTCTCTGTCCGTTGAGTGCACTGCTGGGGAGCCTCATGCAATCACAGAGGAGCCCTTCTGTGACCTGGACTTATTTCCCTTAGTGTGACAGCATCAGGTGCAGACATGTAGCATGTGACAGACTCCTTCCTTAAAAAAATCAGTACGAACTGTCTAAAGGGTTATTTGCAACACACATATAAATATAAACTCACCTCATTAAGAGAGATTAAGTCTCGCATTGGTGGTATGGTGGTGAGCATAGCTGCCTCCCAAGAGAGATTCTCTCTTAATCCCCGTCCTTTTTAAGGCTGAGTGGTACTCCATTACACATGTATACATTTGCTTGGCCATTCGTGGGTGCACACCTGTGGGCCGTCACACCTGAGCTGTTGGCAACAGTGCCACCATGAGCATGGAGGTGCAAACCCTCCTCCAAGGCCCTGCTTTCCTTCCCTGTGGGTCTACACCAGGAGTTGAAAGCACTGCTCACACCACTTCAGAGTCCTGCAACAGTGCACAGGGTTCCACGCTGCTTGTCACTCCGTTTTCCTGACAGTAGCCGTCCTACTGGGTGTGAGGTGGTGTCTCACTGTGGCTCTGATTTGCAGTAGTAGGGCGTGCCTATTTTGTTATTGAATTGGGTTTTTTTATGCTGTGGAGTCTTAGATTTGCTCGGTGTATGGAGAAGGTGTCAGGTATTGGGTTTGTGCCTCACACGCCAGGCTGACAGTGCCCTCGGATGTGCAGCTTTTTGGGGTTTTTTCTGGGGAGCGAAGCCAGGGCCTTGTGCAACTAGACAAGCGCTGTGCCATTTATCCATGCCCCAGCCCTCTCAAGTTTTTATTGTACACGGTTTGTAGGTTAGTTTTTGGTTATCTAAAGTAATCATACAATCACTTTTTGTTTTTTTGTTTTGGTGGGACTGAGATTTGAACTCAGGGCTTCCCGCTTGCAAAGCAGGCGCTCTACTACTTGAGCCACACCTGCAGTCTACTTTGCTCTGGTGATTTTGAAGATGGGGCCTCTGAACCATCTGCCCCATGCAGGGCTCTCTTTGTGATGTCTCACGGTGTAGGCATCACGGTAACCTACCCATTGGTCTTTTGCTCATCTGTGCGTGTCTTCTCCCTCACTTTTAAAGATCATCTTCCCTGGACACAGGAATTTTATTGACAGTTTTTTCTCCTTGTATTTTGGGGTTTTTTTTTGTTTTTTGTTTTTTGTTTTGTCTTTTTTTTTTTTTTTCTATTTTTTCCTTTTTTTTTTTTTTGGTGCTGGGGACCGAACTCAGGGCCTTGCACTTGCCAGGCAAGCGCTCTTCCACTGAGCTAAATCCCCATCCCTGCTCCTTGTATTTTGAATGCTAAAACACTAAAGCCCACTGTCTTCTGGCCTCCAAAATTTCTGATCATAAATCTGCCAGTAACCTCCTTAGGGATCCCTTGTATGTGATAGGCCACTTCTCCCCTTCCCCACCCTCTAGTGTTTTTGAGAAAGGGTCTTGCCACATGCTGCTGGCCGGCCTTGATCGTGACCCTCCTGCCTCTGCCTCCTGGGTGCTGGGACTACAGGTGTGTGCCACCACGCCCAGCTCTCTTGACCTGTGACACCTTCAGCAGCTTTACTAGAAGTATTTTGGTGTAGACCTCTCTGAGTTCATCCACTTGGGGTTTGTTGAGTGTCTTTGAAGTTTATGTCTCATGTCTTTCACTAACTGTGGGAAGTTTTCCGTCAGTGTCTTCAAATGGTCTCTGCTCCTCTTGCTCTTTTCCTCGGGGACTCACGACATGCTTATTTACGCTGGTGTCCCACGGTCCTGCAGGCTCTGTTCACTGTTCTTCAGTTCTGTTTCTCTGCCTCAGACCCGATCATCCCACTTGTCCTGTTTCAAGTTCACTGATTATCTCCAACCTTCTTCGTACTGCCTTGAAACCCACTAGTGGACTTTCACAAATGTCGTTTGCCTGATTTCCTACATCTTCTTGTAGTGTCGTGTCTTCACAACTGTTCGAGTCTGTCATGTAACTCTGCCACCTCATCTGAGACGCCTTCTGTGAACACTCCTCCGTGATGTTTTGTTGAACACTGAGTATTTCAACCTCACACTGTGCTGACTTTGGATGTTGAGTTCTCTCACAGAATCTGCTAGTGGTTTGGTTTTTGTGGGGGGAGGGGGAGGATTACTTGGTTTTGCTTTTGCTTTTTTTTGGTCTGGTTTTGATTGTCAAAGGCTGTCTCTGTGACCCTAACATCTTCTGGGGTCTTTCCTGAGCCTTCTCCTCTCCCTGGCACTCTAATTTTCCCCATGTGTGTAGTTGCTTTTGAACGTCTCAGCCTTTAAGTGTCTGGCTTTCAAAATTGAAAGAAAAAAAATAAAGGCAGCACCCAGGTGTGGGGGCAGTGCCGGGAGAAGTGCCGTCCTTTCAGTGCTCAGAACACAGCGTTGGTTCAGGAGTTTGCAACGAGAGGGAGGGGACGGGGCCCGCCTCTGATCTCACCTGTGATCACAGCAGGCCCAGGTACTTGTGGGACAGGGTCCTTTCTGCACCCACAGCTGCCCTCGAACCTCTCCTAGGCACATGCATGCAGCCTGACCCGGTGGGGAGGACAGCGCTCAAGGCCACAGCTGAAGGGACAAAAACCAACCCTCCAAGCTTTGCCCCAGAAGTTGCAGGTCCTCGGCAGGCTCACCGATCAAACTGCTCCAGGCGGGAAGCCTGGCTACTTGTGCTTCCAGCCACCATCTCCCCGCAATCCCCTTTGCCTCACTTTTAAAAGTGTGTTTGCTGGGTGTTGCATTTCGTTCCTCTTAACCTTTTCAAAATGTTACTCCACCAAAACAAAAAGTTTGTGCTCAGTTTCTCTCTGTCCCCTGCAGATTTTATATCCTTTATCTCTGCCTGCTTTGGACATTTCATCACTGTTGGAAAACCAGTTGATTACAGGGTGTCTCCATGCACCCTTTGTATTCCTTCTGTTGGGATTTGTTGAATTTCTGGGATCTGTAAGTTTGTAGGGTTCACGATTTTGGAAATTTTTCAGCCATTATTTCTTCAAATAACTTCTATTTCCTCCCTCCTGGGATGTGAATTACACATACAGAAGCACATCTTATAATGAACCCACTAAAAGTGGAAAATATCTTCAGTCAAAAATGCATTTGCACTGGGTGCTGGTGGCTCACACCTGTAATCCCAACTACTCAGGAGGCAGAGATCAGGAGGATCGAGTTTCGAAGCCAGAACTTATCTCAAGATAAGTTCTTGAGATCTTATCTCAAAAAAACCCATCACAAAAGAGGGCTGGTGGAGTTGCTCAAGGTATAGATGACGAGTTCAAACCCAGTACCACAAAAGAAAAAAAACCACATTTGTGGTTAGAGGTGTAGCTCTGAGGTAAAGCACTCACTCTTGTAGCATGCGCAAAGCCCTGGGTTCCATCCCCAGCACTGCTCCTCCCTCCTGAAAGCAGCATTTGATTCACCTGATCTTCAGAGAGTCCCAGCTTAACCTGCCCTGCCTTAAACATGCTCAGCACGGCAGGCACAATCATCTGACTCGAAGCCTAGTTTACACTAAAGTGTGACTATCAAAGGTAGCTTATTGAACATGGCACGCTGCAGAGCACAGCACAGGTTGCTCACCAACACGACTGTGGCTGATTGGGACTTAGGCTGGCGGCCACTGCTCAGCATCGTATTGCTGTCACTAGGCCTGAAAAACAACCAAGATTCAGAGCAGGGTCTGTGCTGGATGTGTTTCACGACTGCGTCATCATGAAGTTGCAAAATTGTCGGTCAAACCTTTACTCAGGAGCCACGTGCATTAGGCTTCGTAACAGCTCCCCACTCATTGCTTCCTTCACTCTGTTTTGGGTGTTTCTCTCACTGTGTCTGAAGTTAGTCATTCCTCCATCCGGAGTGCCTCTGCCACCTCGTGAACACACAGAGTGAGTCTACGGTAAGACCTGTCTCCTCACCCGTCACCCTTGTCATTTCCAGGTTTGTTTTTGTTTTGGTTGACTTGCTGTTCTCACTCAAGGTTGATTGGATACTAGATATTTTGTACTTGACATTGTAGTATACGGGAAGTTCTCAGCATTCGTTTAAATGTTTTTGTGTTTTGTCCTGAGACACACTTAAGTTAGCTGGAAGTAGTTGAATCCTTTTTAGTCTTTCGAAGGGCAGCCTTCAGTGAAGGACACAGACACCAACACAGTCACCAAAGTGCTCAATCTGACATCCCTTTGTGTTAGCTTTCCATTGCAGTGACAAAATACTTGAGATAAACCAACCTACAGGGAGGAAAGGTTTATTTGGTTCATGGTTTCAGAGGCTTCAGTCCATGGGTGCTTGGCCCTGTTTTGGCACAGTGCATCATGGTGGGAGTTCGTAGGGAGAGAAAGTGCTCACTGATGGCAGCTGGGAAGCAGAGGAGTTCGTAGGGAGAGAAAGTGCTCACTAATGGCAGCTGGGAAGCAGAGAAAAGAAGAGAAAGGATCTGGGTGTCCCAATATCCCCTGCAAGGTCACAGCCCCAGTGAGCTTTCCTCCACTAGGCCCCACCTCTTAAAGGTTCTACCACTTTTCCAGTAGTGCCATGAACTGGGGACCGAGGCTTTACCACACGTGCCTTTAGGGGACAGTTCTTACTCATGATAAGGAATGTCTCCTCCAGCCACTGGGGACGTAACTGTTCCCAGCTCTGCATGAGTCTTGGGCCTCCAGGAGTTTCCCACCTGCGTGGACACATCGGTACACTCCACAGCAGCACTGGGAGCTTCTGCAGACCTTGGGGCTCACTCTATCTGCACAGCTTTTCGCTCTGGAGAAGACATCACAGTATGGCTTCCCCAGGTGACCAGAATGTGTAGTGGCTGGGCACTGAGTGCTGAGCACAAGGCTGGCCTGAGGATCAGGACTGTCCCCATTCTTAGTCACAAGGGGGCAGCGATAAAGCCAGGGCATGACACCACTTCCAGTTGCTGGAGAAGGATGAGGGAGCAGAGCCCTGTACCAGAAGCCACGTGAAGCTGAGCTATGACGGTCCTCCGACCAGCACCTGCATGCCCATCTGTGATAAGGGGATGTATGGGGATGTCATCTGTCATCTGCCATGGCTCTTTGTGGCCACCTCATCCTCCTCTGAGGTTATAAGAGGGTGGAACTTAGTCTGACTAGGATGTTGGGAGGTGGCCTGTAGGAGGTGATCTGGATTAGATAAACCATCTCGGTGGGATCCACACAGCTGGATACTGGTGGCTTTATAAGAAGAGGGAGGACAGACACACACAAGCACACACTCTGTCTCTTGCATGTGTCACCTAGTGACTTCCAGGAAGAAGGCTGTCACCATATTCGATCCCTTGGCCCTCCACCAGAACTGTGAGGGGAGGCTCTCGTTTGTAAAGGTGTTTTGTTACAGTAATGACAACTATTATACCATCTATGAAATTACAAATGAATTCAAGGCAGACGTTGACTTCTGAGACAAGAAGTCCACAAATGGCGGCCAGGTGACCAGAGAAAGCCATCAGTCATATCCGCCTCCTGCGGAGGCATTGCTGGCTCAGTGGGAGGCCCTGAGGTGCTGAAAAGAACACCAGGCCTGGCTTCCCCGCCAGGAATCCAAGCCTCAGCGCCCGATGTTCGGTGAAGAGACACTCCTTGAAGAACAATGAGAAAACCCACCTGAGAGTGCTGCGTCGTCGCCAGTGCTATGGCTCAGGGGCCCTGAGATTCTCCCTTGTGGCCCCAAAATGTCAGAAATCCCTCCAGCCTGCTGTCCCAAGCCCCAACCAGAAACTTTTGTTTCAATTTGACTCAGAAGCTAGATCCTGGGTCTTGTGATTTTGCCAAGGCCAGCTTCGGACCACAATCCTCCTACTTCTGCCTCCTGAGTAGCTGGGACTACAGGCGTGCACAACCATTCAGCCTCAGGCTGTCACTCTTATGAACACTAGATAAGTGTAATGAAGCATCTCACACATCCCACAGCTCGAACCTGCTGTTCTGTGTGGTCAGTGCACACACCGATCCTCACTGTGGCACTTCCACTGTTGTGGGGACGAGTCTTTCCTCCTGGGCTATGACCAGTAAGTATATTTGCCCTAACTTAAAAAAACAAAGCCCCAAATAACAAACTCCTCTCAAAATATGAAAACACATTATATCTTAAGTCTTAAATTATTTCCTGGAAAGGATACAAAAGCCAGAGTTAGTTTTCAGTGAAGGTTCAACCATTCCAGCATAAGACTATCCCTTGCTTTGTGAATTCCAAGGTGGTGTTTGTTACCTGGCTTATGGTTGTATAAATACTTCCCTGTTTGTTTCCAGACAAGTCATCATATGTAACGTTTAGAGTGGACTTGGTCATTTGGTCTGGAACGCAGCAGAGTGCAAAGGATAAGAGAGCTTCAAAGAATTCCAGGAAAACCAACTGAAAGAGAAGAAAACAGAGGGCCTCACTCATTCTGACACCAGAGGTGGGCCAGCCTTAAGCAGGTGTTAATTTCCTACCCATTCATCCATCCCTGGCTGTACGTGCAGTCACGTGTGTGCATGTCTGGATCTCTACAGAGGGAGATACTGTTTTATGCATTGGGTCAGGTTGCTTCCCATCAGCTCTGGGTTCTCATATCCTAGGCAAAGCAGACACACCCTTTTACAAACCTCAAATTCGAAGTTGCTGTCGACACCGTCATGCACGGCAGGGCTGTCCTCTGCTATGGCCATCATAAATTTGGTTGCAGTTAATCCTTTACTTATCATTCTAAAGTCCTGTAAGACGAGAACAAGGCAGCAAATCATGACTGCTGCAATGCTGATGCATCAACAGAGATCAGCCACCCATGGTGCTTCCCTTGCATGCCCTTCCTCATCCTGAAGCCACAGGGAAGGTGGGAGCATGGCGCTCAGTGCAGGTCCACAAGGCTGTGAGGAACAAGACCGGCTCAGGCTGCGCTGCAGGGACTTAGGAAGCAGAGGAGTTGCACCCTGAGTCAGGCTGGACACAGGCGGCCAGTGAGTGTCTGGCCATCCCTGTTCCCTGGTGAAGCCTTCCAATTTGGCCAAGCAAACTCTTGTCCCTCCTCAAGTCACTGTGCACACTTAGGGGGCCCTGCCCCCACAGCCAGCCCCGCCCCTCACTGAGCGAATTCTGTCTTGGAAAACTGCAGCCAAGACAAAGATCTGTCTGTGCTCACAGTTGCAGGGTGGCGCTGCCCTGGCTGATCACAGCAGAACCTAACCTCTGACAAGTGCCACCACCCACAAAGAGCTTTAAATAGCTGTACAGCACCATGGTCCAATGTGTAAGTGACAGCCAGGATTCAGGAAAAGGCTTGATACAAAAGCCGAGCAAACCAACAAACAACAACGAAAGTGATTTAAAAAAAAAAAAAAAGCAGGACTTGGTGGGAAAAGAGCAGAGGGAAAACACCACAGGGCCTTCTTCCTCCAAATCCATTTCTTCAGTGGGAGGTGGAAATTGAGAGGCTCGAAGTCCATGGCCCGCCTAGGCAAAAAAGTCAGCAAGCTCCTCCCTGAGCAAATGAGACAGGTGCAGTGATGCACGCCTGTAATTCTAGCCACGTGGAGGCGTAGGTAGGAGAATCACAATCAAAGGCCAGCCCTGGGATGGCAAAAAGGGCTGGCGGAGGGGCTCAAGTGGTAGAGCGCCTGCTCAGCAAGCGGGAGGCCCAGAGTTCAAACCCAGTGCTGTCAGAGAGAAGGATGTTATATCCAAGTAAAAACAAAAACACCTTTGAAGAACTGCTAGGCTGTCAGCTCATTCTGAAAACTTTGCGGACCCCTCCTTTCCTGCATGGACTGTAACTGAGCACTTAAATATCTAGTGATGAAGTCCTTCTTGAAGCAAGACTCATGCTGGTAACCGCAAGAGAAATGGTGGATAACAGATGTCAGCAGTGACCCTTGGGGCTTCCATGGCCACTAGGCTTGTGGTGGACACGGTAGTGGAAGGGCTGTAGTGGTGCCCTCGAAAGCCACTGGTGTAGCCTGGCATTGCTGAAAGGAGCAGTTTCTGACAGGATGTCACAGGAAGGACACAGAACATCTGTGGGGTTCACCTGTGGCACACCGAACCTTTACGTTTAGCTGCCGCTTTCACGGAAGCGTGGGGAAGAGAACGCGTTAAAGACTACAAGGAGGAACCAAGCAAAGCCAGGCATCTGACCTTTTACAGAAGGACAAGTGGCCTGGTTTCTTTAGTATAAATGATCACACTGTGTGACTCCATCCCCCAAATTATGTACTTTTAATTTTAACTTTCCTATAGTTAGACAACACTGTTAAATTTTCACTGCTGACACAGTGGCTCATGCCTGTAATCCCAGCTACTCAAGGATTGTGGTTCGAAGTCAGCCTGGGCATAAAGTGAGACCCTATCTCAAAACTAACTAAAAAACAAAAAGACTGGTGGGGTGGCTCAGGTGGTTGCACACCTGTCCAGCAAGCAGGAGGCCATCAGTTCAAACCTGAGGAACAAAAAAAACAAAAACAAACAAACAAAAAAACCCCAACCTGATCATCAATATTAGGCTCTTTCACTTTTATTATTTGCATTCCACAAGTACAAATAAAAGTGTCAGAACCAAACTACCCACAGCCAGTATGAGGGCACTGTATAAAGATGTCAGTAGTTTGAAAAATAGTAACTTTTTATTTATTTTTTTATTTTACTTTTTTGAGTCAGGGCCTTCACCTTGAGCCACTCCACGAGCCCTTTTTGGTGATCAGTTTTCTCAAGATAGGGTCTCATAAACTATTTCCCTGAGCTGGCTTCAAACCTCAATCCTCCTGATCTCTGCTTTCTGAGTAGCTAGGATTACAGGAGTGAGCCACCGGTGCCTGGCTCAAACTAACAATTACTTTTTTGATGAGCAATAATTTTTTAAAATTACATTCACCCTCCCACCCTCCTCTCAGTGCCAGGTCTGCATGAGGAAAGACACCAAAGAGTGAGGCCCTTCCTCCCCTTCCCTGCGAGCACACTGGGTAGGCAGGCAGCCATGACCCCGGGCCTCCCACCAGTGCCCAAGGAGATGCAGCGAACATCAGTGGCCATAAAACTCCATGCCAGACCTTCACCTCATTATTAACATGACAGCTAGAATCTCCCATCCCTTAATTAAAATTGAAATGCCCACATAAAGCCGCATCAAACCCAAGCGTCCGCAAGCTCACACTCAGCATCCAGAGAAAGTGTCTCATCTTCATCGTGGGCTCGTGTGGCACCGTGGCACTCGGCCTGCAGTACGCGAGGTAAATCTCCCAGCTCTTGTCAATGTAATTCATCGAGTACAGCGTCCTCTGCTGCTCACTGAACAGATTTCCTGAAAGCGTAACATTCAAGGATGGTTCCAGAACTCAAATTTGAAGAAGTGACGGTAAGCACAGTCCTGTTCTTTTTGTCTTTACCTTTCACCTGGCAGGCATTGGGATGAATGTTCTCAGCCATCAGTTTTGTAAAACACAGAAAGAGTGACGGGCTTCTATTTCTGTGATTAGAAAGACACCATAATTACTCCTCCCTCCAGCAGAGGCAAGGTGGAGCTCTACTTCTTGAGAGTAGGCTAGGCTTAACCTTAACACGGGGAAAGAGGAGAACAGTAAGATTACAGTAGAAAGCCTGCCTGACACCCCTTCAGTGTGTGAGCACGGTCAGTGACACTGTCAGTAAGGAAACACGGCGACATCATGTAAGGTCCTTTACATAGGGCACTTCACCACAGTGGTCCCCAAGTCCATGACCTCACTGTGCTCATGAGAAAACATCCCAATGCACCAATGCAATCCAGAACCAGGGCACATTTACACAAAACTGACCTGCTTCTTTGCTTTTGGTTTTTGTGTTTTGCAGTGCTGGGGATGGAACTCAGGGCCTTGCTAGACAAGTGTGCTACCACTGGCTACACACAGCAGCCCTTGGCGTTTTTTGAGACAAGGTCTCACTTTGTAGCTGAGGATGGCTTTGAACTCATGCTCTTCCTGCTTCAGCCTCCCCAGTGCTGGGATTACAGGTATGTACCATCATGCCCAGCTCTGATATTTTTCAGCATCAAGGCGATGCAAATCAAATCTGAGAAATTATCACAGATTGGGTGACTCTGAGAAGATGTGACAGTAAAATACAATGTGACTCCTGGATTAAATCCTGAAACAGAGAAGGGACCGTGGAAAAAGGGGGGAAATTCTAATAGCCAGTAGAGTTAAGGTAGCAATGGTGATCCCTTTTTTTCAATGAACACAGTGTGGTTTGTATGATGTCAGCGTTAGGGAACTCCAGTGAAGATACACAGGTACTCTGTGTACCAACAGCAATGCTTCTGAAAATCTAAAATTATTTCAAAATAAAGGGATTTGTTTGTTTGTTTGTTTTTAAATAGACTTGAGAAAGACCAGAAATTCTGGCCTAAGAAGGAAGAGTCGATTGTGACTACTTCTGAATAAAACTCTTAAGAGCTGTTTAAACTTTTGGAACAATGCCGACATGCAGGGTTTCCCAGGTCTGAATGGCGCATCTCAGGGCTGTGTGGCTGACACTGTGGAAGATTCTTCAGGACCTTCATTTCAGGGTAGTAAAACGGTGATAAAGGATGACATGGCCACAGCATGGGTGGGTGCCTGGTGCTACCCTTATGGGACACACACGATACTTACTGGAATTCTTTGTGATGCATGTGGTGAGCCAACTGCAGGAGATAGTTCAAAAAGGTCCTCAGAAGTATGGTTCTAAATGGAGAATGGATTTCCTCAGCTGGTATGTCATTATGGGCTGAAATGAGAAAATTAGAGGGGATACAAAATCTTTTTCAGAATTTTCTTTCATTTAATTTTTGTTAATTGGCAGTACTGGGGTTTGAGCTCAGGGCTTCCAGCTTGCTTGGCTTGTATTCTACCACTTGAACCACTCCCCCAGCTAGAATTTTCTATTATTTGTTTCTTGTATACAATTCAAAGAGCTGAGTAGGTCAGAGTACTTGTTTCTTTGAGAACACTCTAGACACATACGGGCATTCAACAAAAAATTAAATACCACAAGTTACTTATTTATTTATTTTGGTAGTACTGGGGTTTGAACTCAGTTCTTATTTATTTGTTTTGGTGGTACTAGGTTTAAACTCAGGAACTTCACCTTAAGCCACTCCACCAGCCCTTTTTTTGTGAAGGGTTTTTTGAGATAGGGTCTTGTGAACTATTTGCCAGGGCTGGCTTCAAACTGAGATCCTCCTGATCTCTGCCTCCTGAGCAGCTGGGATTACGGGCGTGAGCCATTGGCGCCCGGCTGGTTATTTTATTTATTTTTGTGGTGCCAGGAATTAAATCCAAAGTCTTGTGCCTGCTAGGCACACTAAGCTACATCCCCAGCTCTTGGTTTTTTGAGACAGGGTCGGCTATGTAGCCCAGGTTGGCCTTGAACTTGTGATGCTTCAGCCTCAGACTCTCAAGTGCTAGGATTCCAGGTGAGGGGCCACTATGCCCAGCCCTTTTGGTTGCTTTACGAGACACCAGATACTTTTTCCCCATGTTTTTCAAAGTAGTCTGAATGCTGCTAATTCTAAATGGGTTTTAAGTGTGTTTCCTATGTTTCTAACACTTCTGTTCCAAGCAAATGTGTAACAAGTAACAAAATTCATTATGCCTCCCAGAATGCAGCTGAAGAAAGCAAAACCTTCAGGGTTGTTATCTTCATGACATGAGCTTGAAATCTAGATTAATTCTATTACACCTTTCCTAGATACCCCAAGCCCTCCCTGGTCTTTTTTTTTTTTTTTGGCTGTATGGATGTTTGAACTCAGGCCTTGCTTGCTAGACAGGCGCTCTGTCACTCGTCATGCCTCCATCTCCCCTCTGCACTTGTGCCCTGACTATTGAGTGCTTTTTGCCTGTCGATAGGGGCCAGGCAGACCTTTCTGTAACAGCTGATAGTGGTGCAGACCAGCTCTGTTGCAAGGCCAGCCCCAGGCAATGCAAACACACAGGCAGGCTCAGGTAGGGAGCTGTGGCGGGCCGAATTTGGCTGGGGCCGTTCTCCTCCGACCCTGCCATGGTGGCTTGTGTGGCGCGCCTGTCTCAGGAGGCCATGCACATGTACACTGGAAGCATTGAGCACATCCTCTGCCTTCACCACCCTACTCTCAGCACTTCTGTACCATCTCTGGGTGACTCCAACCTGGAGAGGTGGAAGGCCTGGAGTACTCACCACTTAACACCCTGTCCATGTCAGCAAGGTTTATTTTGTGGTGGTGCAGCTTGCAGTCTTTGAGAAATCTCCAGAAGTGAAGCTTCGTCATCAGGAAGGTGTTATCCAGAGAGTGGTCACATCCCAGGCGGCTGTAGAAGCAATAGATTCTTCTTAGCTCCGTGATGCTTCTCAACATGGCGTATTCCACCTGAGGGGACAAAGCCAGGCCTCATGACAACACACCTAGAAGACAAGTCCCAGAACCTCCCAGACTGAGGACACCGACAGCATGTCCATCCTGCCATGCAGTGAGGGTTCTATTCTGCCTGCTCACCCTCAGTCAGTAAAACACAATTTCTTTTTCTTGCAATACTGGGATTTGAACTCAGGGGCCTCCCACTTGCCCAGCAGGCGCTCTACCCCTTGAGCGACTCTACCAGCCCTCTTTGCTTTAGTTCTTTTTCAGATAGGGTCTTGCTAACCTTTTTCCTGGGCTTGCCTCAAACCAAGTTCCTTCTCATCTCAGCCTGACAAGTAGTTGGGATTACAGGAGAGCCACCGAGCCTGGCCAGTAAAATGCACCTTCTGACAATAACAAAATGTTGTCACCTGGGAAGTGGAGTTCCTTTCATTCTGCTATGTGACAGCATCCTATCTCCATGACAGCCAGGTGCTCCTCTGCAGGAGCCAGCCACTGTCTACATAGGAGCTCACATTCAGGAGGGGGCTGACAGGCTAGAAAGGGGCTTATGTCAGGTTACACAGAAATGACAGTGCAGGTGGCCATTTGGGTGAGAGAGGACAGCTCAATGGCATAGAGGACAACGGACAGCTTGCCTGAACTTGTGCTGGCAGAAATGAAAATAATCCAGAACCCCTACTCCAAACACAAAATCCACATTTTGATAAATGATGCCCACAACAGCAATAACTACGGAACAGCCTTAAATAAACCCAACTGAGAGACTAGTCTGTAAAAGCACTGACCAGTACTGTGCAAAAGCCCCAGGGTCATGGAGGACCCCAGAACAGAAAGGGCATAGGAGACACTTTACAGGGCTCTTTGCACAAGTCTGTGGCTTAGTAACATTTGTCACTGCTGGGCCCTGGTCACCGTGCCCTGGTTATAGAAGAGGTCACGTAAGGGGAGTCTGGGAGAAAGGCACCAGACACTGTGACGTTCTCAAAGTCATCACAAGATTTGCTACAAAGATTGCAGTATTTGCCAGGCGCTGGTGACTCCTGCCTGTAATCCTAGTCACTCATGAGGCAGAGATCAGGAGGATGGAGGTTCAAAGCCAGCCTGGGCAAATAGTTTGCGAGAGAAAAGGTGGGGGGCTTGTGTGCGGAGTGGCTCAAGGTGAAGGCCCTGAGTTCAAGTCCCAGAACTGCAAAAAAAAAAAAATGCAATATATAAAAGGCTACACAGGCATTAGCGGCGTTTAAGGGTGTGCCTAAAAAGACTATGGTGACAGGATTCTTTCCATTCCTGTTACGTATTTTGGTAATGTTTACATTTTTTGTAAAAGCATATGTCCTTTTGGTGATCATAAATACATTTTAAGGTGCACAAATCTTATAAGACACAGCATTCCTTTATAGTTTGGAGTTCCAGCGATGCTGTGTTAAATTTGTGGGCAGGGGAGAACAGTGATGTGAACAATTCGATCCCTCCTTTCCTGGCAAATCAGTTGGGTTTGTATGAGCTCGTTCATCTAAAGATCAAATCTTGGAGAACACTGAGTGGCTATCCTCAAGTCTGCACAAAAAAGATCCTCTGAGCAGAGTAGTCCCAGTTTTCTATCTGTGGGCACAGTAAAAAACTACAAAGCCAGCCGCAGATGCATCTGGGTGGAGGGTCTCTACCTTTTCCTTACCTGTGTTTTCTACATTTTCTACAAGTGTCACAACTGCTTTTGTCATTACAGGAGGCCATGAAGGTTCCTTGCTGTCTCTAATGAATCTGGTGGTAGAGGTGAGTGGTCCCAGGAGCCTGGCTCACAGGCCCAGAAGAGGTCCGAGTGCGCACACAACTGTTGTTGGCCTTGGGACCAAAACCGGGGGGATGGGGGAGTGTCAAATCACCCCTTTCCTGGCACACAGAACCAGGCGCCAGGTGCCATGCAGCGAGGAAGAGAAAGGAGGTGAGGTGTAAAGGGGCCTGTGGTTCTAGCAGCTGACACGTCTCCAGTAAGACTTTCACAGGAGACACAGCTGGTGGCTGTGACTATCAGATGTCAGTCAAATGAGATCCAAGAGCATGTCACTGACTCTTGTCTCTAAGGGCTTCTGGATCTCCAGAGATTTCTTTTTTCCTTTTTTCTTTTTTTTGCGATACTGAGCTTTGAACTCAGGGCCTACACCTTGAGCCACTCCACCAGCCCTTTTTGGTGATGGGTTTGCGAGATGGGGGTCTCAGGAACTATTTGCCTGGTCTGGCTTTGAACTGTGATCTTCCTGATCTTTGCCTCCTGAATAGCTGGGATTACAGGTATGGGCCACCAGCACCCAGCTTCCAAAAGTTTCTAAGGGCTCTAAATTCTTCTAAAACTTGAAGTGTAATAGTGCAAGGGCTGGGTGTGGCTTGAGTGGTAGAGCAAGCGTGGGGCCTTGAGTTCACACCCCAGCTGTACAAAGAATAAACAAATGTAATGGTGCGTGGCAGGAACAGCTCCCACAGAGACAGGCAGCCACAGCCTTGGCCCACAGAGGTAACGTGACCTCTGGGCTCTGAGGCGCTGGGGACCTCACTGCGTCCAGTCCTCTGGGTGCCCATTTTTCCACAAAGCCTGCTCTTTCCAGGGCCACCCTGCAGAAGAAGCGGGGTCACCTGGAGAGAGCATCCCTGTCGGCGACTGAGCTGCTGTCCCGAGGCCACACTTCTGTCACTTCTCATGCTTTACAGCAGCATGAGGGGTGTTCTCTACCTGCTGCTTTTCATGGGCCTGGGTCTCCTTTGGGTACAAGTTCAGCAAGGAGGTCAGGTCCAGTTCCACGCTTGACCCTAGCACCGCGTGGCTTCCGCTGCCATCCAGCCTTCTCATGATCTCTACAAGCAAGGCAAACACAGGGCTCTTGTGAAGAGCAGTGTCAAAACTGTCCAAGACCCCATGCATCAGCGTGTGCAAGAGCATTCGTGAAGCAGCACCAGGTGTGTTTTTGAGTGGTGCAAATGTGTCCCTGACTGTGGGGAGTGCCCCTACCAGCCCCGAGAGAGGATCCCCACAGCCTGCTGCTCTGGAAAGCATCCGAGGGCCGGCCCCGGGCCTGAGCAGGTTCTGCTCCGTCTGCACATGGTGCGATGTGGTCATCGCAGAACTGGCCTTCATACACACGCCCATTCTTGAAAGTGAATCGGCCCTGCAGGGAGAGAAACGGCTTTTTGCAGTGGGAGGCAAATCTTCCTGGAAAATCACTGGTGAACGTACATGGACAGTGTGGTCAAGGGCTCCGACCTTTCTGCTTGTTTGTTTGGGAGCTACACTTAGTGCATGCAGTAGCAGCTCCTCGGTGCTGTGGTCTCCCTCTCCTCCTTTCTCCTCTCTGCCCCCCTTCTGTATCTGCCCCCAGACTCCCCTCAACTTTAATCACCTCTAGATCACAAGATGTGCCTCGTCAACCTCTGCATGTGGTCAGCGGGGTGCTCACCAATGACAGGGACTCCTCTGCTGTTTGCCAAGCCCAGGTCAACAGTCAGGGACTGACTCACATGGGGGCAACGGACCCTATGTGGCCGGCTGAAATGGATGACAGCATACAGAGCTTCTGGGAAAAGACCTTTTTTTCTTCTATTCAGTGGGGTATGTGGTATGTGCATGTGAAGACTGGAACCACGGCAGCCTTCTTGCCATCATGGGAAAGGGGCAACACAGAGATATTGTGGGTAGATGGAAGAGAAGTCCTGATATCACTGTCATGGAACCAAAGCCACCTGGAAGCCCCCATTATTCTTTTTGTTTGTTTGTTTGTTTTTTTGGCGGTACTGGGGTTTGAACTCAGGGTCTACACCTTGAGCTACTCCATCAGCCCTTTTTTGTGATGGGTTTTTTTGAGATAGGGTCTCAGGAACTACTTGCCTAGGCTGACAGTGACCCATGATCTTCTTGATCTCTGCCTCCTGAGTAGCTGGGATTATAGGGGTGAGCACCGGCACCTGGCTCTTCCCACTATTATTAGTTACAGATTAATGGCAGACTAAGCTACCCTGTCTGTTACTTACAGCAGAAACCACCCAGCACACACACACACCAAAAATTGTATAACTTGTAAATACCTAGTGAGTGGATAACATGCCAGAAATATTTTTAAATTCCTGTGATCACAGTAAGTGACCTGTGCAACGTAAGCACTGCACAGTATTTGAACAGACTCCCAGTTGGTGGACGAGGTCTGTGGCCTACACTCACCATGCCGTGCTTTTTGTTGGACACCCACTCCCCCTCGTACATGGCTCCACTGGCATAGTAGAATGTGCCACGCCCGTGACGGCAGCCGTTTAAGAACTCCCCAGTGTACTCGTTCCTCATAGGGTACTGGGATTGCAGATTCTCTTCACAAACCACGTGTATGTCCCAAAGCCATTCTGAAAGAAAGCAGCTGCCCTCAGAAGTGCCCTGAATACTTCCTCCTTTGACCTGATTGCCTATAGAGGATCCTATATAGAATCCCAAAGAACCTACAAAAAGCAACTGGAAGGAATTGTTACATGAGATTACCAAGCGCCCAATTACCGGATTAATATAAAGATAATAGAAGTTCAAGCTTGGTGGGTGTTTTTTTTTTTTTTGAGACAGGGTCTCACTAGGCCCAGGCTGACATGGAATGCCCGGTCATCCAGCCTCACCCTCCTGAATGCTGGGATCACAAGCACTCACCACCGTTCCCATCTGATAAATTGTTACTGTTGTCCTCATAGGAACCGCATGAATGAATGCATGGATTTGCCTGTGCCGGAACTTAGCTTGTGTGTAAGACTGCTCAAGGAGAGTAAATCATAAAACAGCGTTAAAAAATGCAGATGGTACCAGGTGTGGTGGTGCCCACCTATAATCCCAGCACTAGGCTGGCTGAAGCAGGAGGATCCTGAGTTCAGAGTCAGCCTGGGCTACACAGTGTGACCCTATCTCAAAAAAAAAAGAAAACTTGTAAAGTGCAGTTGACGCCCGTGTGCTGTGCTTCGCATTTCCCAACAGAACAGAGCCTGGACTGCAGCTTCCCACAGGACCCGCTCCCAGACAGCACCGGCTGGGGGCCCAGGTGTGAGCAGCGAGCGGGCAGTGCCTACCTGGACCCCCTTCTCCCAGTTCCCAGTGTATTCCTCGCGGGTGGCCAGCCATCTCATTCTGCCTTCCCCATGGCGCATGTTGTCCCGCCACTGGCCTTCGTATATGTTTCCAGACTTGTAACTGTGACAAGAGACCAAAGAGGGCCAAGCGGTTACCTCACACTCAGCAATTACCTTCACGACTCAAACTTAGCTGGACACAGTGGTGCATATCTGTAATCCCAGCACTTGAGAGTCTGAGGCAGGAAGACCACAAGTTCGAGGCCAGCCTGTGCTCTGCAGCAAGATCCTGACTCAAAAAAATCAGAGCATGTGCAAGGTTCTAGGTTCCACCCCTAGAACTTAAAAAAAAAGATTCAAACTTTTCCCTGAACACCTATGAAGAAATCGTAGTACCTGGGGCTCACTCTTCCCTGTACTGAAATTCAATGGGTAGGCACTTGGGTGGCAAAATAACTACAGAACATAATAAGCCAATTTATTAAGCTTTCTGGTTATTTAATAAGGTGACAGCATGCCTAAGACTGGGGTTTTAACATGTTATAGAAATAATTTCCTATTGTGTTGTGATTAGTTAATATTTGCTCCCAACATCTGGCTCTGCCAGATGTGGTGGTGCACGCCTGTAATCCCAGAACTTGGGAGGCTAAGGCAGGAGGATCTTAAGTTTCAGGCCAGCCTGGGCTACAAAGAGAGACCCTGTCTCAAAAAAAAAAAAAAGAAAAAAATGGCAGATGGAGTGGTTCAAGTGGTAGAGCACCTACCCAGAAGCCCTGAGTTCAAACCCCAGTGCAGACAAAAAAAAAAAATTTCAAATATAAAAGAAAAAAAATTATCAGCTCAATCTAAAGTCAAACAAGTGTGTTTCTGTTCTTTGGATAGCTAAAGGTTTGTGATTAGCACAGAGAACAAAGAAAGGCAGTGTACCTGTGACAAAGGGAGACATTGTCAGACACTCAGTAGAGAGCCTGGCTGAGCTTTCACAGAACATCCTCATTGCTAAGGGGGTGGCTTCGACAGAAGATGTGTTCTCTGTCACTTCCACACCTTGCTTCGGCCCACACCCTGTCCCCACGCAGGCACAATGGGCCACACCTACCATCTGATCCCCCAGCCTTTCTTGATGTTGTGCACCCAGTCGCCCTCGTACCAAGAGGTCCCCTCTTGGTTGTAGTAAATGGTGCCCTGAAATAAAGAACACTTAAAATTGAAATTAGGCCTCTCAACACAGATGCTGCTTCAATATGGAAAGAAACTATATGAATTTTAAAGGCCTAGTTGTACAGAGGTCAATGTCACTTCCAGAGACACATGCTCACCGAGTCCTGCTCTGCAGTCAAGGGGAGTTGTGGCAACGCCATACACGTGAGTCCTTATACCAGTTGGCCTTGTGGCCGCTGTGACAAACCACCTGACAGAAACAACTCGAGAGGAATGATTCATTTTGGCTCCTGGTTTCAGACCACAGCCAAGGGTTTGGCTGAGGCAGAACAGAATGTGACAGAGGCTGCTCCCCTTATGGTGGACAGGAAGCAGGGAGGGAGAGAATAAGAGAGAGAGAGAAAGAGAGAGAGAGAGAGAGAGAAATGGTCAGGGACCAGATACCCCAGTGACATTAATTCCTCTCTTTAGGTTCCACCTCCTAAAATTTCCCATACCTCCCCGAATAGTGCCACCAGCTGGGGACACATGAACCAGTGGGAGGGGGATGCTCCTTGGTGATAAGGTGCCATGTGAAGGCAGGCAGTGTCTGCGTTATATTTGATAGCTGTTAAGTCAAATTAAACCCTTTCAGAAATCTGTCCTGCTGTCACCTGAACTGAGTGCTTGCGCCTTCCATGTAACTCACTGTCACTCTCTTTCGCAACAGGCTCCCACAGCCATCTTGCTTTTTCTTCTGGTAGAGCTCAGGACCTTGTGCTTGCTGGGCAGGTGCCTCTCCACATGAACGTGTTTTATGCATTTTGACCTTTTCCTCATTTTGCTGCCTCTGAGTGTAAGTGAATGTACTGTGACCTTCCTTTGATGACCCATGGAAGCACAGTGGCTCTTTTTTTTTTCCCATAGGACTTCTATCAATTTTATTTTATTTTATTTTATTATTCATATGTGCATACAAGGCTTGGGTTATTTCTCCCCCCTCCCCCACCCCCCTCCCTTACCACCCACTCCACCCCCTCCCTCTCCCCCCCACCCCCTCAATACCCAGCAGAAACTATTTTGCCCTTATTTCTAATTTTGTTGAAGAGAGAGTATAAGCCATAATAGGAAGGAACAAGGGTTTTTGCTGGTTGAGATAAGGGTAGCTATACAGGGAGTTGGCTCACATTGATTTCCTGTGCGTGTGTGTTACCTTATAGGTTAATTCTTTTTGATCTCACCTTTTCTCTAGTTCCTGGTCCCCTTTTCCTATTGGCCTCAGTTGCTTTTAAGGTATCTGCTTTAGCTTCTCTGCATTAAGGGCAACAAAAGCTAGCTAATTTTTTAGGTGTCTTACCTATCCTCACCCCTCCCTTGTGTGCTCTCCTTTTTATCATGTGCTCAAAGTCCAATCCCATTGTTGTGTTTGCCCTTGATCTAATGTCCACATATGAGGGAGAACATACGAGTTTTGGTCTTTTAGGCCAGGCTAACCTCACTCAGAATGATGTTCTCCAATTCCATCCATTTACCAGCGAATGATAACATTTTGTTCTTCATGGCTGCATAAAATTCCATTGTGTACAGATACCACATTTTCTTAATCCATTCGTCAGTGGTGGGGCATCTTGGCTGTTTCCATAACTTGGCTATTGTGAATAGTGCCGCAATAAACATGGGTGTGCAGGTGCCTCTGGAGTAACCTGTGTCACAGTCTTTTGGGTATATCCCCAAGAGTGGTATTGCTGGATCAAATGGTAGATCAATGTCTAGCTTTTTAAGTAGCCTCCAAATTTTTTTCCAGAGTGGTTGTACTAGTTTACATTCCCACCAACAGTGTAAGAGGGTTCCTTTTTCCCCGCATCCTCGCCAACACCTGTTGTTGGTGGTGTTGCTGATGATGGCTATTCTAACAGGGGTGAGGTGGAATCTTAGTGTGGTTTTAATTTGCATTTCCTTTATTGCTAGAGATGGTGAGCATTTTTTCATGTGTTTTTGGCCATTTGAATTTCTTCTTTTGAGAAAGTTCTGTTTAGTTCACTTGCCCATTTCTTTATTGGTTCATTAGTTTTGGGAGAATTTAGTTTTTTAAGTTCCCTATATATTCTGGTTATCAGTCCTTTGTCTGATGTGTAGCTGGCAAATATTTTCTCCCACTCTGTGGGTGTTCTCTTCAGTTTAGAGACCATTTCTTTTGATGAACAGAAGCTTTTTAGTTTTATGAGTCCCATTTATCTATGCTATCTCTTAGTTGCTGTGCTGCTGGGGTTTCATTGAGAAAGTTCTTACCTATACCTACTAACTCCAGAGTATTTCCTACTCTTTCCTGTATCAACTTTAGAGTTTGGGGTCTGATATTAAGATCCTTGATCCATTTTGAGTTAATATTGGTATAGGGTGATATACATGGATCTAGTTTCAGTTTTTTGCAGACTGCTAACCAGTTTTCCCAGCAGTTTTTGAAGAGCTGCTATTTCTCCATCGTATATTTTTAGCTCCTTTGTCAAAGACAAGTTGGTTATAGTTGTGTGGCTTCATATCTGGGTCCTCTATTCTGTTCCACTGGTCTTCATGTCTGTTTTTGTGCCAGTACCATGCTGTTTTTATTGTTATTGCTTTGTAATATAGTTTGAAGTCAGGTATTGTGATACCTCCTGCATTGTTCTTTTGACTGAGTATTGCCTTGGCTATTCGTGGCCTCTTGTGTTTCCATATAAATTTACGTAGATTTTTCAATCTCTTTAATGAATGTCATTGGAATTTTGATGGGAATTGCATTAAACATGTAGATTACTTTTGGGAGTATAGACATTTTTACTATGTTGATTCTACCAATCCATGAGCATGGGAGATCTCTCCACTTTCTATAGTCTTCCTCAATCTCTTTCTTCAGAAGTGTATAGTTTTCCTTGTAGAGGTCTTCACATCTTTTGTTAGGTTTACACCTAGGTATTTGATTTTTTTTGAGGCTATTGTAAATGGAATTGTTTTCATACATTCTTTTTCAGTTTGCTCATTGTTAGTGTATAGAAATGCTAATGATTTTTCTATGTTGATTTTATATCCTGCTACCTTGCTATAGCTATTGATGATGTCTAGAAGCTTCTGAGTAGAGTTTTTTGGGTCTTTAAGGTATAGGATCATGTCATCTGCAAATAGGGATATTTTGACAGTTTCTTTACCTATTTGTATTCCTTTTATTCCTTCTTCTTGCCTAATTGCTCTGGCTAGGAATTCCAGTACTATGTTGAATAGGAGTGGAGATAGTGGGCATCCTTGTCTGGTTCCTGATTTTAGAGGGAATGGTTTCAGTTTTTCTCCGTTAAGTATAATGCTGGCTGTAGGTTTGTCATATATAGCTTTTATAATGTTGAGGTACTTTCCTTCTATTCCTAGTTTTCTTAGAGCTTTTATCATGAAATGGTGTTGGATCTTATCAAAGGCTTTTTCTGCATCTATTGAGATGATCAAGTGGTTTTTGTCTTTGCTTCTGTTAATGTGGTTTATTACGTTTATTGATTTTCGTATGTTGAACCACCCCTGCATCCTGGGATGAAGCCTACTTGGTCGTGGTGAATAATCTTTTTGATGTGTTGTTGAATTCGGTTTGCCATTATTTTGTTGAGGATTTTTGCATCAATGTTCATTAAGGAGATTGGCCTATAGTTCTCCTTTTTGGAGGTGTCTTTGCCTGGTTTTGGGATAAGTGTAATACTGGCTTCATAAAATGTGTTTGGCAGTTTTCCTTCCCTTTCTATTTTGTGGAACAGTTTAAGGAGGGTTGGTATCAGTTCTTCTTTAAAGGTCTGATAGAATTCAGCAGAGAATCCATCAGGTCCTGGACTTTTCTTTTTGGGGAGACTCTTGATTGCTGCTTCAATTTCATTTTGTGTTATAGGTCTATTCAGGTGATTAATTTCCTCTTGGTTCAGTTTTGGATGATCATATGTATCTAGAAATCTGTCCATTTCTTTAAGATTTTCAAATTTATTTGAATATAGGTTCTCAAAGTAGTCTCTGATGATTTCCTGGACTTCCATGGTGTTTGTTGTTATCTCCCCTTTTGCATTCCTGATTCTACTAATTTGGGTTTTTTCTCTCCTCATTGTAGTCAGGTTTGCCAGGGGTCTATCGATCTTGTTTATTTTTTCAAAGAACCAACTTTTTGTTTCATTAATTCTTTGTATGGTTTTTTTTTGGTTTCTATTTCATTGATTTCAGCTATTTTTATTTCTCTCCTTCTATTTGTTTTGGGATTTCTTGTTCTTGTTTTTCTACGAGTTTGAGATATAGCATTAGGTCATTGATTTGGGATCTTTCAGTCTTTTTAATATATGCACTCATGGCTATAAACTTTCCTCGCAGGACTGCCTTAGCTGTGTCCCATAGGTTCCGGTAGGTTGTGTTTTCATTTTCATTGAGTTCCAGGAACTTTTTAATTTCCTCTTTTATTTCATCGATGATCCATTCTTCATTAAGTAATGAGTTATTTAGTTTCCAGCTGTTTGCATGTTTTTTGTCTTTACTTTTGTTGTTGAGTTCTAGTTTTAATGCATTGTGATCAGATAGTATGCACGGTATAATTTCTATTTTCTTATATTTGCTGAGACTTGCTTTGTGCCCTAGGGTATGATCTATTTTGGAGAAGGTTCCATGGGCTGCTGAGAAGAATGTATATTGTGTGGAAGTTGGATGAAATGTTCTGTAGACATGAACTAGGTCCATTTGATCTAAGGTATATTTTAGATCTTGGATTTCTTTATTGATTTTTTGTTTGGATGACCTATCTATTGATGATAATGGGGTGTTAAAGTCTCCCACAACCACTGTGTTGGCATTAATATATGCTTTTAGGTCTTTCAGGGTATGTTTGATGAAACTGGGTGCGTTGACATTGGGTGCATATAGGTTGATAATTATCATTTCCTTTTGGTCTATTTCCCCTTTTATTACTATGGAATGTCCTTCTTTATCTCGTTTGATCAATGTAGGTTTGAAGTCTACTTTGTCAGAGATAAGTACTGCTATTCCTGCCTATTTTCGGGGACCATTGGCTTGGTAAATCTTCTTCCAGCCTTTCATCCTAAGCCTATGCTTATTTCTGTCAGTGAGATGGGTCTCCTGTAAGCAACAAATTGTTGGATCTTCCTTTTTAATCCATTTCATCAAGCAGTGCCTTTTGATGGGTGAATTAAGTCCGTTAACATTAAGGTATGTGGTGATTCCTGTCATTTAGTTGTCTTAGTTGTTTGAAGGTTTGACTGTGTGTACCTAAGTTGAGGTTACTCTCTACTGTCTTGCTTTTTCTTTTCCTGTGGTTTTGTGCTGCCTGTCTTTTCATGGTTAAGTTGGGTTTCACTTTCTGTGTGCAGAATCCCTTGAAGAATCTTTTGCAGTGGTGGCTTTGTGGTCACATATTGTTTTAGTTTCTGCTTATCATGGAAGACTTTTATTACTCCATCTATTTTGAATGATAGTTTTGCTGGGTAGAGTATCCTGGGGTTGAAGTTATTTTCATTCAGTGCCTGGAAGATCTCACCCCATGTTCTTCTTGCTTTTAATGTTTCTGTTGAGAAGTCTGCTGTGATTTTGATGGGTTTACCTTTGTATGTTACTTGTTTTTTCTCTCTTACAGCCTTCAATATTCTTTCCCTAGTTTCTGAACTTGTTGTTTTAATGATGATATGTCGTGGGGTAGTTCTATTTTGATCTGGTCTGTTTGGTGTCCTGGAGGCCAGCACAGTGGCTCTTTATGTAGATCTATGCAGAATGGCTTTGAGTTGCTTCTTCATTGCTTATTTGTGCTTGTGTGCATGTGTACATGTGTGTGTACATGTATACACATGTAGCAATGTTTCTACCTTTTTCCTCACTGCTCAGCTACCTGGTTCCTTCAGTACCCAGGGAGGGCTACTTTAAGGGATCCTTCAAGGCCAGGTGGTGCCCCCTGCAAGCTGTCAAGTGGGGCGGTCCTGGCTCACCCTGTCCTAACCTCTCCCAACTGTGTGTGTAAGGAAGCAGGGTGGCCTTGGTCTCTAATTCTTGTCTTTTGAATGTTGTGCTCTGTGGTGCTGGGGGTCAAACCCAGGCTCTGGTGTGTCTGAAGTCCTGCTCTACTGCTGTGCTGATGCCTGGCCCCTGGCCCTGGAAAGCCAGATCTGGCTTGATGTGCAGACTGTGGCAGCTGTCCCTGGTTTGTTAGGGCTGTGGGTGACTCCGGTGATAGGCATAGACCTCATGGACAACCTTCCCATTGCAGCCGTAGCTGTCTGCAGCTACCATCAAAAGAAATTCAGCACGGAGCAGGTCTCTTTGGGAGAAGCAGGCTGGAAGCAAAGACTTCTAGAGCCAGGATGCTCCAAGATTCCAGGACTGGCCACATTCTGCTTCCGCCATTGCCTCCCTCCCATAGAGCACAGCTGGAGCTAGGGACTTTGGTTCCTATGGAATATCTAAATACTGTCGAATCCTGTTTAGTTTTGTGAGCATTTTTGGTGGTAGTGGGTTTGAACTCAGGGGCTTACACTTGTGTTCTACCACCCAAGCCACTCCAACAGCCTTTTTTTGTGTTGAGTTTTTTCAACATAGGGTCTTGTGAACTATTTGCCCAGGCTGGCCTTGAACTGCCATCCTCCTGATCGCTGCCTCCTGAGTAACACAGGCATGAGCCACCGGCTCCCTAGGCTTTTAAGAAACCATATTTAATATCATGAACCATGGACTTCAAGAAGGTGCGAGCAGACAAGGGAGCAATGCCCTCCCAAATAACATGCTCCAACCTGTCAATCCTCAGCCAGTGTGGAATAAAACAGTAGACTTTTCCTTTATTTGTGGTATTTTTTAAAAGCCATAAGTTTAAAAATTTCTAAAATTGGCTGCAATGTTTTATCATTCCACACAAAAGCAAAATAATAATACCACAAATTGCAAGAAGCTTGCCTGATTAAAAGTGAATGGAGAAGGTAAACTTACAATGGCATATTGCCCAGGCATAAAAAAGAACGGAGTACTGACACATAGCATGACATAGATGAAACTCAAAAATATTATGGTAAAGTGAAAGCAGCCATACACAAAAGGTGACACATTACAGGACTCTTCACATATCCTGCCCAGTAGCCAAACCCATAGAGACAGAAAGCTTAGTGAGGGATGGAGGGAAGGAAAAGGATGGGGGAAGGAAAGGAAGGAAGGGAAAGGAAAGGGAACTGCAAACTTTAAAATGGTCAATTTTATCCAGGCATGGTGGTACATGCCTGTAATCCCAGCACTCGGGAGGCTGAGGTAGGAGGATAGGCAGTTCAAAACCAGCCTGGGCTACTTAGCAAGACCCCATCTCAAAAATTAATAACATGTGTAACTTCGTATTCCCTCAACCCTTTCCTCGTGCCATGTCCAGATGGGACTGTCACCTGGCTGCTTTACCCACCTTCCCATGTCTTTTGCCGTGGCACCACTGGCCAATGTAGGACACAGGGGGCCAGATGCACTTGAACACACCAAATCCATTCCTGATGCCGTTGACTACTTCTCCTTCATACATGCTGCCATCCAGCCATGTGTACACACCGTGGTTCATGGGGACGTTCTTCACGAAGCTCCCCTAGGGTGAAGCAGCCATGAGGGTGGCAGGAGAAGGTTCTCCATCCCCTACCCCGTGGGAACAGTGCACAGGCCCCTCATGTCCTCCCTCCTCCTTCACCTCCTCCCCCCAGGCCAAGGGGCAGCAGGCCATGTGGAGACAGAGCTCCAGGAAGCACGCAGTCCCATTCACTGTCCCCTCCAGGAGGCTGGGGTGACTGCCAGGTAGTGACACCCTCCCCCCTGCCCCCTGGAAACCCATCTTTCCATGGTGGCTCTGCAGACATGGCAGCTGATCACCACCCCAAGGGCACCTTCTGGAGACTGCCTTAGGCCCAGGAGGCTGCTGACAACTGCAGTATGCACACTATGACCTGGGGCCAGTGGCCTCCCTTCTAGGATGTGTGTGTGCTGGGATCAAACCCAGGGCCTTGCTCATGCTAAGCATGTGCTGTCACAGACCCAGGAATCTGAACTTGCTGGATGTCACCAGCTGGCAGATGGAGTCACCTGGCTCGGCCTGGAAAGCCTGAGTCCCACCCATGAAGCCTCCCGCCCAGCTGCTACAGGGCTCTATGCCTGTGAGCAGGACCCCTCCTCCCCCCAGACCCTCTAGGAGTTTCCAGACAGTGAAGCGGAGGGGTCTTCTTGGCAAACGGCCACTGTGGGATCAGAGACTTTGATGCTGGCCACAGGCTAGCATAGCAGGCAGGTATTACCTGGGAAGGGAGTCCCCAGAAAGATGGCTATTGCGCCCAGTCCTCAGCCCCCTCCCACCCGTGCCCCGAGGGCAGCCCCACATCCACTCCAGGAAGCCGCTTCCTGGCCCAATGTGCCTGCGTTTCCATCCCTGCTGGTGTTCTCTGAGCAAGCGTGCCACGAGCGTATGGCTTAAATGTCATGTTACCATTTATAAACCGCACGATGTTACTAGTGTGCAATTGGGAATTTTAGGACAGCATTTTGGGCATGCATGTGCTTTGTGGGTAGGAGCTGAAACTGGTACAGTGTCCAGCAGAACGAATCTATCCTAGCAATCAATTTAAAAATATGCATTCCCCTGGGGCTGGCAACCCTAGTTATGTGAAACCCACATAATGGATTACATACCAGCAGTGAAAATGGCTAGGCCTGGGTGATCTGATATGGTCCAACAGCTGAACAATAAAGGTACAGAAGAGAATGTGTAACAAACTGTCGGCATTTGTAGAAAGTCGGAGGAATTAAACACACAGAACACAGAGCACCGCATTCTGGCCACCCTGGGTGGTCACCTCGTTGCTCTGTCCTGTGCCTTTAACTTAACGTTTCTGAACAGAGCACGTGTCACTGAGGGGGACTGACCATCACAGGTCATGGTGCCGGCTTAGAGCTGTTACTCACTGTATGCTTTACCTCGTATTTCACGCCATCGGCCCAAACGTAAGTCCCCTGTCCATGCATGAGTCCTTCTGAAAACATTCCCTTCAAGACAGAACAACACAAGGCCCTTAGGGTGAAGCTGGGGATTTCGTTTTTTTATTTGGCAGTACTGGGCTTTGAACTCAGGACATCACACTTGCAAAGCAGGTTCTCTACCACTTGAGCCACTCCACCAGCCCTTGGCCTCAAACTCTTGACCATCCTGCCTCAGCCTCCAAAGTGCTGGGATTGCAGGTCTGGTTTCTCTTACCGGGAATTACGTGTGCATGCGCTGATGTGCACACATGCATACGACCTACAGTCCGTGGAGGTTTGGTTCCAGGACCCCCAATAGTCACCAAAATCCATGGACTCCCAAGCCCCTTACATAAAGTGATTTGCAGAGGGCACATCCTCCCGTACACCTCATTTTTTAGAGGTGCTAGGGATCCAACCCAGCACCTAAACTCAAGCACCAGTCTCCTAAACACAAGCTCCCCACTGATACAACCCCAGCCCCTTCTGAAAACTTTAACTCATGCTCAGATGACCGAGAGTGCCAAATCCAGTGCAGACACTCTGTAAACAGCTGTTCCACCATATTGTTCAGGAAATAACAAGAAACCCTGCACCTGCACAGTACAGATGTCATTTTTCTCCTGAGGATTTTTAAGCTGTGGTTGGCTGAGTCTCTAGACACAGTCAACGTTTACAGTGTCTAGTGTTAACATATAGGGACTAGTCCAGAAACTTAATTTATGCCTTTTTTAGTTTTGGTGGCACTGGGATTTGAACTCAGGGCCTCACACTACACTTGCTAGGCAGGCGCGCTACCTCTTGAGCCACTTGGCCAGCCTATCCAGAAAGCTTGATACAGATAAGTGTCTAAATGCAGTCAGTGAACAGGGCTGATAACACGTGCAGTTCTCCCTTAGAACAGTCTGCCAGAGGCAGGGTGGGCGATAGAAGACCCCCAGTCCACACACCAGTGGCCCAGCCCTGTGACTCTTAGACTCTGCTGGGAATGAGTGACCTGGGGGCTTTTCAAACACGGATCACGGGCCCGTGATCCCATGGGCCTTGGGGCTCCCACTCCTCAGTAGGTTTGGGCTGGAGCCCCGGAATGTGCATTTCTAAAAATTCCCTACTTTGGGTGTGGAGGCACACACCTGCAATCCCAGCACTGAAGCTGAGGCAAGAGGATTGTGAGTTCTAGGCCAGCCTAGCCTACCTAGTGACACCCTATCTCAAAAAGCAAAACACAACAACAGTGCCCAGGTGATGCACGTGCTTCTGGTCCCAGGGACCACACAGAACCCTGGCCCTGACTTCAGCAGCAAGGAGCCACATTACAGAGTCAGTCCAGGTGAACAAGGACTCGCCGCAGACAGGCCCTCAGGAGTGCTGGGACACTGGCCCAGCAATCTGCATACTGTAGGCTGGGACCCAGGTTTGTATTACAAAACTGATTCATGGGTTAAAAGAACCAGTGTTTTGTATTTAACAAACCAGAACAGAACTGTCAGCAAGCATCCACATGGCAAAAGGTGTTGTTTTCCGCAACACTGGCTTTCACTGTCTGTCTGCAGATACAAACACGTGTGCAGGGGACTGGGATCTGAAAATGTGATAAAACCGGGTCTCACTCATCTATGAGTCACTCTGCTGGATCTGCCTGTCTCATCTGAGGACAGCTTAGTGGTGATGCCAGGCCCTGGGGAGTCAATGGTTCAGAACTAAAAATCTACTACCATATGAGACGTCAGCCACCCTAACGTAAAACAAGACAAAGTGCCAAGCCGCTGCTCCTGCTCTCGTTACACAGGCATTTATTTGTAAGGGGGCTCTGTCAAACCAAATGCAAAAGCTTAAACACAAACTGATTGTCTGCATAAGCATTTTAAGTCCAGGTGTGGAGTAGCACATCTGTAGTCCCGGCTGCTCAGAGGCTGAGGCAGGATGATCGCTTGAGCCCAGGAGTTTGGGGCCTCTCTGGGCAAAAGAGACCCTGTCTCAAACAATAACAGTTAAGAAGAGAACAATTCAAAGGAGATGCAACAATGATCATTTTCACCGAAAGCATCTGGCAAGTTTACGAAGTAAGAGGCTGGCAGTGGTAAGGAGGTGATGCCCTGGGAGCAGAGGGAATTTCTCATCCCCCTCGGTGGTAGGGCAGGGCAGCCGTGGAGAGCCAGGCACCTGCACACCTCAAGCTGTAAGACTTCAGGGATCTTGGGGCAGAGGCAGCTGCATCCGGGACCCTAGTAGCCCAGGAAGAGGTTCCCAAGGTGAGCCTGGGTCATGTGGGAAGCTGTGAGTAAGAAGGCCTGCGGAGACCACGGGAGCCCCGATCAGCCTCAGTGAAACCCCTATCTATGTCAGAGATACATCAAAGGCCAGAAGGTCATTATAACGAGGAGTATTCAGCCACAACAAAAGGACTTTTTTTTTTCTTTTGAGACAGGGTCTCCTTACAACCCAGGCTGGCATGGAACTCCTCATCCTCCTGCCTCTACCTCCCCAGTCTCCCCAGTGCTGGGATTACGGGGGTGTACCACTATACCCAGCTGAAGATTTTTTATGACACAGATGTATGTTAAGGGAGAAAATTAGGGTACTGAAACTTACACCTTTTGGCCTCAGAACAAAAATTTGTTCTCCTAAGCCAGGCCCCATTGGCTCACACCTGTAATCCCAGCTACTAAGGAGGCAGAAATCAGGAGGATTGCGGTTCAAAGCCAGCCCAGGCAAACAGTTTGCAAGACCCTATCTTGAAAAAAACCTTCACAAAAATAGGACTGGTGGAGTGGCTCAAGGTGTAGGCCCTGAGTTCAAACCCCAGCACAGCAAAAAATAAAATAAAATAAAATAATTGTTCTATAATAAGCACGTATGCGTTTGATAATAAATATCTTCACTGTGGCCTTATTAGTAAAGGCAAAACATGAAAACACCCTAAAAGTATCTAACAACTATGGAATACTTACGACTGGCATATTAACACTGCGTAGCATCAAAAATAACACCTCCCGGGGGAAAAGGAGCTGCAGTGCTCCCTCTGGGAAGATGAGAACGTTCTGGAGGTGGATGGTAGTGATGGCTGGTACTTGACAATGTGAGTGTGCTGAGGCCACCACACTGTTCACTTAAAAATGGTGAAAATGACCAGGCTTAGGCCTGTGATCTCAGCTACTCAGGAGGCAGAGATCAGGAGAATTGAAGTTTGAGACCAGCCTGGGAAAGTAGTTCTCTAGACCCTATCTTGAAAAAACACAACACAAACAAGGGCTGGAGATGTGGCTCAAGTGGTAGAGCTCCTGCCTAGCAAATGTGAGCCCCTGAGTTCAAATTCCAGCACCATCAAAAAAAAAGTTAAAATAATAAATGTTATACATATATCACAAGAAAAAAATTTTAATTTTTAAAATGTGCAATTTTTTTAATCATGAAAACCAGGCAGCAATAAAAGATTCAAAGTGTTATCTCTGAAATGAACACACCCATATAAAAACCGCTGACAGATCTATGTAAGGAATGAAAAAAATTGGCCAGTTGTAAACAATGGTGACAAAGTGATGGTCATACTTTTGCTCCTCATCACAGTGGCCTCCCCATGGACTCTGTGTACAGAATCTACCCCCATAGAGAATCCTGTAGGGAGGAAAACTTACTTGGCTGCTGGCATGGTGAAGTTGGGTCTACAAGGGTTGCTCTGTTTTGGACATGTACTTTTTTCTTAAAATTGTTCCCTAAACAGGGCTGGCGGTGTGGCTCAAGTGATAGAGCTCCTGCCTAGCAAGGGTGAAGCCCTGAGTTTAAACCCCAGTGCCGCAGAAAAAAAAAAGTTAAAATTGTTCCCTAAACAATACAAAAAGACAACTATGTAGATAGTGCTTACATCGTATTATGCATTGTCAGTCATCTAGGGACGATTTACAGCCCACAAGAAGAGAGGACATGCACAGGTTCCATGCAAATACCACTCCATTTTACATCAGGGGCCTGAGTGTCTGAGGAGTTTGGTATCCAAGGGGGAGTCCTGGAACAAATACCCCAGATGCCGAGGAACTTTAGTGACATACCTGTTGTTTGGACAGTAGGTTAAAATCAGGAAAGAATTCTAAAATGACTACTTCAGTTATACTGGGCTCTGTTTTTACCTTGAATATGTAACCAAGGTGCAGAGCAAAACCAGCAGAAGGCCTTCCAGTTCCTTTGCAAGAATCAAGGACTTCAAGGAAGACTTGCAAATCTAACACTGTTAGCCTACCCCTACCTCCCAGCCCTGTGGGTTCCAGGACGTGAGACTCACGCGGTAGGTGCTGCCTCCCTGAAAGACCGCAAAGCCTTCTCCCTCATACAGTCCTCGGATTTTCTCCCCTTCGTAGCTGCAAAGAAAGTTCAAGCTAGCGAGTGATGTGAACAAGCTCAAGTGCCAGTTGGTTAAAATACATGTTCAGAAAATAGGGCTGGGCATGGTGGTACCCATCTGTAATCCCAGCTAAGCAGGAGGTGGAGATGGGAGGACTGTGATTCAAGGCCAGTCCATGCAAAATTTGTGAGATACTCCCCCCCCACCCAAAAACAAGCAGGGCATAGCGGGATGTGCCTATAAACCCAGCTAGGTGGGAGGCACAGGTAGGAGGATTACAGTTTGAAGCCGGCCTTAGGCAAAAAGCAGAGACTAAAAAATAAAGCAAAAAAGACCGGGTGTGTGGCTCAAGTGGTACTAAGCTTGTTTAAGTGGTAGGGCCACATGTAAGGCCCTAGGTTTGATACCAAGCAGCACGCACGCATGCACGCACATGTGCACACACGCGTGCACACACATGCACGCACGCATACGCACACACGCGCGCACACACACACGTTGGGGGAAGAATGGCTCAAGTGGTGGAGCACTTGCCCAGCATGTGGAAGGCCCTAAATTCAAACTTTGGTACTGCCAAAAATATAAAAAGTTACGTATATAATTATATATAAATATATCCAGAAAATAGAATAGAGGTTAGAAGCTTGGGGGTATGAAGTTAGTGCGTGACATGTACAGAGATTCTGTGGGAAGTGAACAAGTTCCAGGTGACCAGAATAGCAAATGTTACGTTACAAAGTTTTGACCATGATAAAATTATCTTAAATTTTTTTTTGATGGAACAACGAAACCTGTCAAAGTCAATTTAAGGAGTGTGGAAGCAGATGAGGGAGAAAGAGGTGGATGAACCTAACCGGAGCACACAATGCATGCATATGGAGATGTCACCACAATCCTCCCTGTTCAACTATTAATATAAAAAGGTTAAAAACTTCTTTTGCGTGACGGGGTCTCACTGTAGCTCAGGCTGGTCAGGAACTTTCAATCCTCATGGCTTCACTTCCTGAGTGCTGAGATTACAAGTGTGCACCACCACACCTGGCGAGTACAGAGCAATTTTTTTAAAGCTATATTCTGGACATACACCACACAGGGCCTGCTGCTGTGTTAGTTTTGGGAAACGGAGGTTTCAGGAACTGTGGCCAAGGCTGGGGGAACAACTCTGTACCACAGCACCTGCTTAGCAGGCCAGAATCCCTGGGTTCTAGGCCCAGTACCACAAAATAAATAAGTAAATAAACAAGTAAGTAAAATAAAACAAACAAAATACTTCCTAGTGATTTGTCCTACATCTCTAGGCTCTGGATAAGGGACAAATGACAGGTCTGACCAAATTTGGCCTTTCCAAAACTTCATTAGCAAAGTCGATAAGCATATGCTTTCACAAATATAAGCATATTCATTACTCAGTGAATTAAAGAAAAACGTGTGCCACAATGCTAGAAATTTCATAGATTGTAGCAGTCATTTCTAAAACAACTCTAAGTTATAACATGAGGAAATTACTTAAACAAGACTTATGAAAAAACAACAGCATGCATGATTTTTAAGGGTAATACGGAAATCAATCCCATGAAAGTCAAACCTGAAGGGATGCTTGTTTTTTGGTGGTACTGGGGCTTGAACTCAGGGCCTACACCTTGAGCCACTTCACCAGCCCTTTTTTGTGATGGGTTTTTTTGAGATAAGGTCTCTACAACTATTTGCCCAAGCTGGCTTTGAACCGTGGTCCTGATCTCTGCCTCCTGAGTAGCTGGGATTATAGGCATGTGGTCCTGATCTCTGCCTCCTGAGTAGCTGGGATTATAGGCATGAGTCATGGTGTCTGGATGGGATGCCTGTTTTTATCACTGATTATTCCATACTGTTTCAGAGGCTCTACTTAATACAAAAACCAGGACATGTAAACAGGTGGTGTGATACTAAAGAGTCGGGAAGTTACTTCATTCTGCAGCTCATGTGCTTATTTTCCTGCAAGCCCCAAAATATCTTCTAGTAATTCATGAGAGATCGAGGAATGCAGCTCAGGGGCACAGCACTTGCCCAGCATGCACAAGGCCCTGGGGTCAACTCCACAGGAGAGGACAGAGCGGGAGACCAGTGGAGAGAGAGACAGTGAGAGTAGGAGGTAGGGAGCTGTGGTAACCCAGGGAGGCCCAGGGAGAGGAAGGCTGGAATGGGGCACAAGGTGACAAATAACCCTTGTTTAACACATCTTTGCATTACTTCACTTGTCACATATGAAAATCACATATGAAAGCATATGTGATTTTAGGAATTTTAAAATGTAAAGCGTGGGAAGGATTTTATTTATTTTGGTGAGACTGGGATTTGGACTCGGGACTCTGTGCTTGTTAGGCAGAGGCTCTATAGCTTGAGTCACACTTCCACCCCTTTTTGCTCTGGTTATTTTGAAGATGGGGTCTCGCTTTTTGCCCAGGCTAGCCTGGACCATGATCCTATTTTAGGCTTCCTGATGCTGCTGGGATGACAGGCGTGTGCCTCACACCTAGCTTTTTGGTGTTGAGATGGGGGTCTCACAAACTTTTTTGCCAGGGCTGGCCTGGAACCTCATGATCTCAGCTTCCCAAGTAGCTGGGATTACAGGTGTGAGCCACCAACGCTGGGTGGGAGTTTTAGGAGTTCATAATACCTCTGTATGGTGGTAACAAGAACTCTCATCACCCCAAAAGCACACATATACCAGATGCTCTGGCTTGGATCCTCTTCCTGCCATCCTATAGTTTTGCCTCAAGGTAACCGTAGGCCCCACCTTCCCCAACTAACTCAGCACACATGCCTGGAGCTTCCCTTAAACAAAGCCTGACAGAGGCCACAGTTACACCCTGCCTGTCTAGACCATGTGTCGTCCTTTTAATTGTCGTTCTAGAGTGCTCAGCGAACGCTGTGAGCAGACACACGGTAGATCATTAGCAGTGGCCACTGGTATTCAAACTGTAAATCTCCACTGGACACCTCCCAGGGCCAGGCCTGGGGCTCACGCTCTGTGTCTCAGCAAGAGGACCTTCAGCCAGGAAGACATGCTGAGCTGCAAACAGCTGTGCCTCAGTAAAGCAAAGAGAAACAGGAGGCCTGAGAGGGACTTAAGTGGAGAAGTCTTTAGGAAACAGGTCAAAAGGGAATGAAGAGAGTGATTGCATGTGGCCCTGGCTCAATCCCTACCACCACAAAGAAAGAAAAAAAGGAATGAAGGCATGGGGAAGGGGGACAGGGAAGAACAGAGAGGTCAGTGGCTGGGAGAGAAACAGTTACACTCCCAGTAACCTCCTGAGATGCAGATTCGTATTTATTAATTTATTCTCCCTAAGTAAGAAGCTGAGGCTCAGCATGGCATGAGGATGGGTTATAGATTGAAGACTTAAATCCACATCTAGCTTCAAGTCCAGTCACCTGCACGTCCAGAGGGAGTTGAGCCCAGTGGGTGATATGAGCCAGATAGGGTGGTGCACATCTATAATCCCAGATACTTGGGAGGTGGAGATAGGAGGATCACAGTTCAAGGCCAGGGTCAGTTCAGGGTAAAAGTTAGCAAGACCCTATCTCAAAAACAAGCTGATGTGGTGACATACGCCTATAATCCCACCTACTCAAGAGGCAGAGATAAGGTAATTGTGGTCTGAGACTGGCCCAGACAAAAGTAAAAGATTCTATCTGAAAAACAAACTAAAGCAAAAGGACTGAGAGGGTGTGGCTGAAGTGGTAGAACAGTTGCCTAGCAAGTGTGAGGCCCTGAGTTCAATCCCAATACCATCTCATGTGTGTGTGTGTATACATACGCGTGTGTGTATATATATATGTACGTACATATATGTACATGTATATATGTACATATATGTATATATATACTATATGAATAGGAAATTCTAGAACGGCACTAAACCAGTTTTTACAGTCATCCAGAAAGATGACTGATAAACTATAAGGGAAGAGAGGTGGGTGTGGTACTTCACACATATAATCCCAGCACTCAGAAGGCTGAGGCACAAGAATTACAACTTGAAGGCCAGCCTGTGAGATATAGTGAAATATTGCCTGGAAAAAAAAATTAGCTGGGTGAGGTGGCTCAAGCCTGAAATCCTTGCCATTTGGGAGGCGAGACTAGAACAAATTACTATTGAGGCCATTCCAGGAAAACCTTGGCAAGACACTATCTCAACCAATGAATGGCTGGGGACAGTGAGTGGTGTGCATCCATCATCCCAGCTCTGTGGGAAGCATAAATAGGATGGAGGTCCAGGTCAGTTCAGGCATAAACGAGACCCTATCTCAAAAATAACAAAAGCAAAAACAGCTGGAGGAATGGCTCAAGTGATAGAGTGCCTGCCTAGCAAGTGCCAGGCCCTGAGTTCAAACCCCACAAAAAAAGACTGCCTAAAAAGAGAACGCAGAAGAGGTAGAAGGGTGTCTGGGAGATGCAGTCCCCAGGGACCTCAGGGACACAGGAAAAAAGTTGTTTTCGGAGGCAAGGAAATTTTATGACCATAAAAATGCATAAGGATTCACATGCTTGCATCAAAGCACACATCCAAGAAATGCCCAGGCATGACTCATGCCTGTAATCCCAGCTACTCAGGAGCACAAATCAGGATAATCGAGGTTTGAAGCCAACCCAGGCAAATAGTTCACAAGATCCTATCTCAAAAAAACCCAACACAAAAATGGGCTGGTGGAGTGGCTCAAGTGGTAGAGCACCTGCCTAGCAAGCCTGAGGTCCTGAGTTCAAATTCCAGTACCAGCAAAAAAAAAAAAGAAATGCCCTATTTGTAGAGTTCAGCCCTGAGGTGCCCATGAAAGTCACCTTTCTACTATGAGCTTGGTCAGAATGGGCTCTTCGTACTGAGTGATGTCTTCATTCTCACGGGACAGCTGGGAGTCTCTCCCTGGTACTGTCATGTCTGGTGTCTCTGATGGCGGAATGGCGCAGCCCGAAGGCAGTTCTTGCTTAGCGGCATTGCCATCTTGCTTGGAAAGCTCTGGATATTCAGAGAGAGAAGAGGGAGAACGAGCTGACTTATCTGCTTTTTTGTCAGCTTTTTTCTTTTCTTTCACCATTTTCTTTGGAAGACCTAGAGTTTCCTTTATGAAAATGCAGTGATTCCTTTGCTTGACTGCTGGGTTAATAGCTTTTATCTGAAAAACAAACATTATGTAGATACTTGTAAAAATTGAGCCTGAAACACAGTATCATAATAATAAGTAGCATGTTTATAAAAATAATCCACTCTCAGTATTTCATGTTTCACCTGGGAACTGCTATCTACCACTCTTTTCAAACTGTGCTGTAGTAAGGAGAGTAACCTACCCATGAAAATTACTCCACAACCTCTGGAATGTTGTGAAAAAAAAAAAAAAGATATCAATTTATGGTGTGAGAGCCCCTCTACAAATACGTCAGCATCACGTGCTGAGAGCTAAATTTCAGCTTCTGTATCGCCCTTTACCATGTCTGTGTCCTTAACCAAGTTGCTCAATGTCCATTTGCCTGATATAATCTTATCTCATAAGGATTAAATGACACTGTGCACAGAGACATCCCGGAAGTACAGGACACAGAAGAGTCAACTCAGACCGGTAGTCACTTATTTGTCTGCCTACAGCACACTGTATGTCTCTCACAACCCAGAAAAGAAACTTGTCCAAGGCTGCAGAGTTGTCTTGAGGGGCAGCATTCTAAAGCCATAGTTTTCATGACCTTCTGAAACTGGCACCACCAAAAATGTCCTCATCCACAGGCAAGACACACAGATGCATCCTGGGGTCCCTGCTTGTGCACCCCCATGGTGAGCCTGCCTTGGCCTGGATGGCATCCTCTGGGCATCCAGTTTGCCAGCTCCACCTCACTTGCTGGTCCCCACCCTGCTCTTTCCAGGCCTGGATGAGCATCTCAGCCAAGCCGTCCGAGGGGAATCCAGCCCAAGCCACTTTCACCTCTGCGCTTGGGCAGGTCTTTACTATAGGCTTTGGGACTCATGTGGTAGAGTACCTGCCTAGTGAGGGAAGGCCCTGAGTTCAAACCCCAGTGCTGCCAAAAGGGAGAAAAAGTGAGAGGAGAGGAGGAAAGGAGGGAGGAAGGAAACGATAGAGAGGAGAGAAAGTTCATTTCTCACAGTGATCGCTATTCTCCCTGGCTTAGGAAAGAAGGCTTTACTAGGACTAAGTCAGTGGAGCAATGCTGAGTCCCCAGCACTGTACCCACGCAGCCTCAAGCCCCCATTGCGCACCACAGGAGCTCAGGTTCTAGGAGGCAGCTGTACCTGCAGGACCAGCCTGGGTGCTGGGCCGAGAAGGTGCACAGGGCCTGCGTCCTGTCCAGGAACCAGCTGGTCTCCAGGCAACCAGCACCGCTCTCTCCACCCCTCACCCCCCCACACCCGGGGCTCTTAAAGGGACCAGGCACCAAGGCAAGGCACTAAGCTTCCCACGGCGCAGGAGGAAAGGTGCAGGAGCTGGCTGTGCTTGGCCTCTCAGCAGGTTCCTTCACCACAAAACAGGAATGATTCAAGCCTTAAATAAATCACCACAAACATAAGTGGCCGGAAGCAACGCCAATTTATTATCTTACAGTTCTGTAAGTGGTCCAACGGGCCAGTTCCATCTGGAGGCTCCTCTGTGCCTCTTCCCGTTTCTAGAAGCTGTGTGAGTTCCTGGCCAGTGGTACCCCCTTCCATCTCCAATACTGACAACACCGCGACTTTGGCCAGCTGGGGCAGGCTCCTCCCTTTGAAGACAGGAGAGGCTAATCTCTCCTTGAGCGATGCTTCACCACACTTTCACCACACAGGAGGGCAGACTCTCAGGTTCTGGGAATCACGCCTCCCACAGTTCCCAATCTCAGCAGTCTTGTGAAGATCAAACGAGATCCTGCAGACGACGCCAGCACGGCTTGAGACAAGGCAGGCTTGACTACTGCTTCACTGTTTCCTTACCTCTATGTGAACAGGACAGTCCTCTCTCCCAGTCTGGGGAAGGGGTGCAGTGGGGTCACCTGTGCCTGTCATCACTGTACCCCAATGACTATTTGGACTCTAGGGAAGACATTTTTACATTTTTAGCAGAGTTCAAATGGGACAAGATTCCATGAAAAAAATACTCACAGTTCACACCCCAAGGACACCAAACCCCAGCACTGAGTGACAGAAAACCACAATCTTTTCTTCCCACCTGCTAGAACAGCACTTCCCACTGGGGCCGCACTGCATCTGAAACAGTAACCCTGTCTCAACAGCCAGCCAGAGAATCTCTCTTGGGTTTTTTTTGAGTTATCCCTTTTTAAAAACTGGACATGCATCAGGGTTGAGAACCACTAACCCAAAAGGACCCTAATTTTACATTTGCAAAATTAGGCCAAATCTGGATTAAATTATTGAGCAGACTAAAATACCTCCAACTAGAGCAGAAGCCTGTGTAATGACCAAATGTTCTTATTTTTCTAAAACATATTTTTGCCTGTAGATGTGTTCAAATGCAGAACAAAAAGTGTCACAAGCAGAGTTCCACATAGTGCAAAGGTTCTCAAGATGGTTTTTTTGAGATGGAGTCTCACTATGTTACCCAGGTTGGTCTCTAATTCCTAGGTTGAAGTAATCCTCCTACCTCAGCCTCCAGAGTAGCTGGGACTACAGATGTGTGTCACTATGCTTGGCTTAAGACCATTCTTAAATGGATTTGATACTTTAAGTGGCAGGTTAATTTTGAAAAAAAAAAAAAAAGGTTCCTTAAAACCCTATTTTTGAAAATAGAAAAGTCTGCAATAAAATCTCTGATTGTACGGAGTGAGGGGTGTCAGCTCTGAGAAATGACATCCAGATTGGCAATGTGCCTCATGGTCGGCCTTCCGTGGGGGCAGTTCCAGGGGTGGTCCATCTCACCCATGTGGGTGATAAGCTTCTTCATCTCGCTTGTGCTAAGAGCCGTGCCAATCATCACCTGAGTACAAGACACAACAGTGCAGTTTCACTGGGGCTTTCTTCAGAAGTACCGCTCTCTGCGATGAGACTAGATAAGACTACAACTCAAAAACAGTGTTTCCTGAACAGCCTTTCCTCAGAGACCCCATCTCTGACAGCTCAGCAGCTCACAGTCTGCCTCATGGACACCTCCCTGCTCTCCTAACCCCTCAGCAACCTCAGCAGCTAGGCTTCTGTGCAAAGGTCTGCTAGGTTGCCCCCTGCTCTTCCCGCTCTCCCTCTCACCTGAGAAAAGCCTGGGTTGTCACGTGATGTGCCTCACTAGGCTTCAAGCCAGCAGCTCCCAGTCTGTACTTACCTTTCCCCAGCCATGCTGGCACCCTCATTCCTCTGCACAAGTCCATAAGGCACCCTGTCTCGGGACCATGAAACTGGCTGTCCCTGTGCCAGGAACATGTTTTTCCCAGATCTCTGCACATCACTCCCTCTCCTGAGGCTCCTGCTTGGACCCCCGCCCACTTGCCTCTCCCTCTCCAAGCCCTGCTGTCTCCCGAGCATGGATCACACTGAGGTGCACGACAGAACAAATGCCACAGGATGCTCCAAGATGTTGGAACCTGAGGAACAGGGGGAGATTGGCGGGGGGAGGGACGAGCCCAGACCCATTTGCCACCATCTTTCCTCTCACAGCACACACAATGCCCACTGGGGTACAGCAGGGCTCCACCACACAGGAGGCAAACAGACAACAATCCAGTTAACAGAGAAGTAAGACAAGTGTCACACACTGAGGGCCCAGGAGGCACCAGGCTGTGAAGAGCTGAGGAAGAAGCCAGGCAGAGGAACAGCAGGGAGAGGGCTTGAGTAGCAGGAGATGGAATACCACAGAGCCAGCAGGTGGCCAGACAGGCTGGAGCACAGCAGAAGAGAAAGGGTTGGAAGGGCGGGCAGGGCTTGAAGCATGAGCCACATAAGCAGGTGCTTACAGAAGAGCCTGCAGAGGCAGGGGCAGAAGGACAGCAGCAGGGAGCATCTGCAGGGGCAGAGCAGAGGAGCAGCCTGTGGCTCCACAGGCCTTTCCAGCAAGGGGACAGAATATGAAAATGCCTACTAACACAGGCTACTCAGCTCAGATGCTCGCTTGGACTCTGAGATGGGAGCAGCAATCTCAGTCTTTATCAGACAAAGATCTGTGGCTGGCAGTCAGATCCTGGGCCCTCTTCTTTTATTTCTTTCATTTCTCTCTCTCTCTCTCTCTCTCTCTCTCTCTCTCTCTCTCTCGTGTGTGTGTGTCTGGTGCTGGGATGGAACATAGGCCTCACACATGCTGGACAAGTGTTCTACCACAGAACCAAACTGTAGCCCATCCCCTCCTAAGAAGCTCTTCCCTGGATATGCTCACCCCATCTCACGGCCATGGATCACACTTAACCTTGGTCTGCAGCACTGACATTTTCAAGCCCCAGACTCCCGCACGTGCTGTTTTCAGACACCCCAGTGACCATCACAAGAGCCTCACACACACCATGCCTACAAAACAGCTCTTATCCCCAGTCACCCCCTTCCGTGTCCCAGGACTGGCGCCCTCACGTTTGTTTTCTCCCCAGCAGCTCCTGTCTCATGAGGCACACACTTCAGATTCCCACTGTGAGTGGTAAGACTGGCCTGTCCTCTGGTCACCGCTCCGCGGACTCTCAGCCACCCCTCTCCAGGCACACTGGCCAGCCTCTAGCTTCACTCAAGAAGCCCGATCTTTTCACTTGCTGCTTCTTCTACCTGGAAAGCGCTTACCAAGTGGGGCTCCGCCCCATCTTTCCAGCAGCTGACACAGCCATACCCCACGACCAGTCTTCTGTGGTCGCCCCATCCCATACTTGCTTGAATTCCCTCTTACTGGTATCTGGAGTGTCTTTTATTTTTGGGTACATCTATTTCTCCCCTCCAAACTATCAGGCAAGAACCTCACCTGCCTTCGCAACTGTGTCCCTGCAGCTGAAACGGGATTGATTAAACAAAAGAATGTGGCCAGGTTACACAGAGTTGCTTCTGTGTCCTTTACTTGGACATCAGGCTAATCCCCAGCATTGCTACTGCCTTCCCCTGCCAATCTGAGTGGTGCTGGGACATACTGCTGATGGCTGCACTTGACGGCCTGTGGGACACTGCCTGTGTGGGAGCTTGTGCAGCGACAACTCTTTCCCCACTCACACTGCCATTAGCCACAATGGTGTGGGTGAACCAGGTGTGCATAGAGCTACCTGAACCAGGCTCAGGAAAGCTCAGAGATAGAATGCTGCTTAGCAGAAGCAAAGAAAGAGCAGTAAGCATGAGTTAGAGGTCAAAGATAAAGCACTGCGGGAACTGGTGGTGCATGCTGTAATCCTAGCATGCAGGAGGCTGAGACAAGAGGGTGTCGAGTTGGAAGACACAGTGAGAGCCTGTCCCACACCTGCTGGCTGGTATGTGACACTGATAGAGACAACGTAGCTCTCTGTATAAAATGACCGTGACTGTGGCCACCATGAAGGCGTTTAACAACACGGACCAAATCTGAGCTGAACTGGAACCTCCGCTGAGCGCCCTGTACTTACAGACTTCCGGCAGGCCCTGGAGGCAAACATCTGCCTGACGCGGGAAGGCCGGCACATCACCCCAGGGCTATCACTCAGCATGAAGATCAGCTCATCTATGTCCTGTGGTCCAAAGGTCCAGTTTTTACTAGTTGGCAAGGAAATGAGTTTCGCTCTCTCGGTGACTGGAGCTGAAAGAACAGAATGTTGTGAAAAATCTTATTAGAGAAGTACATTTCACTTGAGTCCTCTCTGAAGGAGAGGGCACACACAAATTGCTTCCGGGGGGACCTTTCTCATCTCTTACAAAATAAGGACATTGATGGGTATGGCCTCAAAGACCAACCCAGCTCCGAATCACTCACCATCTTCATCAATGACAAAATCAAAGCCATTCCTCCGGAATATTTCTAGATTTTCAATCAAGATGGCTTCATTGACAGCAGTTAAGTTCAGCGTCTGAGGTCTGAAAAACAGGAGATTCCAATTAGAAGCTGAGGTGGAATATTTGTTCTGGTTTGGATGTGAAATATCCTCAGAAAGGTTCGTGTGTTGAGGACTTGGTCCCAGCTGCTGGTGCTAGTGACAGGTGATTTGCTCCTGTTAGGTTCATCAGTGGATTAATCCATTGATGAGTTCATACTGAATGGAGGTGGGACCTGGCTGGCGGTCACCAGGGTCCCTGGTCCCTCTCTCTGCTTCCTAGCTGCCATGAGGTGAGCAGCTCTCACAGCACATCCTCCCTGCTATGATGTTCCTCCACACTACAGCCCACAAGAATGGAGCTGCTGACCACAGACAGAAACCTCGGCAACCACCAGCCAAAAGAAGTACTTCCTCCTGATTCACACAACTGTGATACTTTAACTCACTTAAAAAAGGAACATGAATAACACAGCCCTGTGCCTTTGACTGTTCAGCCAAGTGTCACAAAACTTCCTGCAGAGTTCCCTTCCCTTTCCTTTTTCTTACAAATTTCATTTTTAGAAGTCGAAATAGTTACAAAAGTAGTTTTTTCTCCTCAATCTGCCTTCTCATCTACTGATTTTTTTTTAAACCTCTCCTGCAGGATAATAATACACCAAGAATGCTATTTTTATTCCTCACAATAAAGATAATTCGAATTTTTGGAGAGGGGGGAAGAGAGAGGGTCTCACAATGTAGCCCTGGGTACCTCACCCTCCTTCCTAGGTGCTGGGATTACAGGCGTGTACCACCACATCCACCCCTACATTTTCTCAACTGCCATTCACCAAAAGGATTTTCTGGCCAACCAATGAGCCCCATCTTTTTTTTTTTTTCTTTTATTATTCATATGTGCATACAAGGCTTGGGTCATTTCTCCCCCCTGCCCCCACGCCCTCCCTTACCACCCACTCCGCCCCCTCCCTCTCCCCCCCCCAATACCCAGCAGAAACTATTTTGCCCTTATTTCTTTTTTTTTTTTTCATTTTTCTTTTATTATTCATATGTGCATACAAGGCTTGGTTTATTTCTCCCCCCTGCCCCCACCCCCTCCCTTACCACCCACTCCACCCCCTCCCGCTCCCCCCCTCAATACCCAGCAGAAACTATTTTGCCCTTATCTCTAATTTTGTTGTAGAGAGAGTATAAGCAATAATAGGAAGGAACAAGGGGTTTTGCTGGTTGAGATAAGGATAGCTATACAGGGAGTTGACTCACATTGATTTCCTGTGTGTGTGTGTTACCTTCTAGGTTAATTCTTTTTGATCTCACCTTTTCTCTAGTTCCTGGTCCCCTTTTCCTATTGGCCTCAGTTGCTTTAAGGTATCTGCTTTAGTTTCTCTGCGTTAAGGGCAACAAATGCTAGCTAGTTTTTTAGGTGTCTTACCTATCTTCACCCCTCCCTTGTGTGCTCTCGCTTTTATCATGTGCTCAAAGTCCAATCCCATTGTTGTGTTTGCCCTTGATCTAATGTCCACATATGAGGGAGAACATACGATTTTTGGTTTTTTGAGCCAGGCTAACCTCACTCAGAATGATGTTCTCCAATTCCATCCATTTACCAGCGAATGATAACATTTCGTTCTTCATGGCTGCATAAAATTCCATTGTGTATAGATACCACATTTTCTTAATCCATTCGTCAGTGGTGGGGCATCTTGGCTGTTTCCATAACTTGGCTATTGTGAATAGTGTCGCAATAAACATGGATGTGCAGGTGCCTCTGGATAACAGTCTTTTGGGTATATCCCCAAGAGTGGTATTGCTGGATCAAATGGTAGATCGATGTCCAGCTTCTTCAGTAGCCTCCAAATTTTTTCCAGAGTGGTTGTACTAGTCTACATTCCCATCAACAGTGTAAGAGGGTTCCTTTTTCCCTGCATCCTCACCAACACCTGTTGGTGGTGGTGTTGCTGATGATGGCTATTCTAACAGGGGTGAGGTGGAATCTTAGCGTGGTTTTAATTTGCATTTCCTTTACTGATAGAGATGGTGAGCATTTTTTCATGTGTTTTCTGGCCATTTGAATTTCTTCTTTTGAGAAAGTTCTGTTTAGTTCACGTGCCCATTTCTTTATTGGTTCATTAGTTTTGGGAGAATTTAGTTTAAGTTCCCTGTATATTCTGGTTATCAGTCCTTTGTCTGATGTATAGTTGGCAAATATTTTCTCCCACTCTGTGGGTGTTCTCTTCAGTTTAGAGACCATTTCTTTTGATGAACAGAAGCTTTTTAGTTTTATGAGGTCCCATTTATCTATGCTATCTCTTAGTTGCTGTGCTGCTGGGGTTTCATTGAGAAAGTTCTTACCTGTACCTACTAACTCCAGAGTATTTCCTACTCTTTCTTGTATCAACTTAAGAGTTTGGGAGCCCCGTCTTTAATAGCTAAAAGGGTTTGATGCCTGAACAGCACATCAGCTGTGTGACTTTGGGCAAGTTACTGAACTTCTCTATGTGGGCCTGAATTTTATCACCTGTGAAGTGGAATGGCAATAGTAACTACTTTGTCAGTTTGTGGGATGAAGATAACTAATTTAAGTGGCTTCATTGGGGCCTGGCGCATAACAGACACTCAGTAAATGGGAGCTGATTATCATGCAAAACCGTTAAAAGTTTGCTGCAGATACTTATGGCAAAAAGATACATGTGTGCACAGACACGCAGAAGAAAATCCCCAGCCCGGCATGAACTCACGCGATGAGCCTCTGTGGCTGGAGCACCGTGTACTGCTGCAGTGCCTCGAAGTTGTACTTCTCATCCGCAGCATGCTGGTCCACTAGGAAAAGGTCCTCCTTCAGTTTGGTTATTATAAATCCCAAGTTAAACTGGCCAAGGATCTCCATGTCTGCAAACATTGCCTTACTGCACGCAGAAAGCAACAGACATCAGACATTTCAGAAGATGACTTTCCTAAGCCAGGCACAGTGGTGCATGCCTGTAATTCCAGCTATTTAAGAAATGGAGCTCTCGAGGACTGAGTTCTGAGGCCACCCTGAGCAAAAAGTTAGGAAGAGTCAATCTCAAAAATGACAAAGCAAAAAGGACTGGAGGAGTGGCTCAAGTGGAAGAGCACCAGCCTACCAAGCACAAGGTCCTGAGTTCAAACCCCAGTACTATGAAAAAAAAATGACTTTTTTTCCAATTATAAAACACATTATAAGAGAAAAAAATCAAATGATAAAAACATAAAATAAAGACAATCCAATTTCTAAAAATAATCAGAATAATGGAGGGGGTAAATTTAACTAAAGCATCTTGTAAGCACTTTTGTAAATTTCACAATGAACCCCTAGTACAATAACAACATAATTTTTTAAAAAACAGAGACAATATCAAGTCATTCATTCATCCAACTCTCGAGAGATGACATAAGTCACTAGTATTAATAATTTAGGTCTATGGCCATACCACCCTAAACACGTCCAATCTCATCTAATAATTTGGTATGTATGCTGCTAGACCTTTGCTTATATAGGTATTTTTTGATCAAAAGATCAAAAAAGGAAGGGCTGGGGGGAGATGACTCAAGTGGTAGAGCGCCTGCCTAGCAAGTGTGAGGCCCTGAGTTCAAACCCCTGTAGTGCCAGAAAAAAAGAAAAGAAAGGGTAGGCAAATGGAGCACACCTGTGATCCCAGCACTTGGGAGGCTGAGGTAGGAGGACCTCCAGTTCAAGGTCAAGCCCAGCAATATAGTGACACCATCTCAAAAGAACAGATGAAAATGGAGTATTCTGACTGTCCTGCTTTCACTAGTGACATTGCAGATCTGTGCACTTTTTTTTTCTGCTTTTTGAGATGGGGTCTCACTAAGCGCTATATAGCACAAACTGACCTAGAACTCGCAATCCTCCTGCCTCAGCCTCCCCAGTGCTGTTTGATTCTTTTGATGGCCATATTGGAGCTCACTGGTGAATGCACCATGACCTGTCCAGCAAGGTCTCCACTGAGGACACTCAGGTGCTTCCACTTTCAGGAAGCTGTGGTCAGACCACCCGTTATGGCAGGATCTCAGTGAGACAAACCCCTAAAATCATGTACGGTAAGCCCACCTTACTCAGATTTATTACGTGTGTTTTTGATCATTCATGGTCAAAACCCAGCAAATTAAAAAAAAAGAAATTTCAAAAATGAAAATTTTAAATTCCCACGGCCCGTTATGCTGCTCAGCTGATGTGAGAAGATGTTATCATACATCACTGTGGGACTGGCCGAGTGTTTCCCTGCCCTTCATTTTGTGAAAATCTGCCTCCCAAAAAGCAGAGTAAAAGTTAGGGTGATCTTCCCACGCCAAAGGGCACATACGTGCTAAATTTAAGTGACTGAGTGAAAATTTCAGATGTGCTGAAAGAAAGGCATGATGCAGAGAGTGGACGTTGGGCAGCACTGTGGGAGAAATGAGTCAGGCGTCCCCAGCATTTGAATAAGGACCGTGAAGGAAGATGTCGTTTTTGGTGAGCAGTGTGAGGATGGAACAGCAGTGTTTGTGACTGTAAAGCAGCTGACTCCATGGGCGGTGTATGTATGGTCTGGGTAAATTGGAGTGATTTTAGAGTACTGAACTCTGCTTCCTGAGCGTTCATGGTTTTTCCTCCACAGCGGTCTCCTTTGGAAAGAAAGGACCACCATACGTGCATTTTTCATTCTGTAGGAAATCTGTAAAGGTCTGCACTCCTACCAGCGATGTTAAGAGTCCTGTGTTAGTCAGACTTTCGTCACTGTGACAATATCTGACCAAAACAACAGGGGATTTTTTTGGGGGTGGGGCTCAAGGTTTCAGTCCATCACAGCAGGAAGGACGCAGCAGGGTAAGGCAGCTCACCACATAGTGACCAGGAAGTGGAGGGAAACAATGCCTGCCCTAGCTGGCTTTCTCCTTTGTCCCCTTTTGTGCCATCTAGGCCTGCAGACTACAGGACAGTGCTGCCCACATTCACGGCGGGCAGTATCGTTTGGGCAATACTGGGTATTAATCCTCCTGCCAGCCTCATAACTGGGTCATTTGGTGGGTGCCTCTAAAATCTATTTCCATTTAACACTAGAGGGGTCGATGCAGACGAGACAGAATCCATCAGAAACAGGTATGATGATTCTACAACCCACAGTTAAGTTTGGTGAAAAGTGATTTTCCTTAACATCAGCCCCGTGGCTACAAGAAACAAGACTGGTAGAACTGCCGTGGATGCTCTGGCTCTCAGAGAGAGGCCTGTACTGAGAACCAGAGGAGCCAGGGCTATCACTTCCTTCCATTCCCTTATCCTTATTGTTGGTGGTGATGAGGACTGAACTCAGGACCTTGAGCATGCTAGACAAGACCTCTACCACTGAGCTACATCCCAGTCTTTGCTACGTAGCCCAGGCTGCACTCAAACTCACCATCCTCCAGCTTCAGACTCTTTGTGCAGGGATTACAGGAGTACACCACCATACTCAGCTCTATCATTCATTTTTGTAGGTGTGCCAGTGTGCGGAGAAGATCCATCACATACCATGGTGCTTATATCATGACCCCTGCAGCCATCTTTGGATGGCTTTAGTGGGCACCTTGTCACAATCAACCATAGGTGACAGCATGACCAACTGTGATATCACCGCATGCCACGGATTACTAACTCCCATTTCCAACTGGCAGAAAGCTTGGCAATCAGTTCAAGTCCAAGTCACAGAGAAGTCAATCCCCAAGCCCAGGGGACCAGGGCCTCCTGGTGCCATTCCTGAGACCAATTCCATAGTCGACCAATCGAAATAAAAACACAGCAGCGATCTGCACAGGAAAATTCCTAACAAAGCTAGAGCCTAGTGAAGAGACTAAGAAGTACAAGAGGAGCAAAGGCACCAAACAGCTGCTCCCTCGGGGTTGAGGCAGAGGCCCCTGGGCTGAGGCTGAGTCCAGACTGCTGGGGCAGGAGTGCACGCTCCCCTGGAAGAAGAGAAGTGGCAGAGCGAGCCATGCAGTGACTGCATTGTGGGAGGAAAAGGATACCCAGAGGCAAGGAGGGAGGCCCCGCTCTGTCTTCAGGCGTCCACCCAGCGACCTCTTCTGACAAAGCCTGGAAGTGCAGCAGGAGGAACACTGCAGACAGGGAGTGACAATCAACGCAGAACTGGCAGAGATACCACCCCTGCTCTGATCCACATCCCCTGAAAAACAGCTGAACCTGCTCTGGATCTCCAGGAGTGTGGCCTGTGGAAGAAGCTACGCTGGCCTAATGATCCAAATCACCAGTGCCTTTGGCAAATCCATTCCCCTCCTCTAAAGAACAGCAAGTGGCTTAAACAATGACAAACAAAATTTTACAGCTTAAATACTATATTTCAAACACAGAAATAGAAGATGGTAAACACTACCTCCATTGGTAGTTACTGCCTCATTTTTAACTCAAAATGTGTTTCTCAGGAAAAAGTGAACCACGCCACACCTTGTCGGAACAAGAATGGGAACAGGACCCCCGGAGCAGCCATGCGCTGGAAGCCACAAGCAATGCCAGGCACACAAGACCAGGGTTTTGCAAGGTGACCACATGGGATTCCTCCAAAAACATAGGCTCCTGAAGTGCACACCAAGTCCACCAAGACAGGGTCCCTAGAGGCTGGCCAGGTGTTCTGCATTTTGGTTTTTTGGTGGTACTGGAACTTGAACTCAAGGCCTCATGCTTGCTAGGTAGGTGCTTTGCCACTTGAGCCACTCTGCCTGTCCGGTTCTGTTTTGACAAGGTCCCTAAGCGATTACCACGTGTACCCAAATTCAAAAACCATAGCAGCAGGTGATTAATAATAAATGTCTCTTGAATTAATTGAAATCTCCATTTAAAAAATTAACAGTTAATTTTCACTTGCTGAGAGGGCTAGAAGAATGGAAAGATAAAGGATAATTGGGCATTCATTTGAGGAACCTTATCTGTCTTTTGTTTGTTTCTACTTTTGTGCTGTGGGTAGAACCTGGGGCCCTCGTGCTGGACAAGTGCTCTACCACTGGCTACACTCCCAGTCCACCTTAGGACACATCTTGTGAGACTGTGTGTCTGTGAGTGCACATGGATGTGTATAAAGGAACCTGGCTTTCTTCAAGGGATCCCTCAAGATTCATAGTTCCCATCTCCAGCCCCCAAAACTTCACTCCATTAATCCATGCTACTTGTTTGTTTGTGCTGGCAATGAGAATGGAACCCGAGACCTTGCACATGCTAGGCAAGCACTGTACCACTGAGCTACATCCACAGCCCTTGGCTTTTTTGAGACAGTGTCTGGCTTAGAAGCCCAGGCTGCCCTCAAGCTCATGATCCTCCTGCTTCACCCTCCCAAGTGCTGGGATTACAGCTGTGCACCACCATACTTAGCTCCACACTTTAAAAGGCAGCATTTTCTGAAAACTTTATTTTGTATACCAGGCTGGAATTTGTGATCCTCCTGCCTCAGCCTGCTGGGTACTAGGATTAAAGGTGTGCTGAAAACTCTTAACGTAAACTAGGCACTGTGAATTACAAAGGAAATACGTAAAACTCACTGTTGACGAACAGTTAACGAAAACTGGCAAAGCCTGTGCAATCCAGCCTGAATGTGTTATAGAAGGTCAATGAAATTATCAAGTTGTGCTGTGTCCAGGGTAGACAGCATGTCTCAGTAATTGTTGACGCAAAACATACACACGAGAAGTTTAAAAAGACAAAAGCCTACTTTAGAGGACTCAACATTTAAAAAGCCACGGTGCACAGCGTTATTGTGAAGAACGTGGTCGGTGGTGATCAGTGTTTACTGTTAGTGGTACTATTATTTTTCTTCATCGACTCTCTTCTATTTATTCTTATACTGGGCAATCTTAGATTCACTGGTTTGACAATGTGTTAGAGGTAGTTTCTTCTAATACACATTAAAATGAAAATTGGAAAATAGCAATGTCCAGCAAAACTGCCATAAATTCAACAATGGGAGAAGTCACTGTGAGCTGAACACATTCAGGAAGGGGGAATGGAATCCAGATCAAGAAGGCATTGCTTAGCTGGGTGTGGTGGTGCACACCTGTAATCACAGCACTCAGGAGGCTGAGGTAGGAGGATCGTGAGTTTAAGCTTAGCCCAGGCTACGTAGTGAGCATGAGGCCAGCCTGGACTATATAGTGAGACCCTGTCTCAAAAAATAACAAAAAAAAAGACTGGAAGAGTAGCTAGAAAATGTCATCTGCAGAATATATAAAACCCTTAAAAAAAAAAAAAAAAAAGGATTGCTTACTTTAGACTGATCTGGAAAGGAATGCTGAGAAAACCTAAGGAGAAAAACCTTCCAGGCTTCTAAGAAGCAAAGCGTGGAGAGTCTACAAAGAACATCTACGAGCAGGAAAAAAAACTGCTGGCCTCTGTCTATGGGGCCATCAACCCATCACTAGAATCAGAGAGCAAGCAAGGGGACAGAGGAAGGGAGGCAATGGTGTGTCTATAGGAGGCATGAAGTCTGCTGCAGGGAATCTGTCACGGAGGACTGTTCCCACAGACACACAAGCCAGAGGGCAGGTCCTGGTGCTGAGGGAGTATCAGACAGAGATGCTTTGTGAGTACAGCGTGAGCAAAGAGAGACAAAGAAACGCAGGAGCCAACACTGTCTCTGCAGATCAGCCTCTGTTCATTCAAAACACCCTGTGAACCCACCTACCTTATCTCTTTTCTTAGTTCATCTTCTGCTGCTTGGTTTTCTCCAGGACAAATCTTTGCCCTAAATTTCCTGTAGTTCTGTTTGCCTTCACTCTGTTGTTTTTGGTGATTTAACTGCTTTATTCGTTTAGCTAAAGAAGTCATAGAAAAGTCAAGGGGCACAACTTTCTTACAAATTTTTACAGCCACATCGACCTGAGCTGCTGAGCTGTTCTGAGGATTAGCCAACTTTGGAAGAACGGCAGCCTCTGAGGGGATTTCTTCGTTTTTAAAACGCTTGGTGCGGGGGGTGGAGAGGTCAGTTGGCAGAGGCAAAGTTCTACACGAACATCTGCTCTCATCCTGACTTACGTGGTGCTCCCTTCCTGAAAGATGAAGGCCCATTTCAGGTGGTTTCTCACCAGAGTCCATGCCTCCCTGAAAGAGTCTGTCTTCCGGGGAGCTCACCGCAAGGTCACTAACGCAATGACTACCCGTTTCTGGGGTACTGAATTCTTCCTCTGAGCCAGCTGAGGTGCTACTGTGCCCTGAGTCCTTCTCCACTTCCACTCTGTCCACACAATTACCAGGGACCTTCGTGGGACTCTGCCCCTCTTCCTGAGAGCCCCTGAGGCCTCTGGCAGAGATGGTTTCCGAGGAACTAGAAGATGGCACACCCCTTTTCTGTGCTGGAGAAGTCCGTCTCCGTTCAGGAGTCTCTGGGCCCTGAGATTTCGTCTCTGTGGTATGACGAAGAGAAAAGGCCTCTCTTAGCCTGGAAATGGACACGGACCTTTTCTCTTCTCCTGGAGTCCGTGGGGAAGGGGAGCTGCCCTGCCATTGTGGCACAGGCTTTTCCACATCTGTAGCATGCGTCTTTATTAAGTTACCTGAGCAGATGGGGTGGAGAAGAGTATTAGGAGTGTCCCGAAGTAGGAGAGGGCAGTTTTATGTGAACAGCTAATCAACAAAAGTGGAAGGCAACACGGCTGATAAAGCGTGTGAACACTGTCCAAAGCTGGTCATGAAGGGGTACAACTAAAACCCTCGCTCCCTCCTGTGCTCGACAGCTCTCTTCACTGTGGCCCCAAACTGGAGGCAACCCAAACACCCACCAAGAAACTGATATTTGAATGCAGGTAAATACTAACATAGCCGATGGAAGGAATGAATGGCCATCTGTGACTTGGTGAGCTACACAGCAAGATCTGACCCCAAACGACCAAAAAAACAGAACTATAAAACCGTGGCTCAAGACTACAATCCCAACTACTTGGGAAGCAGAAATTGGAAAGATCGTGGTTCAAGGCCACTTTGGGCAAAAAAATTCAAAACCCCTTCTCAACTACTGAAAAATCAGGCATAGTGGTGCATACTCATTACCCCAGCTACATGGGAAGATGACATAGGAAGACTACATAGGAGGACCACAGCCCAGGTGAGCCCAGGCACAAACACAAGATCCAAGATGAAAAATAACTAAAGCAAAAAGGACTGAAGGTGTGGCTCAAGTGGTAGAGCGCCTGCCTAGCAAGCACAAAGCCCTAAGTTCAAATCCCAGTACTGAAAAAAAAAAAAGAAAGAAGTCTGGAAAGCAGTCAGCGCTGGGGGTTAGTGGAGGAAAAGGAGCCCAAAGCAGATCTGCGGGAGTGATTTCTCGATGTCAGGGCTGACACGCTAACACGTCATGATGTTGTTTCTTCTGATTGCTACACTTCCATAAAATGGAGATGCAATGGGCACTGCTTGAACAGCACAGTGCAGTTGGCCTTTTGTTATTTGCTTGGAGACACCATCTCAATATGTAGCCCAAGGTGGCATCAAATGTGCATTCCTCCTGCCTCGGCCTCCTCAGTGCTGGAATTACAGGTGTGTACCACCACCGCTGAATGCAGATGTTTTGAGTTTCTTGTTCTGTGGTCGCCTCTCCATCCAGGTCCTGGACAGAGCTCTGAGACCCTACAGCTGGCCCTTCCCTTGAGGAGTGTGCTGCTGACCACGTCAACTGCACCCCACGTGCATGCTGTGCCCCTACTCTCCCATACAGACAATGGCTGGGAAAGGTGGGAGCCTTGCAGGTACAAGTCAGCAACCAGAACACAAGTTTTCTCTACTCCTCTTCCACCCCATCAGCCCCAGCATCCTGGGACCTCCACTGCCCGAACTATTCACTGTGGACCTCTACAAAAGCCCATCCCACTGTCTTCCAAATTGACCTCACAGCCGTGGGCCAAGAAATGGCGGGACAGAGAGCAGTCCCTGTTCCCACTCTGTGTCCTGCTCCCCCTGAACATAGGGACCTGAAAGGCCAGTTGGATGCCCTAGGAAGACCAAAGGCTTATGGCTCCTAGCACCCTCTGTTTACAAAGCCTGGCACAGAGCATTTCCTCTCACTGGGAGCAATGGATAAACATCTGTTCCCAGCACTGTCCACCAAAGCCTCTTCCATCTTCCTCAGCAGCTCTCTAGCCTTCTCCCCAATGGAGGACACAATGACCAGCTGCTCAGTGCCATCCTCCACATCCAGACACACAGATCACGGGCAAGCTGGATCACAGTGCTAACGAAGACAGCTTCCACCCAAAGGGCAGAACTGGCTGGCAGAGGGGCAGGGGCCAGCTTTTGCCTCTGCCAAGGATGGATGCTGGGGCTCAACATTGGCCCCTCTCCCAGGTCACCCAGAAGCATTCAATTTGACTGAATAAGAAGTAAACATATTACTTTAAGGAATGGTTGACAGCATGACCAGAGAGTAAGATAATCACCTTTGTAGCAACGTGCTGAAAGAAGATGACTGTCAACAAGAGTTCTACATCCAGCAAAACCATCCTTCAAAACTGAAGGAGATACAACGCGTGCAGTTTGATGAACGCTCAGCATGCACAAGACCGGGACTGATCCCCAGCCCCTACGCAAACATGAGAAGAGAGGGTTTGTTTTGTTTCTACTGTGGTACTAGGGGATCACCAGCACTCTACCATGTTTTGTTTTTTTTTTTTTTTCTGCAGTACTGAGGCTTGAACTCAGAGCCTACAGCTCGAGATGGGGTCTCTTGAACTTATTTGCTCGGGGCTGGCTTCGAACCTTGATCCTCCTGATCTCTGCTTCCTGAGTAGTTGGGATTACAAGTGTGAGCCACCAACACCTGGCAACCATGTATTTTTTAGTGGTACCTTTTGTTTGCTATATAATAGATGCATACACACACACACGTGTGTGTGTGTGTGTGTGTATATATATATATATATATATATATGTATGTAAAGTTCTTGTTTATTATTGAAATTAGGTTGATATTAATCTGAATTGCTATGGTAACTATAATCTCCAGGGTGACCACTAAGAACATAACTCAAAAATATGTAGCAAAAGAAATGACAAAAGAGTTAAGAATGCAGTTACTATGGACTCATACTGGTCCTGTATCTTACACTACACCATCTGCTTGCAATGGAAAAACTACAGTGACCATTATGGCCCTAGAAGACACCACTGAACACCTCTGTTTGCTAAATGTAGTAAGCTCATGTCTCCCAGACAGAGCACCTCAGACTGTAGCTAGCATACTTTGTAGGGTGACATATCCTCTCCTTGGAAAAGAGCTTTTATTTCACGTCAAAAACAAAAAGGGAAGCTTTAGAAGCTGTTCTCTCACTGCATCTTCCATACCTGCAATATCCAACAGTGGTTGCTGACTGACATTAAGCTTGTTTACATCACTATCGAACATCCCAATCAAAGAGGTCTTTAAAACTGCCAACAAAAGCTTCTCCTCTTGCAGTAAGATTTGCCTTTTGTCTGGAGTCACGTTGACATCAACACATTCTAAGATAAAAAAAAAAACGCACACACGTATTATATGATATTTCATTCACATATTTTTACCAAAGTACTACTAAAAATATTACCATGGGGCTGGAGGTGTGGTTCAAGTGGTAGTGCTCCTGCCTAACAAGTGTGAGCCTTGAGTTCAAACCTCAGTGTAGCAAAAAAAAAAAAAAAAAAGGTGTTCTGATTAACATTCATAAATTATAAACAAGATTTTTGTTGCTGTTTCTTTGGCAGCACTAGGTTTGGACTCAGGGCCTTGCTGTTGCTAAGGGCACTCTACTGCTTAGCAATGACCCCATGACCCCAGCTTTTTGCTTTTTCAGGTAGGGTCTCACATTTGCACCCAGGCCAGCCTGGATCTTGAACCTCCTACCTATGCCTCCTATGTAGCTGGGATTATACATGCACCATGCACAGCTTTGTTACTGTCTGAAATGGGGTCTCCCAAGTAGCAGGTAGGATCACAGATGTGGGCCTAAAATGAACAATTTTTTAAATAGACAAAATATGCCTGGATTTGAATGGTCAAACTATAAAAGAACAAGTAAACAAGTGAAAATGTATAAAAGAGCAAAATGAAAAATAAAATATTTCATCCCTGACTGAGTTTAGTTAAAAAGATAAAATACCTAGAGTTGGACATAGTGGTACATACCTATAATCCCAGCCACTCAGGAGGTGGAGGCAAAAGGATCTCAAGTTTGAGGCCAGCCCGGGCAAAGTTAGCGAGACCCTATCTCAAAGTAAAAACAAAAGGGCTGAGGGGGTACCTCAACAGGTAGAGAACTGCACAGCACACACAGGCCCTGGGTCAGTCACCAGCACCACTAAACATAGTACCTAATACACTGCGGGTAGATGTGCAGATTGGCACGACAGGCCTAAAATACAACACAGAAAAAGTCTCAAAGTGATCATCTTCACTGCCCAGTGTTCTACTTCGAGGGATGTATCATAAGGAAATAACTGAAGATACAGCTAGTGCTTTAATCTTAAGCACAGGATTTCTATTTCCCAAGAGCTGGAAACTTAAATATCAAAAAATAAAATCATTTCAAAATCAAAATATAACCATGCACAGGAATACACTGGTTATTAATATTGTGTTTCTTAATGGCTTTTAATGGCATGGAAAAAAAAGAGCAGGATACAAAGTTACTTTCTCAACCCCAAGGATATGTATTGTGTGTGTGCTGCAAGGCAAGTACCTATGTATTTCTAACTCTATAGAAAAAGTGGTTGGCAATAAACCAGAATTTTAATAATCAGAAGAATACCTATGAAACTTGTTTCAAAATCGAGGAGAACGTTTTTTTGCACTGCTGGGAATGGAACCCACGGCATGCTGGCAAGCACTCCGCACTGAGCTACAGCCCCGGTACAGGGCTTTGTTTTGCTCTACTTCCTCCATTCGTTAACATGAGAAGCCATGTTTTTTAATAACACAATTAGCACTGCTTCATGTAGGAAGCAGGAAGGTCTGTATAAAAATCAAAAGTATATCACCAAAAACCATTCTCTTTCCAGTGCTGTCAGAGCTCATGGTTTCATTTGGCTCCATTGGGAACAAGTCACCCATGTTACTGACATCTCAAGGCAGCTTACCAGAATCGACAGAAATGTTGAGAACCACAAACGGATACTGATGGCGGTTGTACATGTGGTAGACCTCATTCACAAGCCTGGAGACCTGGGCAGAGAACAAGATGAGAGAGGAATAGATGGTCCCTTCCCCCGCTGTTCTGAGAACTCACTATTCTAACCTTCCTCCAAATGGATCCATTTTTATTAAGCTTTATTAAACATATTACAGCTTTGTTGCAGTATGATTAAAATAACAATAAACTGTGTATGTTTAAAATGTACCATTTGTTAAATTTTCACACATACACACCTTTTAAACTACCTCACAATCAAAATGATAAATACGCCCACCACTAAAAAAGTTCCTGACGTAGGGCATGGTGGTGCACCCCCGAAATTTCAGCACTTGGGAGGATGAGGCAGGAGGACTGAAATTTGAGGCCCGCCTGAGCTATACAGCAAAACTGTGTCCCAAAATAACAATACAAAACAGTTTCCTCATGTCCCTGAAAGAGGTATTTTCAAATCAGACTTTAAAACTTAAGACTTTCCAATCTAAACAGTCTGAAAGAATTAATGCAGATTTAATTTAAATGTTCAGACAGCACATTCAAATGCCCTTACACATGCAGTTATATAACATTTAGATGGGACTATTAAAAGACATTAGGGATAAATATAAAATTACAACCCAGGTTTAAAATGTTACAAGTGGAATCACATCTGGTAAACACAAGTGAGGCTTTTTTTAGTTGTTTTTTTTTTTTGCAGCACTGGGGTTTGAACTCAGGGCCTCACACTTGCTAGGCAAGCGCTCTACCACTTGAGCCGCTCCACCAGCCCACAAGTGAGTTTTAAAGCATTACTCAGGCCCAGCACTGCTGAAGATGCAAAAGTCAAAACTGACTTTAAACCGGGTGTAATTATGCCCATACGAGCAGCTTCAGTCTCAGGCAGGGGTAGTCTGGGCCCTGACTCTGGGAAGTGGACAGAAGGATGAGGAAGTTACAAAACTATGTACACATATGGCCCGTTTATACTGAGAAGTATAGATGATGGCAAATGTTTTCTTTCTTCAAACAGTGCAGTTAATATGTGCTTATATTTACATCTATACACACACATACTATTGAAACAATGTATGGTAGATTTTCTTAAAGGCCTAATAAAATGATATTTCAAAGCCCTATTTCTAAGTCGGTCCCAAGCTGTACATGAACTGCCTGAATGATAAACAGTCACAAGATAATAAAATAGAAACTCAAAGAATGAGATGCTACAGAAAGAACTGTGACCACCTTTGCTGGGTCGCAAGGCCGACGATTGATGAAGAAAAACTGCCTGTCGGTGGAGCTCCTCCCGACGCCGTGCTCGCAGCGGGAGATGAAGCCTGAGATGCTGTCCATGATAGCCAGGGCATCGCAGGGCAGGTCCAGAGGAAAAAAGATTAGGACACTTAGCAGAGAGTGCACTTTCACAATCACGTAAAACATGTCCACAGGAACACCACCTTGACACAAACAAACTTTATCTTTACAATTTTAGATGTAAGTCAAAACAGCTGTGGCGGGGGAGCAGCATGGACCATTGTAAGGCCAGTCCTCCTTGTGCAAGTGTATTTTCCTTACACTAAAAATAAAGATGCTAGACAACCTTCATCAAGTCCAAAAAAAGTCAAACATTAAATATCAAATAATTGGGGCTGGCAGAGTAGCTCACGGAGTAGAGTGCCTGCCTGGCAAACGTGAAGCCCTGGGTTCAAACTCCAGTACCACCAAAACAAATAAATTAAATAAAATAATTGAAAAGTTACTGTTTGGACCTAGTGGTGCACGCTTGTAATCCCAGCACTTGGGAGGCTGAGGCAAGAGAATTTCGAGTTTGCTCCTGTCTCAAAACATACACACAAAAGTTAGTCTAGCTAAACAGCCCTAACAGACTGATTGAACCGGAAAGCCCCTGAAGTGCACCAGTCACCGAGACTACTGGTCTGATTCAAGAAACTGGTCTGTTATATAAATCGTCTCTCTCAGCAGTCCTACTACCCAGTTTTATAAAGGGCATAAAACTACACACCTCAAAATAACTATTCAAAAAGAAAAAGAAACATCCTCAGGAAAACTGTCTAGTACTAGCTTTCCTGGCAGCCAGGCACTTACTAGAACAGATTATGGAGGGCGTCAGAGCAGCTCAGGCCGAATTCTTCACAGACCGAGTCACTAGGGGGCAGCTGAACAAAAGGAATGAGGCTTTGCAACTGAAAGAGACCAAGAGTCAGAGTTGTTTCCTATGGAAGACAGAGGGGACCAGACTGCAGAGAAGAGGGAAACAGTTTGTGTCCCAGTCAAGCTATGGCAGTAACAGCACAAAGGAACTTCCACAAACACTTTGCAGTGTAACAGTGGCCAGAAAGATGAACACTGAGCATCTTCTTATTCATCACCCACACACTGCCTGTGGTACTTCACACTTTCTCAAAGACAGCGCTAGAGAATACAGTATTTGGGGCTGGCAGAGTGACTCAAGTGGTAGAGCACCTGCCTAGCAAGCATGAGGCCCTGAGTTCAACCCCAGTGACACCAAAAAAAAATATATATATATATATTAAAAGAATACAGTATTTCATTCTCTGGGAGAAAAAATAAAAATTTTTCAGCGCTCAAGTATTAACTTTTGAGATAGGAACTTAAAGTCATTTCCTGGAGTTCTTTCTTGATTGGAAAGGACATGCACTTGCCTTAGTCACTAATGCAATAAAATGAATAAAATATTTGTTTTTTGGAGTTTTTTTTGGATGCCACTGGGTTTGAATTCAGAACCTCAGGCTTTCTAGGTAGGTGGTCTACCACTTAAGCCAGTCCTGTTTTTCTGTTTTGTGTGTGTGTGTGTGTGTGTGTGTGTGTGTGTGTGTGTGTGTGTGTGTGTGTTGGGTTTTTTCAAGATAGTGTCTCTTGAACTATTTGCCCTGGGCAGGCCTTGAACCTTGACCCTCCGGATCGCTGCCTCCCACATAGCTGGGATTATAGACATGAGCACCAGCGTCCAGCTAAATATTTCTAAGTAACTGGTCACCACTACCTGCTTCTGCCCGAACACAGAGCCGATGTTTTCCTTCATGCTGGAGCTTCCACTTGTGCAGACCACAGGCTGCCGCTTCCCTTGCCCAAGCTGATTGGTGCAACTTACACGGATGCCTGCTGAAATGACACAGTATGCCTGTAAGACCTGGACCATTTTGGCATACTCCTGTTTAAAAAACACAAAAATAAGGCTATTACTTTAATCTTAAAGGAATTACATGACTCAAGTTACAACATCCAATTCAAAGTTCTCATATCGCCTCAAAAATAAGGAAAGAATTACTGACAGAAGAATATATGAAGAAGCATCCCCGGGCAGGTGTGGTGATGCACGTCTGTAATCTCAGCACTCAGGAGGCTGACAAGGGAGGACTGTGAATTCAAGGCAGGCCTGGCTACATAGTGAGACTCTGTCTTAAAAAACCAAAAGGGCAGGCTGGTGGAGTGGCTCAAGCAGTAAGCATGTCTGCCTAGCAAGCATGAGGCTGAGTTCAAACCCCAGTGCCACCAAAAAAAAAAAAAGAAGTTAAGTTTTTGATGAGGTAACACAAACAAAGCACTCTTAAAAAGTTCAGGAGGGGATGTAACTCAGTGGCAGAGCATATGTGTACCATATGTGAGGGCCTGGGTTAAATCTCCAGTACCAAAGAAAAGAAGAAAATCACCTGAAGAGTAAACATGTTCCTTACATGACTCATGTTCCTTACACGGCTGAAACTTCTGAAGAGTGGGACTGCAAATTTTCCATACCTTTTTAATATTCCTTTGAAATTCCTTATGGCGCACAGGCAGCGTGTAAAATAACTGCTGCACACTGACTGTCGTTCCTTTGGGTCGAGGGTAGGGGGTTTTCTGGACAATTTTCCCATTGTGATCAAACACAAGCCGGGTCCCAACCTTTGCAGATGTGTGGCAGGTAGAAATAGTTACATCACTGTAAAAGAAAGCCAGGCGTGGCGTCTCCAGTTAGAAACTCACAAGGGATGGACACAATACTCTTTCTCCAATTTTCCTTTCTTCCAGAACTTTTTTTTTTTTTTTTTTGGGTGGGACTGGGGTTTGAAGTCAGGGCTTCACACTTGCAACACAGGCATACTATCATTTGAGCCACACCTCCAGTCCATTTATTATTTTGGAGATGGAGGTCTCACAAACTATCTTCCCAGGTTGGTCTCAAGCCCCCATCCTCCCAATCTCAGCCTCCCAAGTAGCTAGGATACAGGGGTGAGCCACGGGTGCCCAGTTCTCAAAACTCTCTTACCAAGGTGCTGGTGCTCTGAGATAATCAAGAGGGTTTTCAGTGGGTGTGAGTCATCCTAAAGTGTAAGCTTTGGCCCTAAAAGACTGTGCAGCAGATAGTTCTGCAAATGCTTTGTTTCCATGAAATCACTGTTAGCTTTTTAGTTTCAACTCCAAAACAAAAGACCTCAAAATTTATTCATTCACAAATAAGGACTTATTTCTCAGTTTTTTTACTACTGTCCTAACAAATATTTTTAAAAAGATCCAAGAGCTGTTATAATTTAAATGCATAATTATACAAATTTAGCATCTGAGTCAAGTGCCAATGACTCACACCTGTAAAACTGGGAGAACTGAGGCTCAAGGGCAGCCTGGGCAGAAAGTTAGTAGAAACCCCATCTCAAGCAATAGCTGAGCACAGTGGCGGGAGCCTGTCATCCCAGTTATGCAGGAAGTATAACAGGAGGATGGTGGTCCAGGCCAGTCCCGGCATAAATGTGAAGATCCTATCTCCAAATCCCAAAAACTAAACCAAAAAAGGCTGGGGTTCAAGTGGAAGAGTGCCTGCCTAGGAAGAGTGAGGCCCTGAGTTCAAAAGCCTAGGACTTCAAAAAAACAAAAATCAGAACTTACACTATAGAGATTTGATTAAATCTTTTCCTTAAACACTGAAAATAAATTAAAATCATAGTATGTAGAATTTATTGTCTATATGTTACTTTTTATTTATTTATTTATTTATTTTTGGCAGTACCTTGGATTTGAACTCAGGGCCTGACGCTTGCTAGGCAGGCAGGCTACCACTTGAACCATTTGGCCAGACCTTTTTTTTGGCTTTTTTTGTGGTGTTGGGAATCAAACCTCACACATGCTAGGCAAATGCTCTACCACTGAGCTATACCCCAGCCTGCTTTAAAGGGGTAACTTTTTTTACAATACTATTTGCCTCACTTCCTCCTCACACTTCACAAGTGTTAACATTTTGATGGGCAATAAAAGAGAAGTCCAAAGTCAGAGGTTAAGATATTCCAGCAGAAAAGTACAAGCAATAATGACTCTAATTAGAATTTTCAGTTTTCAGAGGGGTTTTTATAAAGGGTCAAGTTAATGGGATTAAAATAACATCACCTCAGTGCACAAAGTGAGCTCAGGGCTTCCCCCCGAAAGCCAAAGGTCTCAACCTGAGTGAGGTCAGCAAACTCCTGAATCTTAGACGTATGATGCTTCAGAGCTGAAAGACAGTGCAAAGGGAGGCCCAGGATGTCTCAAGATGTACACTATGAGTGCGTGCAATACTGACCCCAGGAAACAGTCTTCTGTTTCCTAAGACAGAGACTCAAAATCCTGAGACGCTGAGCCCAATTATTTTATAAAGGAGCAGAAACTTTCAACTTACCTAAGCCTTCAAAGTTTTCTTCTTCTACTCCACATCCATTGTCTGAAACTTCAATCAAATCCACGCCATACTCTTTAAGCCTTAGATCTAAAAAGTTTTAACGGATTTACTTCTCATACACTGGCCCATACTAAAAGCTTTGAGATCAACATTATTTGTTACATAAAATGCAAATGCAGGAGTAAAAGGTTTTTGTTTCTTTGAAAAGGAATAACTTTAACATAGCCATTAAAGAGAACAGAATCAGACTTCCTGGATATTAGGAAATAGGTTCTTTGGGCCTCAATTTCCTCATCTGTCAGTTATTCTGCATATTAAATGAGATATTCCATGTAGAATTCTGGTCGATTTTTTTTTTGGTGGGGCAGAGGTTCGAACTCAGGGCTTTGCACTTGCAAAGCAATGGTCGATTTTTTTTTTGGTGGGGCAGAGGTTCGAACTCAGGGCTTTGCACTTGCAAAGCAAGTGATGTACTACTTGAGCCACACCTCCAGTCCTCCATGTATAATTTTTAACATGATGCCTGCCTGGCACACAGTAAAAGTTAACTGGTGCTATTATTATTATTATTATTATTATTATTATTACTACTATCTCACTAAGTAGTAGGCACATAGTAAATGCTAGCTTTAAAATAATGATTGATTGAAACACCAACACTTGATTATGTTATTATACTAACACGTTTCTTAAATACATCATAAACGGGTTATTTCTTGTGGTTTAAATTTTCCCCAAACTTACCAATGCTGGTGGCACCAGCATCCACACTATTTTCTACCAACTCCTTCACAGCAGTGCTTAGACTTAGTACCACCTGGCCCGAGCAAATCTGATGGACTGACTTCCCATCGATAGGTCTGATGGCCTTCGCAAGCTCTGTGCTGAAAAAAGATCAGTTACAAGAAAGAAAGCAGGCATTCAGACAAAGCAAGTACTGGACTTCCATCCTCATTTTAGATATGGAAAGTGATTCATTTGTTATGAGAGGGTCTAATCCATTTCCTTTATTATGTGAAGATACCCATTTAGTATACTCACAATTGTAAATGCTGTTCTTCAGTCTTTAAAAATGTCACAACTAATTCTGAATACATACATAATCTAATTAGCCATAGGTCTACATGAAGAAAATGTGCTGTAACCCTCAAGCTACAGGTGAATGATCTTGTTGGGGGGGCGGTGTTGAGAATCTCCATATATATTGTGAGAATTAGCTTAGATGGGATCTTTTCTGTCAAAGGATTTCATCAGTAACCACCACTGTTAGAAATGTTAAATCTTACTACCTGGCTTCCCATATGCTTACTTCATGGACTCTGCTTAACTTGATGAAAGTTTTTATTAAGAACAAAGGGTTGTTATCCTCAGCTGGACAAAATTCCACTAGTTGTTCTGGTTCCAGAGCTGATAACTTAAACCAGGTATTGCTTCCCTGAGCTTTGAAACTTCTTTGTCTTCAAAGCCCTCTCTCCACATAGCCAACTGTGTAGACTGAACCCAAAACCTGCCCAATTCAGGAGAGGGGCAGCATTACATCACAGATAAAACCCCAGCTGACTCCCCACTGGGGGTGCTTGCTCTTTGTGGAGCATCCTTCTGCAGAAGTAAACTTTGCCTTGCCTGTTGACTTCTGAGTTGTGTCATCTCTCTCTCATGACAGCCCAACATCTTAAAGATACTTCTAACATATATATCCCAGGCTGACCCTGAACTCATACTCTTCCTGCCTCAGTCTCCCCGAAATGCGTGGATTACAGGTGTGCACCACCATGCCCCCACCAGGTCAATAATCTTTTACAACATGAAACTCTCTTTCAAAAAGTAAAAGCAACATTCCCCACACAATTTGAAAAACTAAGAGTATGGTGGGAAACACAGTGTTTACAACAAAATCACCTCAGAACCTGGGGGTACCAATTACATAATCACTACGTCCATAGTCCTTGAAACACTAATACAGATCCAAGCTGCCCACTGCTGCCTTGGTAAAAGCCCTCAAAGTTATTGAGACAGGGTCTCTCCATGTAGCCCAGCTGGTGCCCAAACTTGAGATCCTCCTGCCTCTTCCTCCCAAGTGCTGGGATTACAGGTGTGCACCACCATGCCTAGTTGCTCAGTTATCACTATACCCAGCTTTCAGAGTTTTGCAACATTCCTTTTTGTCTCCAATCCATTCTCTATGCTACCAACCAACCATTTCCAACATCACGAATCTGATCAAAAAAGCTTTAGGCTTAACAACTGACCAGTGCCCCAATGCCTACCCTATTACATGAAGTTTAAAATCTAGTCAAGGGCTGGAGTGTGGCTCCAGTGGTAGAGCAACTGTCTAGGAAGGACAAGACACTGAGTTCAAGCCCCAGTACCACCAAAAAAAAATCTAGTTATGAGTGGACCCCAAATCTACTTTATTTTCTCATTCTCTACCATCCTCCCTTCATGGCTTGGGTCACAATAAGCAACTGTATCATGAAAGTGACAAGTTCTTTTAGCCACTGAGCTGTGTCTAACTAAGTCTCTGTGAGAACGTCTCCTTCCTCTTCTGGTCACGACTGCATACGTTCATTAATGCAGCAAATAAATCTTAATGCACGACATAATTAACAACCTGGGACACAGGCGGCCCCCTGGGACAGAGAGCATCTTCGGGCATTTCCACGACATCCAACACATGGTGGCCCCTCCATAAACGCTCACAACATAAGGAAAATGTCTTTGCTCTTCGTTCTACCTTGCAAACAATCTCATTTGCTTGTCCATAATGTCAAACGTAAATAGAAATGCTCTCTGAAAATTAGCTTTTTTTGGCCACACCTCAGACGACAGGTGCACCCGAGAGAGTTGGGGGTGGGGCGCCTCCTGTTGAAACAGATTGAGCGAATTTGCGTTGACGAATCTGACTCTGAACGCAACTGTGCTACACTGGATCCACGTCACTTACCAGCCGGAAATCAAACACGCAGAGACCCAGAAACATTACACTAAAAAATAATAACAAATCTGCGACTATGCAAAATTAGCGTGTGCCACGGACCCCGCCTCTCCAATTAAAGAGATAGACGCAAAAAGAAAAGAAAAAAGAAAAAAACTTCAAAAACTGAAAAGAAGAAAAAAGAAAAAAAAGAGACAGACACCAAATAAAAAGGAAATGAATTTCATGCTCCGTCAAGTTCAGAGCCTTGTGATGGCGCCGGGCAGGCCCTGCAGAGAACGAGCAAGCCCCAAAACCCCCAAGACACCGACCCCCGTCCCGGTCCGCAGCCCCAAGACGCCGAGAGGAGCTCGACCCCGGCCTCATGGCGCGCTGAGGACTCCGCTCGGATCTCTCGGCCACTTCCGGGCCTTTCCAGTGAGCTGGAACGCCGTGGAGCGCAGAGAACACGCCCCGAGGGGACACCGCGAGCACAGCTCACCTCGAGCACCCAGCCGGCTCCATGGACGCTGAACGTGACCCGACTGGAGAGTTCCAGTCGCCCGCTCCGACAGGAGTCCGGTCTCTCTGCAGCCCATTGGGTACTTTTGACACAGAGCCCCGCCTCTTCCGGGCGGAGGGGCAAATGGAAACCAGACCTCCTTCTCGCTGATTGGCTATATTAAAGGTCGAGTTCGTGACGTCGAGAAGATCCGGGCCAATTACAGCGCACGGACGAAGTTTTTCCCTAACGCCAGTAGTAGAATCAGAAAGAGGGTGGCAGTAGTGCGTGGTGGTTTAGGACGGTTTCTGAGCGTTCGCCCGCCAGGTTTTGGTTTCCGTGATGCCGATGTACCAGGTGAAGCCCTATCATGGGGACGGCGCACCTCTGCGCGTAGAGCTTCCCACCTGCATGTACCGGCTTCCCAACGTGCACGGCCGGACTGGCAGCCCCGCGACCGACACAGGCCACGTGCAGGTAGGAGTGCGCGGTCCCCGCCCAGTGCGCAGGCGCTGCGGCCCGCCGTGCCCTGCCCCACCCCCACCCCGCCCAGTGCGCAGGCGCCTTGGTGGCCCTGGTCCGTGGGCCTGCCCCTGACCCCAGGGCGGTGGCCACCCGGTTCCGAGCAGCTGTGGAAACACGACCCGACTGCCAGCGCCACCCCACCCCGCCCCGCCCCGGCCTGGTATACGGGCAGGCAGCGAGTCACCCTGAGTTTTATCTATTGAGAGATCTAGTCATCTTTAATTTCTTTTGTCATATGACTGTTTAAACATTATGAAATTGTACACCACAGAAAAGCGAATAACGCACAAATCATTTTGAAGATTTACAGAGCGAACCTTAGGGTCGCCACCTCCCAGGGTGGCACATTGTCAGCACCCCTCCCTCCCCACTTACTTTGCCCTCCAAAGATCTTGATTTTCATGGTAGTATGTCTTGCTTTTCTTTATTTTGCCACCTGTGTATCCCCAAACCAGGCAATCTTTTGTGTGTGTGACTTGGATTTGAACTCAGGGCTTCCTGCTTGCAAAAGAAGCATGCACTCTAACGCTTGAGCCACACCTCCAATCCATTTTACTCTGGTGGTTTTGGAGATGGGGGGGGGTCTTTCGAACTGTTTGCCCAGGCTGGCCTTGAACTGAGATGATCTCAGCCTCCCAAGCAGATGGGATTACAGGTGTGAGCCACCAGTGCCCTGCCTAAACCATACGATCTTGATGTAATTGGGAACATACGTATGTGTTTTGTCTGGCTTTTTTGGGGGGGGGAAGTGACTGGAATTTGAACTCAGGGCTTCACGCTTGCAAAGCATGGCTTCTTTTGTGGACATGATTTCAAGTCATGTTTTTGGAACAACGAAGTGATCACGTTGATTGCTGTATACTGTTCCGCTGTGTGACGGTACCACCACCATTGTCCCTCCTGATGCTAACGGACACTGGGTATTTGCCCTTTTGTGCTGTGATGACTAATTCTGCAGTGAAGTCTTGTGCACTGCTGGCCTATGGTGTACACTAAGGAAAGGGATTGCAGGCCCAGTGGGCAGTCTGTCTTCCACTTTAACGGGATAAATTGTTTTCTGAGGCAGTTATCCAGTTTCACCTCTAATAATCCCAATGCTCCCATCCTGTGCCAAACTGGTGAGCGGATGCCAGCATCCTAATGCAGATATGCTAGTGTAATTTTTGCATTTTTCTGACTTCTGTTGGTTGCTATTTTTGATTTTTGGCAGTGATGGAGTTTGAACTCAGCACCCAGAACTTGCTAAGCAAGTGCTCTATCACTAGAGCCACTCTCCCAGCCCACACTTTTTGGACTTCTAAGTGAGCTAACGTCCTTTTTATGTTTCCTGGCCATTTTGGTTGGCTCTTTTGTAAGCACCTACTCAAACCTTTCACTTTTTTTTGTTGTTGTTTTTGAGACAAGATTTCACTGTGCGGCTCAGGCTGGCCACAGACTCCCAATCCTCCTGCCTCAGTCTCCCAAGTGCTGGGATTACAGGTGTGCACCACCACACCTGGCTTCTTTCACTCTTATGGAGTAAGAATACTTATCTGAGGTTTCCAGCAGGAAAAACATTTTATCTATTCCAACAGGAGATGGACATTGTTTCTGGTCAGCTTCCCCTTCACTTTGTCTTAATGGCATTCTGCCTGGATTGGAAGGGAGGTGGTTGGGTTAGTTTGAAACTCAATGACCTTAACAGTTGTCTCACTGCAGAGCTACAACAAAAACAGCAGCTATGGTTCAATGGTCCTTCAAGTACAGGCAGCCACAGTCCAATCCCACAGTCCCAGGAAACCAAAAAGAAAACCCTGAGTGGGGAGGAAGATCACCTCTTATTTGAGATCAAGTGGTTTTTTTTTAACTTCATTTAATTTGTATTAGCATACGTTGATAATATGAGTGGGACCATGTTTTGTTTTATATCTGCAGCCTTGCTTGCTTTGAGATTTGACCTCTGAACTTTTTTGTTTTGGGTAGTACTGGAAATTGAACTTGGGGCCTTGTGCTTGGCTCTACCACTGGAGCCATGCCACCAGCCTGAGCCACACCTTCAGCAAGTTTGTTTCAGTTTCATTTTTTAAAAAGGTCTCATGCTTTTGATCAGGGCCAGCCTTGGACCTCCAACCTCCCGAGTAGCTGGGATTACAACTGTGCACTACCACGCCCAGCTTAGTCTGTGAACTTCTGACTTTGAAGACACAATCCTGCTGTTGTAGTGATTCCTCTGGCAGGTGATAGCAACATGCGTGGGTAGATAGAGATCAAGTGTGTCCAGAGCAAATGAGAGCAACACAAAGAACTAGCTGCTTGTAAACTTATTTAAAATGAAACAAATGGATGCCAGTGGAACACTTGGCGCTGCTCAGATCAGGGGCCAGGTCAAGCTGCACTGGGCTGAGAAGTCACAGGCCACGTTACCGGTGCAGTTCTAGCCTCAGATACTCTTCAGTGTGTGTTGACTGAGTTTTGAATCTAGTAGTTGCTGCTTTGGACCTGGTGGGATAAGCACCCCACTGCCATTTGTGACATAAGTGAGATGGCACAGAGACTTCACAGCTACAGGCCTGTGCCGGGCATGGCGTTGCACATCTGTAATCCCAGCATGTGGGAAGATGAGGCAGGAGGGTCACAGGTTCCAGGCCATGGCCTGGTCTACACAGCACACCTTGTCTCTAAAACAAAGTGAAAGAGATAGGAAGGAGGGAGAGAGTGAGAGGGAAGAGAGAACATGAGAGAGATTGGAAGTGTCACTCTGGAGTATTCATCTCTGCCTGCCACTCATCGTGTATTCAAACTCTTTTCCAGTCAGCACTAAATTATTTAATTGGCATCCTTTATCCTTCTGTGTTCTGCCGAGAGGCCAGTAGACTTACATTTCTTTGCTATTTACTCTTAAGAGCCACAGTCTAGGAGAGGTAAGAAAGTGGCGATTAAGCCTGGCACAGAAAGGAGTTAGCTAGACAAGAGAAGAGGGAAGGGGCTTTGCAAATAAAAGAAACAGTATGTCATGAAACAAAAAAGGAAAAGCATGTGTAAAGGTCCTGTGGTAGGAGGGACTGTGTGTGGTTAGAGTGCAGAGGAGAGAACTATGTGGGATACAGTAGTCAGATGCCAAATCACACAGGAGTTCATTAAGCCATATCGAGGGTTTTGGTTTTGTTTTTGAGACAGGGCCTTGCTGGGTTGCCCAGGCTGGTCTTGAAGTCCTGGGCTCAAGCATTCATCCTGCCTCAGCCTCCCAGGTGGCTGGGACTATAGATGTACAACCTGCCCAGCATGGGGTTGAGCGTTTAGCCTGTGTGCTTAGCACTCTAGAGGTGGCAAGAAGATGTGAGTTTTTGAAAGTCTCTGGCTGGCATCTCTGAGGGGATAGGTTGGAGAGGGGACCAGAGTGGATACAAGGTGACCAGTTAGCAACTAGGCCAGGCGAAAAATGGCCTGGCTTTGAGCAGTAACCATGGAGACCCTTCAAAGCCAGTGGATTCCAGAAATACTTGGGAGCTTGACAGCGCTGGTGATAAATGAGCTGTGGAAGGACGTTAAGAACATCGAACTTGCCTGTACACAGATGTGAGCAAATACTCCACTCCAGTGTGTCCTAAGTTTTATAAGAAGCCTGGGTCACTGCCGGGTTGTGCTTGATGTTCTGCATTTTCCTCAAGGGTCATGTGTTTCTTCTCTCAGCTCAGGATGGATCACCTGTTGCACAGTGTGGCTTTGCTGGGAGGTTACTGATTAGGGCTTTTTAAAGTAAGCCATAGTTTGAGCTGGGAGTGGTGGCACATGCCTGTAATCCCAGCACACAGAAAGAAGATGCAGGAAGATCGAGAGTTCCAGGCCAGCGTGAGATACATAGAGACCCTGTCTCAAAAATAGGTTGGCAGTAACCAAAGTACATTGTAAGCATATGTGGAAATGTTCACAGTGAACCCCTGTACAACAAGTATTTCCTAATAAAAATGTTTCTTAAAAAATAGGTAAGTAGGTAGACATATGAAATCTGTAGTTTGAGACGTATTCATCAGCAAGTATTATTGGCTACTTACCTTGTGCCAGACAGTGGGCAGGAAGGATGGACAGATTCAGAGATGGAAGGATGTAAGTGCTCCATCTTCATGGAGTCATATGCTACAGAAGTGACTAGTTCTATGTGGTTCTCAGCTGCAGCAGTGCTAGTGCAGCCTTGAAAATGATTTGGGGACTTGATCACCTGTCCCCAGGGACTTGCTTCCAAGCCAGAGGAGACGCCTTCCAAACCTGCCTGGGCTCCCTCTCGCTCTCCATTTGTGTAAATAAATTGTTAAGTTGCATTGCCATTGTCCCTCCCCTTTTCTCTGATCATTTAAGGAAAGTATTTTAGTCTTTTATTAAATAAAGGATGCCAGACACATTGAGAGGCCGAGGCAGGAGGATCGCCTGAGCCCAGGATGGTTAGCACACCTGTAATCCTAGCACTTGGGAGGTTGAGTCAGGAGGATCATGATATTCAGCCTGGGCTACATAGTGAGACTCTGTCTCAAAAAAGAATATTTTGGTTTACGTTCCTTTTTTTTTTTTTTTTTTTTTTTGGTGGCACTGGGGTTTGAACTCAGGGCCTCACACTTACTAGGCAGGTGCTCTACCACTCGAGCCACTCCACCAGCCCTTTTTTGTGATGGGTTTTTTCAAGATAGGGTCTCTGAACTATTTGCCTGAGCTGGCTTCAAACCATGATTCTCCTGATCTCTGCCTCCTGAGTAGCTGGGATTACAGGCGTGAGGCACGGATGCCAGGCTTCACGCTCATTTTATACCTTCTCTCTTCTTACAACTGCAGCAGGAATCAGATAACCTCAAAATGACTTTTAGGCATGCTTTTTACCTATTGTAGAATGTTTGGGGATACATTTGTACAACCCATTGGACCAGAGGAAATACAACAACTGTTGCTTCATCATAATGTCCTTTAAAAGGTGGGAGGTTTGCTTTGCTGAGTCCTTGGGCAGAGTAAGCCAAGCAATCACATTTGGCCTGCCCTCCTGGATGTGTGAGATGACCACTGCGATCCTGGTTTTCTAGGACACCTGTGACCCATCTCTGCAGACTCTTGAGTCCCGCCAGGATGATATTTTAAAGCGTCTGTATGAGCTGAAGGCAGCAGTGGATGGCCTCTCCAAAATGATCCACACCCCAGATGCAGACCTGGATGTGACCAACACCCTGCAGGCAGACGAGCCTGCAGCTTTTACCACCAACTCACTGGATCTGAACTCAGTGCTGGGAAAGGTAGGCTCATTCTGAAAGCTGACAGATGTCATGGGTCTTTGTCAGTACTGTAAACTGTCCCTGTGTCACTCGCCTTGGCTTTCTAGTTCTTGTGATTGCACCTGCGCACAGACCAGATTTGCCAAGTGGTCCATGTGCAAAGAATGTCCTGTTTGTTACAGTATGGTGCATATTTGAGATTGTGAAAGGATTTGTCCAAGACCTCCCTGCTACCACCCTCCTAGAGTTGATGGAGGGGTACAGCTTACATACCTAACAGTGGAAGGGGTTCTCGCTGTGTCTCCCCGAGAGCTCCGTTTTTGGTGGCCTCGGTGCCTGCGCTGGCGTATTCCTTCCCTGCTCACTCGTTCATCCTGTGCATGTTTTCATGCACTGAGGACTCAGGTGAGCCTTGACCAGGTCCCCATGGAGCCAGTCCTGTGGATGAGCAGGGAGCGTGTACAACTGGGACTGTGATTTCCTGGCATTTCGGCCAACCTGGCAGAGCATTCAGGACACGGGTGAGGAGGGCAGGCTGTGCACAGACGGCCAGGGAAGCTGGTCGTGACTTTTGCTTTCATTACTGAAGAGTGCCTACAAGTCTCGGCACTTCAGTCAGCACCTGCATTGCTGAATCTCCCCTTCCTTCATCGCCAGCTCTGGAGCCGAGACTGTCAAGGGGCTCATCATGAAACACCTTGATAAACACAAACTGATGCAGAAACTATGTCATGCCAGCTGCTCAGTGTTAGATTTGGTAGCTGAAGAATGTGTGTGTGTGTACACACAGATATATCTCAGAGGTAGAAGGGACAAAGAGAAATGTCACTCCTGACAAGGTGTCGTCTGGGTTTGACTACAGTAAAGCCCACTCTCTGTTTGTGGGGAGCCAACAATGGAGGCTCGGGACATGGGGCCAGCCCTCATTGCAGCTCTGTCCTTCCCAAGCTCAGTGACTCGAGTTTTCCCAGCTGCAAAGTGGGGTCACAATAGTACCCCTTTTCTTGGAGGAGGGGTGGCTCTGAGATTTGAACTCAGAGCCTCATGCTTGCTAGGCAGGTACTCTATCCCTTGAGCCATGCCACCAGCCCATAATAGTACCTTCTAACGGGAGTCCTGGATTCAATTAAATGACCCTGGTTATGCTCTTAGAGCACTGACACATTTGTGCACCCCAGATGCTCCTGCTGGCTCCATTGTTCTGATCTGTCCCCCCAGGATTTCGGGGCGCTGAAAGACATCGTCATCAATGCGAACCCAGCTTCCCCACCCCTGTCCCTGCTCGTGCTGCACCGGCTGCTGTGCGAGCACTACAGGGTCCTGTCCACCGTGCACATACACTCGTCAGTCAAGAGTGTGCCTGAGAACCTTCTCAAGTGCTTTGGGGAACAGACCAGAAAGCCATCCCGTCATGAGTACCAGCTGGGCTTCACTTTAATTTGGAAGGATGGTAAGTAGAGGCAGCGCAGGGACAGGACGTTGTGTGGCATACAGACTATGCGGGGTGGCTCTGGGACAGAGGAGGTGAGTCTGGCACAAGGATGCCCTCAGTGCTCGTGGGAGTCTAGGGTCTTAAGTGAGGCAGTTCCTGGTGACATTCTGAGGCCTTGCACAACCAGGCAAAGCATGAGTGAGTGGCTGTCACAGCCATCTGGCCTTCATCTTCAGAACTTTTCCCAGGCCGCTGACATTATTTTTTCCCAGGGTCCTCACGGGATGTCGGGATCATTTATTTGTTCAGCTCTCCTCCTGGGATTTACACAGCCATGAGTTAATGTCCTTGCAGTGATACCTCAACTGCCCCAGCGCCACCAGAGCACTTGAGGACAGAGGTCCTGGCTGGGACCTCTGTGATTTCTGATCCTCAGGTTCCAAATCCTTCAGCAACGGGTTGGAGTAGATGGACTGAAGTCCCTTCTAGCCTGAAAAATGTCCTACACAGATACCAGAAAGGGACAGTTGGTGGCTTTTCTAACATACACTGTGCGTTTAAACACTGCTGACATTGAGCTCGTGGTGGCCGAGGCATGCAGTGTTCTTGGAAGCACACTGCTCTGTTGGGGGCTTCCGCTTCCCACGCAGCACAAGCATCCCTCTGCGGGTGCCGCGCTACACGACACCACATGGCCTGTTTGTCCCTTTCAGTGCCCAAGACTCAGATGAAGTTCAGTGTCCAGACGATGTGCCCCATCGAAGGAGAAGGGAACATTGCACGGTTCCTGTTCTCTCTGTTTGGCCAGAAGCACAGTGCTGTCAACTCAACCCTCATAGACAGCTGGGTGGATGTCGCAATTTTTCAGCTGAAGGAGGGAAGCAGTAAAGAGAGAGCAGTCGTGTTCCGCTCCATGAACTCTGCTCTGGGCAAGAGCCCGTGGCTGGTCGGGAACGAGCTCACCGTGGCCGATGTGGTGCTGTGGTCCGTGCTGCAGCAGACAGCAGGCTGCGGGGCGGTGCCCGCCCATGTGCAGCGGTGGCTGAGGTCGTGCGAGAACCTGGTCCCTTTCAGCACGGCGCTCAAGCTGCTCGAGTGAACGCTGCAGCTGGCTTTAAGACTGGTGCTACTTCGTGCCTGCTGTCTATAAAGGGACTTTACTAGACTCGAAGTCACTTGTCAAGTGTCAATAAAAGCACCATGTAACTTACGGGTTTCATTTTATTTAAAATTGTGGCAAAATCACAAGACACCGTAACTGCCACCTACGTGGCATGCACTTTCTGATACAAAAATGGTACGTCCGATGGTTGTCTGGAGTCAAGGACCTCAGAGAGGAAAAGAGCCATGGGAAGTGGGGCAAAGGCAGAACCATATCTTACTTCTGCTCTGAAATCACGCCACAGCGCTAGGGCATGCTGTGGAATGAGGCAAGGTTGAAGGTGAGAGTGGAGAAGAGGTGGCTGGAGGTGGTGAGAAGCCTGTCTGAGAAGCTCAACTTCTCTTTTGGGCTGTATTGGAGTTTGAACTCATGGCTTCCTGACTGCTAGGCAGGCACTATACTGCCAAGAAGCAGAGCCACAAGTTTTGAGCCAAGTTTTGGAGTAGACAGGTGTCTCTCTGGTGACTGGCTCCGGGCAATGTCCGATGGGGACTGCCCTTCGGGCTTCAGCCTGCTAGACAGCTGAGACTCCAGCTGCTGGGCCTTCTGGAGTTGGACGAAAGTAGACAGAGTTTAGACAGTCACGGGGTGCCACGCTGTAGTTGAGAGCATGTTGGTAGTAAATTAAGTAGAGGAGAGAGAAGGAGAACAGGCTGAACAAAGAGTGGTTGGTCAGAAAGGAGCGATGTAGGGGCAGGCGGTGGGGCAGTTTTACATCCTTCACGGGCTGTACACACTTGCTGAACACAAGAATCATTCCACTTACCCCCTACTACAGACTGAAATCTGCATTGCAGTTGGCTGGTCTAAAAGTGAGTCCACCTTTGTGTCACTGATGCTGCCTAGTGAGGGAGGCAGGGAGGCCCTGCTTGTCACCCCTTGACCCCCTTGGCCTGAGACAGGAGGCTCAGCTGCTTCTTCAGTTCTTGGATTTCTTTTTCTTGCTCTATTATCTTCATCTGTAGGGTGAGATTAACCTGGGAAAAGAAAATTTAGGCTCCATTTAAACAGGGACTTCTCTTTCAAGTTCACAGGCAGTCCTCACATTGCAGTTTCCAGTTATCACCTGTCACGCAACTGCGTGGTCCAGGTGTCAAATTGTGTAACACTCCTCAGTCCCCAACACGACGTAAATGGCCACACACAGCACCTTACGATCAGAAGCCAATCACATCCTTCAGTCTGTCAGTGCGTCTGTGAGTTTACAACACAGCTATGCTGCCTCCATGTCGTCCAGTGAAGAACCATGTGACATTTTTAACATTTTTTTGGTGGGGGTGGGGGGGGCGGCTGGACCTGGGACCCAGGGCCTTGGGCCTGTGAGGCAAGTGCTGTACCACTAAGGCACACCTCAGCCCCTGGCATTTTTGAAAATGGAGAAATGAAAGAGAAAATTGGCCAAGGATACAAGCGCAGCAGAGAAGTGAAAAGCGATGAGCCGGAGGCCCATGTGGGCAAAGGGAGAGGTGGCAGTACGCATGGCCCCGAAGCAGGCACGGGGTGGGGGGTGAGGAGAGGAGTGACAACACAATGAAAGAACTCCTGAGGAAGGAGCATGACGATTGGCCATGTCAACCAAAGGATGCACGCTGGGTTATGTGGCCATGCCGATGCACTGTGCAGGTCACTCGGGGACATGTGGATTTTCAGCTCCCAACACCTTAAATTACCAGTTTCTTCCTCATTCCCACATAATACTCTGACAGGATGAAAGTGAATGTTCTGACAAGTCTTAAAGGTCACAGGACCATCACAATCTTCCCATTGACTGCTAAGACCCCCTTCAATGGCTGAGCTTCACAAGGTCACATTATACTCCCAGACCACCGTGAAAAGCAAGGGTTGTATTCACAGAACCTTGTCTGTGCAGGTCTCTGCAGGTGACTTTCTTCAGATCAAAATTTTACAAGATAGGAGAAATCCTCACCGTAAACATCAAACAGCTGGTTTCTAACTGCTGTTTTAACTGGGTGTCAGGGAATCCCTATGCTTGCTTTGAAGAGCCAAATGTGCTATATCGGCACTTTTACACCTTGTCTTACCCTTTACGCTAATAAAACTTACCATTTTCCTTGATTAATACACTTTGAATAAAAGACAAATCAGCTATGTGGTTTGGGGACAGGGAAATGCTACGGATCAAACCCAGGGCCTTGTGCACGCTAAGCAGGGCACTGCCTCTCCTAGCCCCAGCCCTCTGACTCTTAAGAGTCACTATAAGTAGATCACAAACTAGTGCCTGTCAGAATCATTTCGGGGTCAAAGAACAGCTTGCCGCCCCATCTCCTGCCAGAATTTCTTTCCATAAGTTGGGAACTGGTAAGGGCCTGAGAGTTCTATCAAGTTCCCAGGGGCTCTTCTGCTGCCAACCTGGAGACCACACTCGAGAACCTCAGCACTCACACACTGCAGCGTAAACATCACTTGGGAATTCTGCAAGAATGCAGATCCTGCCGGATGCAGAACGAAGTGCTAATGCAGCTGGTCCCTCATCTGAGGTCCCAACTTTGTACATCAAGGAGCTAGAGAATCTGTGAACATGTGCTATGAATGATGTGGCTGAATCACCTACTGGTCCAGTCTATGCAGAACACAGACTATTCTTGACACTGCAGCCACGTGTCAGGAAGGAGGAAGGGAAGGGGCTGCCTTGGGCAACCCCACAACCCAGAACTGAAAACTGACTTCACATGGTTGAACCCTGGAAGCTCTTAGCGTGTCTCTACCACTGTTGCAACTCCTTAGAATTACTGTCTTCTGTTAGCCTCTGATATGTGTCCCTGTTTACACTTTTATAGAATTTACAAAAAGTTATATGCTATTGCTGCTGATCTCAGCAAGATGAGGCTAGCCCGAGGCTTATACGATCACTGCAGAGCAGATGGCTGGCCATGGGTCAGCTTGCTTGCGTGAGCGTGCGTGCAGCGTGCTGTGGTGTCAGCAGCTCTGAGGACGGGGCTCACTACTCTTTCCATGCACCTATTCCCACGAAACAGTATCGCCAAGTTAAACAAGTTCTACTTCAAGCTTCACATTTCCCCAGCATTTAAAGAAACAGTACGTACGTTTCCAGAGGTTTGGAAGAGCTCGCTCTGTAGCAGCTGAAGGGCAGACGGTCTCTGGGAGGCGCTCCTGCTGGTCAGCTGCTGGATATACTGGGCCTGCACTGGACACCTTTGACTGAGGGACTCAGGTATCCGTCCAGCTCTCACACCTGTTAAAACTGCTGCTCGCTCCATTTCTGTCCCAAATGGCTGAAAGAGCTCCAGCAGGATCACACCCAGGCTGTACATGTCTGACTGCAGGAGGAGAGGGAGTCAGAATACAATGCAGAGTGAGGACAGCACTGCAGTGCACAGCCTCAAGCAAGGGCTCTGTTTCTTTTTCTTTTTTGTTTTCTGAGACAGGGTCTCATTATGTAGCCCAGGCTGGCCTCGAACTCACGATCCTCCTGCCTCAGCATCCCAAGTGCTGGGATTACAGGCACGCACCACATGCCTGGCACCACAAGCAAGGGTTTCTAAGGAGGCTTTACAATCACCTACAAAGAAGGGAACACAGCAGCATGGCTCATGCCTCAGAAGCAGGTATCTGCCTCAATCAAGAGGTGATGGGGACTTTTTTTTAAATTAGGATATATTCGTTACACAGGGGAGGATTTTTAGTGAAAATTCCGATTAAACTTATATTGTATATTACTTACATTGCCCCCATCATCTCTTCCCCTCAGCCCCCTCCCAGCCCCACTTAAAGCAATTGCAAGAGGTTTCTTTGTTCTGTTTCATATAGGTGCATGAAATCCATCAACAATATTCCCTCACCCTAATCTCCTTCATTCACTTCCCCCCTCCCATTTTTACACCCTTCCAACACACACTGTGCCTATTTTACAGTCCTGGCTTTCATTATTAATATTAAGTTGCCATTCAAAGGGGTTCTCAATGCTTGCCCACTGTGGGTGAGCATTACTTTGGTCTGTTTAACCCCTTTGAATGCTCTCCCTTACTCTTGACCTCCCACCCCGTTTTTCAACAGTTTTCATACACATCCTTATATCCTTTACCTTCACATCTTGTAGTATGCAATATTACTGATGCTCTATCGTTCTCTTTCCCTTTTCTTCTTTTCCTGAGGTCCACAGAGCAGTTCCACAGTTACAAACATGTTCTACTTCTGAGTGTGTATATGATCAGCTTGTTTTTGTGCATATGTTTATCTTTGGATCTGTCCTCCACATATGAGAGAAAGCATGAGGCCTTTGTCTTCCTGAGCCTGGCTCACTCCATGTGACATGACGTCTTCCAGTTGGAACAACAATGTGGTTGGAAGGTAAATGGATGCAATTGGGACTTTCACAACAACTCTTGAATGCACAAAAGGGGCATCCAACGAGCCACAGGTCAAAGGGCAGGGATATCTCCCTCCGCCCACAGCAGTCACAGCCCTACCCGTTTTCACCACCCTGTGACAACCCACACCTGACCGAGGCAGTGACTGCTAGTGTCAGCAATAGGGGACTGTCACCAGATCCTACTCTGGTCAACCTCTGCCCCTACTCATAATTAAGCATTTTAGGTAACATTTACAAACTCTGCATAAAATTTGTGCTACTTTCCCTAACAGTGTTTTAGGACAGGTTTTTAGAAGCAGTCATAGATTTTTCTAGCAACGTTTGCTCAACTGCTGAAAAAAGCAAATGATTCATCAAAAATAAGAAAATGTAGCCAGGCACCAGTGGCTCAAACCTGTAATTCTAACTACTCAGGAGGAGAGATCAGGAGGATCGTGGTTCGAAGCCAGCCCAGGAAAATAGTTGGTGAGACCCTATCTTGAAAAAACCCTTCACAAAAAGGCTGGTGGAGTGGCTCAAGGTGTAGGCCCTGAGTTCAAGCCCCACAGTAATGCAAAAAAAAAAAAAAAAAAGAAAGAAAATGTACTAGGCTGTTATGTTTTTAAAAAGGATTTACTTCAAGAACTTGTAATCATAGCATTAGCAGGCTGAGGCAGGAGGAACTTGAGTTCAAGGCCTGCCTTAGCTATACAGCAACCCTTCTCAAAAAAACAAAAAAGAAAGAAAGAACATTCATGTTTCAAGGATTCACTTTTAACTTTCCAGCATCTTCACTCTTTTTCAAAAGGCAGTTAAGAGGCCAGCACTTCTTTACTTAGGCTTGAACTCAGAAGAATGAAAGCAGGCCTGAATGAATTCTGGCTTCCTGAGGTGGAAGGTGACACTTTATCTTTTTCTTTTCCTTTTTTTTTTTTTTTTGTGCTGGGATCAAACTCAGGGCCTCACGCATGCTAGGCAAGCGCTGTACCACTGAGCTACATCCCAGCCCAGAAGGTGACACTTTAAAGACACAGCCTACTTCAGAGCAGTATGTGACATCCCTGGATTCAGAAAGGAGCCTAAGGGCAACAGGTGCAGTCAGCTAAAAGTGTCTTGTTAGGATAGTTTGATGCCATGTCACCTGAAGACCCAGCCATCTCCAAAGCTGCCTCTGCCACAGTGTTCACTACACTGCTGTTCTCACAACTGCAGGATACAGTGAATGAACAAAAGGGTAAAAAGCATCAAATTCTACCTTAGCATCATACTCTGATCCTTCCAGCTGCTCGGGTGAAGCATACAAACAAGTCCCCACCCTGGAAGTGTGTGCTGCTTTCCTACAATAGAAAAGCCACATGTTAAAAACACTGCTGTGTTAACACTGTCCATTTGAGGAACACTGTGAGCAGAGCACTGGAGCTCATAAGGGAACTACAATTGCCTTTTATCTTTGTCTTACCTTAGTTATTAAATTTAAATCCTGTCTTGTTCAACTATGTCTCTTTTTTTTATACAAAAAGAAAAGGCCAGGCCAGGTATGGTGGCTCATGCCTGTAATCCTAGCTACTTGGGAGGCAGGTGCTTTTCATCCCAGCCTCATGGGAAGCATAAATATGAGAACTGTATGTAGTTCAGGACGGCCAAGGCGAAACATGAGACCCTATCCCAAAAATAACTAAAGCAGGGCTGGAGGTGGCTAAAGCAGTAGAGCACCTGCCTAGCAAGGGCAAAGCCAAAAGTTCAAACCCCAGTATTGCCAAAAAATAAGTAAATAATAACTGAAGCAAAAAGGGCTGGGGACATGGCTCGAGTGACGCAGTACCTGTCCAGCAAGCACAAATCCCAGAATTCAACCCCCAATACCACCAAAAAAAAAAAAAAAGAATACAAGCTTACCTTTCCTGTTTCTGTTGGTCCAGTCTGAATTCTTCTGTATGATGTCTGTGCAGGCCAGGCCAAAGTCTCCGATTTTTACCTGATGGTCTGGTCCATGAAGAAAAATATTTCTGGGCTATAAACAAACAGAATAAAACAACTCCTTAGCATTCTTAAAATAAACAGTAAAATTTGGGAGTGATATAAACTCAGAAGTAGCCAGCTCACAAAACTGGGAGCAACAGTTCTCACATGTTGCTCTATGTTACAGTCATGAAAGGAATTATTTAAGAGAATATCAATGTCCAAGCCTCTCCCCAGGCTTAATGAAATAAGAATTCCAAGGGGTGGAAGCAAGCATCAACCTTAAAAGTCCAAAAGTCAGAGCCAGGCGTGGTGGCTCATGCCTGTAATCCCAGCTACTCAGGAGGCAGAGATCAGGAGGATCATGGTTCAAGCCTAGCCTGGGCAAAAAGCTAGTGACATCCCCCATCTCAACAAAAAATTCGGGCATGGTGGCTTATAAGTATAATCCCAGCTTCACAGGAGGCATTAGTAGTAGGATCCCCTGTCCAGGGCAAAACACACTAAATCCTATTTTGGCTGTGCTATCCAGACTGGCCTCATATTCATGAGCCTCCTGCCTCCTGAGTAGCTGGATAACATGTGTGAATCACCATACCTGGTAATTATGACATACACACACATGTGGGTTTTTTTGTTTGTTTTGGCAACACTGGGGCTTGAACCCAGGGCCTCACGATAGCTATGCAGGCAGGTGCTCTACCACTTGAGACACTCCACCAGCCCTTTTTTGTGATAGGTTTTTTCAAGACAGGGTCTCTTGAACTATTTGCCTGGACTGGCCTCCAACTGTGATCCTCATGATCTCTGCCTCCTGAATGGCTGAGATTACAGGCATGAGCCACCTGCACCTGGCCATTTTGATGTTCTTGAAAAGCTCCCAGTGATTTATGTATTGGCCAGGGTTGGGAACAATTATGTCACATGATGCAGGTACGCAGGTGCAAAACATCACCCCCAGGACTATTCCTGTGCCAGTAAATAAATGCACCCTCACTGTGTGGAAAGATTTACTAACAGTTGAAAATGCTTAAGGTTAAAAACTGTTTCCTTTAAGTGTGATACAGCAGTTTTTTGTGTTAACTATAAATGCCCCTGCTTTAGTTCTGTCAGTTGTTTGAACTATAGGTGACCTGAAAAGGACAAAATCTTAGCTACAAGATGAGTGTGGATGTCTCAGTTTATGACTGAGTAGAAAAGCCTAAAAGCCATGCCAACGTTTGGCACTGCACAATGAGGGAAAAGAGTCTGAAACGGTTCAGCTCCGGTTTAAAAATGAACTGTGTTGATGAATCCAACTGTCAACAGTTCTAGAACACTGTAGAACTGAGCGGAAGGGATCACGGCTCTTAGGATTTGCTCATGGGAAACATAACCAAGAGGGGAAAGAGGAGCCTCGTGGTGGATAGCGCCAAGGCGCTGGTGGAGGGCCCTGCCACCACACTGCATGCCAAGCTCTATGAGGCCATCATCCAAGAAGAATGCACCGCCATCAAGGCGCTGCTCAGGAGCCACCCGGTCAACCACCCCCTGACCACCCTGGCCAGTTCCAGCAGCTCCAGACCGCTGCTGAGCCAGGTACTGGATGAGGGTAGAGGGGAACCCCCTCAGGCCTAGCTGCAGCTCCTGCCCCCAGAGCAGAAAAGACCACAGCCTATTTGGCTGAGGGGACAGTAATGTCACCCTCTCACATACTCCTTGGGTGGAATTATTTTTCCCCTCTTATATGTATTTTTTCATTCCTGAATTTTTATATGGTGATTACTGCCTGCATAATAAACAAAAAGGAAGCTACCTGTCCTTTCTCCCACCCTCTCCCCTTATCTGGCAGTCTCCACATAGAACCACTGCTTACAAATATACTTTAAGACCTGGCACAAATCACAGACTGCTAATCAGACAGAGCATATTGCTGTGTTATCTGTGCAGACTGAAAATGCAGGCTTTGCTGCTCATAGGACTTTGCAAAGCCTTAAAAGGTGGAAGACCTAGTTGTCAACCACCCTGTGGGTTAATTTAATGACTCAGAAACCTCGTGGCAGTCACCATCAACTTTGCACAAGGCATTTTTCACAAGACTCAACCTTCAAAGTTTTGAGTGTTATTTCTGTTGTCTTGATAAATTTGCATTGTTTAGGACTGGGGCGTGGCTCAAATGGTAGAGGGTTTGCCAAGCAAACAGGAACAAGGCCTTGAGTTCAATCCCAGTGCAACCAAAACAAACAAACAAACAAGTAAGTAAATATGGAATCCACTGGGTATTGGTCATTCAAAATAGACAAGAACCACTTCCCTCACTCCCCTGCGCACACCTGTGGCACACTGGAACACAAGCTAAAGCAAGTGCTCCTATGAGCTGACTTGTAACGCACTGTGGTTTCCCTGCAGCTCCCCCAGCCCGTCGTCCCCATCGTCCCCATCCACCTGGCTGCCGAATTCCACAAGCCACAAAGCTTGCTTTGCTTGCTAGAACACGGGGCCAACCCAGAAGTAAGGTAAGCTAACTCAGCAGGCTGCCCCGTCCAAGTGAGAAATGTGCGTGACCCGGTTCTGGTCCAGTAACCACGGGCTCGTTCACTTTTGTTGGGCTATGGACTGCAGGCTACCATGTTTGAATGAACTCACTTCTTCACTGACCAGATGATAGACTGAAAACATAAGAACACAATCCCATGAGCCAAATTCACACACGCCAAGTCTCACGTGCTCACTAACGATGTTATGGAAAATAAACGAATTCCTGGCCATGGCCTTCAAAAAGCTTAACCAGCTCAGTACAAAACTAAGAGTGAACAGAGCTGGCTTCTGGTTTCTCACCCTCCCCCAGAAAGTGAGCTACATGCAAGGAGTTCATCTTGCTCCACCTCCGACACCTGAACCAAGCGCCTGACACTGGTGCCCCGTGAGCGCTTACACAGTATAAAAATATAACTTCTGGGCGCAAACCTTAGCACACTCACAAGGGACACCTGCACTGTCCTGTGCTCACTTCTCCTTGCCCCGCCCACCCTGCAAGTCCTCTGTCCAAGTGGGTCACAGACTCGCCCCATCCCCACTGGGTTCCTCACAGTACCTCTCCTCCCCTTGAAACCCTACTCTGTCCCAGGGTGATGCTTCTGCTCCTGGGGACTTCACTGACTTCCAACATTTCCTTCCTGTTTTCTCTGTGATTCCTATCTGTCTTCCACACCACACTGGATGCCCTAAGGAGGCATCCAGGGTGAGCCTGAACTCACCCTGTGAGTCTGTGAACCGAAACTCATCCGTGTCGGGAAGCAGTCAGATTTTCACGACAATATTCCTCCCCTTTCACTGCCAAAATAGCAAAGTTCTGGAGGCGATCCTGGCAGGTGGGGGCAGACGTGTAAAGTGCTCCTTCCAGGACAGACACAGAGCCGCTAGTCAGAGAGAGGGGGAGCCCTGGCCCTGCACAACTCACTTTTGGGGTGTAAACAGTTTACTCCCAAGTCTTTAATTCTTTATCAAATGTCCAGCACTGGCCAAGGTGCTGGAGTTACAGAAACGAGTAAGGTACAGGCTTGAGGGGCCACAGACTCACTAGGAGCAACAGAAGGGAAACAGGTTTTCTAAACAGCCAGGTCCCATCATGCAGGAATACCAAAAGCCATCACCCTGGGACATCCTGAAGAAATGCCAGCAACACAGAAGTCAAAACACTTCTTTAAAGTAATTGCTTCCTACACACTAACTCTTTACACAGAGCTGTTCTCACCGCGGCACCCTCCTAATGTGATAAATCCCTTCCAGGGACATTCAGGGCCTCACAGCTCTTCACCTGTTGCTGCTGCACTGGCCGATCACCTCCATCATGTGTGCAGAACCGGGCATCAGAATCCAAAGGATCCTGACGGACATCGAGAAAAACGCTGTAACGTGTCTCCGCATTTTGTGTGAACATGGGGCTCAAGTGAACACCCGGGTAGACAACAGCAACAAAGACTCACCCCTCCACCTGGCCATCACATACGGGACCTCTCCAGTCCTCTCCATTTTGGCCCAAAATGGGGCCCAGGTCAACGGCATTAATGAGTCCAGCATGACTCCCCTGCACATGGCTGCAGACACACTGAACGAGAGCATGATGGAGGTACTCCTGGCCTGTGGAGCGGACGTGAACTGTGCCATGGCTTCCACAGGGAGCACAGCCCTGAAGCTGGCAGTGTGCACGGCGTCCAGCAAAGCGGGCCAGCTGCTGGCTGCGGGGGTGGGCTGCATCCGCCTGCTGCTGGTCCACGGAGCCAGGGTCAATGCCCGGGACCACGAAGGGAAAACTGCTCTCCACCAGGCATGTTTTGGAGGCAGAGCGGCCATCATCAACCTCTTGCTGGAGTTTGAGGCTGACGTTAACGTCCTAACGAGGAATGGGGAATCTCCCATTTACATGTACCTCCAGCGCAGCACCAACATCAGGGACACCACCCTTCTTGCCAGGCTGCTGTGTCAAACTTACCCGCTGAGACTCACCAATAAGCAAGGAATTCTACCCACGGGAATCATGCTACCAGAATTCCACCTCTTAAGAGAAACCCTGATGAAGTTATCTCAAAACCCTTTGTCCCTGGAGGACATCTGTAAGAGGAACATCAGGAATACCTATGGGGAGAAGTCCACACAGAACCTGAGGCAGCTTCTCCCGGTGAGGATGTGCAACTCTGTACACTGCTCCCATGACCTAGCACGCCTCCTGAAGTGAGGTGGCTCCTCAGTACCTGTGCTGGGCACTGCTGCCCACCAGACACGAGCCAGAAAACAAGTGACCCAGTGTACAAATGACTGCTTCCAAAAGCGTTCTACAAATGAAGTGATTTGTACTTTAGCTCTTACAGTCCTAAATGCTCTCCCCATGATTTCATTTTTGCTTGAAAAGTAAACAAATTACTTTTATCTTTTTTTACTGTTGTGCTGGGTAGGGGTACATTGTTACATTACTTTAAAACTTGCCATCCAAAGAAAATATAGGTTCTTTCTTTAAAGTCTTTTATAGGTAAAAGCTGGAATCATCCTTATATTTTTATAAAAAGTAAGCAAAAAAATAAACTCCAGAGACAGACTGCACCTCGAAGGCTGCACTAAACACATTCAGTATCACGACCATCCCGGGTACTCCGCACGCTCACTGCCTGAGAGACAGGACTCACCTGCATGTGGAGCCCTCTTCTCTCCTCCTCCTCTGTCTTCTTTTTTGGCAGCACTGGGGTCTCAACTGAGAGCCTCGCATGTGCTAGGCCCTCTACAATCTGAGCCAGACTCCCAGCCCTTCAGATAAGGAGCTCCTGTTTTTGCCCAGGGCTGGCCTCAAACTGTGATCCTTCTTCCTGTGGCCTCTCACATAGCTGAAATTAAAGGTGTGAGCCACAGCACCTGTTCTTCTATACAGAATTTTCAAATGGCAGACTGGCAGAGTGGCTCAAGTGGTAGAGTGCCTGGCTAGTGAGCAGGAGGCCCTGAGGTCAAACCCCACTACTGCCAAAAAAGCAACAACAACAACAACAAAAAAAAAAAACCCAGAATTTTCAAATGCCACAAAATTACTGCTTTTAAATTCAATCTTGTTCTGGACTTATGGGACGGAACTAATGATAACTTCCTAAGTAAACGGGTAAGAACATCGCCTCAGTCATTTTGAGGACCCACCATGACATCACCCTCACAAGCAGCCACCACTGCACTCCCGGGCTTAGTCACCCTGCTTACCTTCAGATCTCTGTGCACAATTCCCATGTTGTGTATGTAAAATACACCTTCCACCAACTCTTGAAAAATTTTTGTCGCAACACTGGCCATAACATAAGGACCTGGAATGACAACACAAAGTGTCATCTCCCTGTCTCTGTAAGTCATGCGTGAATGTATGAACGTTAATATGGTTCTACAAACATTAATACTGGACACTCAGGCAACATTCAGGTTTTTAACAACATTAACACTCCACAATGGTCTCCTACCTAGAAATCAGCAAGCAGGGCTCCTCGGCTAGCAAACACACATCACAGAACAGAACCCAACACTTGATGGACTCTGGTAGCAGAAAGAACCTCTAAATTCACCCAGAGACTCTGGATTAATAACTTTTCTGCTTGTTTTCTTTCTCTTTGAGTCAGGATCTTGCTATGTCATCCAGGCTGGCTTTGAACTTGAAATCCTCCTCCCAATACCTCCCTAGTGCTGGGATTACAGGCATGCACCACCACACCTGGCTTAATTAGTTTTTGAAGAATTCCCAGACATTAGGTGGGCAGATGAGACATAGCTTAAGTAGATTAAGACCCTAATATCCTAGGGTCTAATACTAATAAGCCTGCTGTCCTAACACAAGTGAGCTAAACAAATTGTTATAAATAAGGAAAAGACAAAAGGCAAATTGTGTTTCTTTAAAGGGTTAGCTTCCATCAAGATCTATGGCCAAGTAATAGTGCCACATGCCTATAATCCCAGCTACTTGGAAGGATCATGGTTCAAGGTCAGCAGGGCAAAAAAGTCTGCTAGACCCAATGGCTGAGTATTCTGGTGTGTGACTGTCATCCTCATGTATTCAGAGAAGCACAAACAGGAGGACAGCGGTCCAGGCTGGCCCTGCCAGGAAGTGAGACTCTAGCTCCAAAAAGAAGGGCTAACTGAATAGCTCAGTGTTAGTGCACCTGCCTAGCAAGCACAAGGGCCTGAGTTCAATCCCTTGTACAGAAGAAAAAAAAAAAAAAGTCAGGCTCAATGACACACACCTGTGATCCCAGGTACGAGGAGATAGAGGAAAGACCGAGATCTGAGAAGGACCTAGGCAAAAACAGGAGACACTATCCAAAAAACGATTTTTAAAAAAAGGCTGGGGATGTGGCTCAGGTGATAAAAGTACCTGCCTGGCAAGCAGAAGGCCATGAGTTCAAACCCCAACACTGCCAAAAAAAAGAAAAAAAACCCAAAGATATGCAACTCTCAAAAAATAACTGACAAATGAACTACAGGGCAAAAAGCAAAAAAGGAAATGAATGAATTTCATCATTAACATGATGGCATGAGTGAGTGCTTTACAGAGCTAAAATGGGTTTTACTGGACTGAAACAAAAGCTGATAAAGAAAAAAAACCCTGGAATTATCCTGCCAAATAAAAAAATATCACAATAAGAGTTTAATAGTTCAGTCAACTTTAAATCACAATCCTAGGATAGGGCACGACTCCAGTGGTAAGAGTGCTTTCTAGCTCGCTCAAGGCCTGGGCGTCAATCTCTAGTACCTCAAAAAAAAAGAAAGAAAACCACCAACCTATTACTTAGCGTTAAGAACAGGAACAGTACTCACAGGCTCTGTGAACGGTCTACTTTGTTGTACAGCTCGAACCTATTCCACACCAAGTGACTCTTTTTGTGGTATCTAGCACGTTCTTGGACAAGTACTGCAGAAGACAAAACTGTGTGTGCACCTTGTATAAAAGCAATGGTTCCACTCACAAGTGCCACTGCTGACTCCCCATCATCCTGAAATGACCCCCCACCCCTCTGGGGAGAAATGCAAGGAAGGCTGTGGCTCCAGAATATCTGTCTTCCTGTTCTGTGGGTTGGTTTGGTTTGAGGGACAGGGGAGGTAGCACTGGGGTTTGGGATCAGGACCTCGAGTTTGCTAGGCAGGCACTCTACTGCTTGAGTCATCCCTCTAGCTGGTACTGGGATTCTGAACTCAGGACTTCATGCTTGCTAGGGACATATTCTACACTTTAGCCACACACACACACACCCAGCCCTTTTTTGCTTTAGTTATTTTTTAGATAGGGTTTTTGTCTGGGACCAGCACTGGACCACAATTCTCCTACCTATGCTTTCAGCATAGCTGAGATTACAGACAGAAAATGCACACCCAGCTTGTTGGTTAAGATGTGGTCTCACTATTCTCCTTCTCTTGAGCAACTGGGATTACAGGCATGTACTACCACACCTGGCCCTGTGCTGTGTTACCTGAAGCATGCAGATCTTGTTTAACCCGCCTCACACCTCCCGGTAGTGGGCAACAGTCCCGGGGCAGTCGTGTTTGCTCCCTCAACACCTTCTCTGTACCCGGAAATCAGCTACATCCTTTACACTGACTGCACTGACCCTCACAGAACCCCACAATGAGAAAGATGAGGAGCCAGACAGACAGAAGCTCTCTGACAAGCCCAAAACCTTCGAGCTGATGAGCACAAGAGCAGGACTCTAACCCACATCTGCTGCTCATGGGATTGCTGGGGATGGTGACATAAAAGCAGAATTGACGTAAAGCTACAAACAGTAGTCAGCTGCAGTATTTTTAAAAGAAATGTATGCCAGCCCAGCAGCATCATGGATGTTTTACCTGCACTGTTTTGACAGATCAGTTGCTGGATGGCAAACATTAGAGATCTTTTCCATGTTCATTACTTCATTTCCAAACTGAAGCTAAAGATAAGCCCTTTCTTTTCCTTTGCTGGAGACCCTGCATGCAGCATCACAAAGCCCCTAAAGGCAAAGTGCACAGAAGTCCCCAGCACCACTGCTGCTACTGAGCAGGACTGACCCGGCCCACCCTGCCAATGACACAACAGCAGAGCAGCAGCAGCTCCTCTCAGGTTTTGAGTACATGAAATGACAGAGGACTCAGATGTCACCAAACAAAGGCATGACCAGCAAATGATTAATGGTGGATATTTAATTAAGTGATTACTGAGTGTAAGGTCACTCTTGCCTGCTGCTCTGACACGCCAACAGTGACTTTTAACATTGTCTACACATGAGAATCACCAACTCAGACTAATCGCTATACGTAGGAACACTTGGTGTGCTCCCAGACTAGCACTTTCTTTCAAAACAGATTTTTTTGTATGTACGTATTTATCCTTATTTATTTTTTGCAGTTCTGGAGATCAAACCTCGGGTCTCAAGCACTCTACCACTGAGCTACACCCCATTTTATTTTTCAACCCATGTCAGATTAAATCTGACATGGGTTGAGACAACTGAATAGTTTCCATAAAACCCACCCCCAGGCGCCTGTTTTCTCTCTCCATCCCTGCTCCCTCTGCTTTGCAGGCTGGGACCTGCAGCCAGAACCTTGAGCGTGCTGAGCAAGTGCTCTACCCTGAGCCACACATTCCGCCTCAGGTTACCATTATCCACACCTTGCATCCGTGTGACACATTTGTCACGATGTATACACCAGTGCTGACAGACAGTATCATTAACTGAAATCCACAGCTTACTCAGCTTTCCTTAGTTTTCACCTGCTCCCTTGTTCTGCTCCAGGCCCTTTCAGGAACACCTGCATTTCACTTGAGTTCCCATGTGTCCTCAGGTTCCCCTAACCCATGACAATTTCTTAGGCTTTCCTTATTTAGGATGACCTTGACATTTCTGAAAACTCCTGGTAAGGTATTCTTTAGACTCTCCCTCAACAGGAATGTGTCCAATATTCTTCCTATCAGACTGAGATTACAGATAGGATGTGGAGAAACTGACACCACATCCTACAGGGAGCCTCACACTACCAACAAGACCTGTCGCTGCTGACGGTGGCTGATGTGGGGCTAAGGCAGTGTTGCTCCACAGGAAGGCTACTGTTTTATCAACTGCATGTTTTTTAAAGTTCCCTGGGTGGTTCTAACATGCGGTCAATGTTGAAAACCAGTGCTATATTTATAAAGTATTAGCCAACAGAGAATTTCTAGAATGATACATAATTTCAGGGCATTGAATGGAACCTGAATCTTGCAAGGAACTTTTTAAATAAGAGCATCACGAGTTCAGACATAAAGTAAAATAAGTGTTATATCAACTCTTAGAAAAATTTAAAAAAGAAAACATTTCTATTCAAAATCATTAACCTAAATGCCATCATTTTACTATTTAAGTATCAACAAACTCTTTATCACAGAGAAATTTAACTTCCAAATGTCTACTTGTTTTGAAATAAGCACAACTATTTCTCTGGATCTGGGGTTTTCTTGGTTTGAATTATTTAACCTAAAGCCCCTGGAGCCATTCGTCCATTGGATGCAGAAGGCTCCATGTCTCCCCTGCCAGATCTGCAAACCCAGACGGTGAGATACTGACAGGCAGCTTCATCCACACACTCTCGGCTGCGCTGGTTCCTCTCGGCGACCCAGTCCCACAGGGAGAGCTCGCACAGCTGCATCTGTATGTGCAGCATCAGATGGTACCGCACCTAGGAGGGGACACAGCAACAACTCAGTACTCCTGGCCAGTCCCTCAGCCCAGACAACAGTGTGGACTGCAGAGGACATAGGCCTGCCCATGAGGCCCAGAGTCTCCTGAAGGAGACAGAGAAGGAGAGCGTGCATCACCATACAAAGAGGCCAGGTCCAATGGGAGAAGGTACCAGATGTGACACTGAGGAACCGGACCTGAATGGCTTTGCTTTGCTTTTACATAGATGGTTCTCAAGCTAAGAGAAGGCATCAGAGAGAGTGGCGGGTGTTCTACAGGTCTCAGTCAACTCCAAGGGCTTTACATCTACATAACTCAAAACTTAGTCAAGAAAGGGTAAGCAAACATCAAGCCACTTATTTAGACATCAAGGAAGTTTCCAAATATAATTCAGAGAAATGAAACAATTCTGATTAAAAGGCCCCCAAACTCAACTCCTTTAGATTCAAGTGAACCTGTTCAAAGTTCTGTGTTTCATAAAAAAATATGGACAGCCAAACATTCCTTGACAAGAATTCTGTGTTGCATATATATAGATGGTATACATAGCTTTGCAATCCTAACGTGACAGATTTCGCATAGACTCTGGTTAACGCTCACAGTAATACTGGTGAGCACATGGTGGGAGTCTGCCCAGGATGTTATCATGACCCTCAACAAAGAGTACGCTGAAACTGATCTGGTGACCCTACAGGACTCACCTACATCACGCTCCAAAACCACATCTTTTTGTACGTTCTTACACTGCGATGCCTACATACAACAGAAACTGGGTTTCAATGAGCTTTCCAGAAAAGGTAAGAAAGAGCAAACACAGAGGCTAAATGGCAAGAGGGACACCCTCTGCCAGGCACAAGAGCCAGAGCGCAGAGAGGGAAGTCAGCTGTGGAAGGGAAAACCATGTAGTTACCACCCTTCATGCAATTACTGTGGGTGAACATCACGGGGCAGGCTCTCTGAAAGTGCTCTACCTCTGTCTGCCCCAAGTTTAAGTTTTCTTCCGAAGACTCCTCTGTGGACGTGAGGTCCTCCTCCAGGTCTGAGTTGTGCCTGAGCGGCAGCTGCTGCTTAACCAAGGACCTGATGGACAAGTCAGGCAAGCCGTTTTCCTGGTGCTCAGCAGACGACCCACGCTCACTGCTGTCCCTCAGGACAACTTCAGTGGTATAGGTCACCAATCTGTTATTCTCATCTCCAATGTCAGATTTTTCTTTTTCTGAGGTGAACTCAGCAAAGATAATGGAAGAGCTGCTCTCACCACCTTTTACTGCACACTGATCTCTGCAGGGAAACAAGAAAGACAAAAGTAATCAAGAGTAATCCCATGGAGTCTTCAAGGCTGGATAAACTTGTAAACTTCTAAAAAGAAAAAATAGTACAGTCCTGTCTAGCAGCAACTTCTGTTTAAATTACTGAGAAAGAATCAGAGAGCAGGAAAAATTTAGTATTTTTATAATAAAAACAAAGAAAAAGAAAGTCTAAGGGATATGGGTGTGGCTCAAGTGGTAGAGCACTTGCATGGCAAGCACAATCCCTAGTATCACAAAAAAAGGATGAGGAGTGGCTCAAGTGGAGACAGCCTGCCTAGCAAACATGAGGCCCTGAGTTCAAACCCCAGTGCCACCAAAGAAGAAAAAAGTCTAAACCACTTCTCCTGAGTTCCTAGAAGCAAAAGGCAGAAGCAAGTCACTGCTGGCGACAGAAAATATCTAGTGCATGTGTAAACAGCAGTCCCTACCTGTGCTCGGCCTGGTCAGACAGCACCTCAAGAGAGGGCAACTGGATCGGAACTCTGCCTGCTGCACAGAAACACAACACACACATTTGCAAGCAGCCTGATTTTCCAGTTCACAGTCAAAAGCAGAGCTAAAATATATACATAATATCTAATGACGTCACAAGTCAAAATGAACACGAGTTTATTCAAGTAACTGCACACTGAAGGAAGTATAAAAACAGAGCTGCCTCACCACACGGGGGCCAGCAAGCTCCCTCGAACATCTGGTGGTAAATACTGTAGGTTTGGGGACCCTGAGGGACTCTGCTGCAACCTCAATTCCATGGAGGTTGGGGGGCGGTCCGAGGACACAGGCTTACTCGCCTGTGTCCTAACAAACTTGATTTACTGACATTGAAAAAGAAACCTTATATAATTTTTGTAAAATATGCCTCTTTAGATCTCTAAAACTATGTAGAAGTATAAAAACCATGGGTCTGAAGATGCAGACTGATGGGAGCACGGCTGCTTGGCTTGTGCAAGGCCATGGCTCAATTCCAGCACTGCAAAAAATAAAAACGAAAAAAAAAGTTTTAATTGAAATGTAAAAAGTACCAAGATTGTAGCTCTGTGGAAGAGTACTAGCTTATCATATGCAGGGTCCTGAGTTCAAGCCCTAACACCAAACATAAATAAAACGAAGACAAACCTTTTCATCAGACACGTGGCTGCTACTTTAAAAATACAGTAAAATGTAAAAAGCAGCGCCAGCTTGTGGGCTGTACAAAAGCAAGGGCAGGGCAGGCTGGTCGTGGGTGGAAGGTGGGCTATCTAGGTTGAGCATCTAATGCAAAATGCTTACAACTAGCAGTGTCTCACACACATTTTTTTTTTCAAATTCTGAATATTCATACAAACTACCTCCTGAGCAACCCTGATCCAAAAATCTAACCTGAAAAGTTTAGAGTGCCTGCATGACACTCTAAAGGTTTTGGATTTCTCAGCTTTTCAGATTTCAGGTTTTTAGACTCGGGATGCTCAATTTGTATCACCAAAAGCTACTTAACCTGCGCTGGAGGTGTGGCTCAAGCAGCAGAGCACCTGCCCAGCAAGCACAAGACCCCAGGTTCAAACCCCCAGTACTGTCAAAAAGAAGAAAAAGAAGAAAGCAACTGACCTTGTGGCCGGGTCACATGGACATGCTCCAGCCACGCGGTGTGATAGCCTACGATATTAGGGTGTTGAAGACCTGCCAGGACCTTCACTTCCCGCAGTACCTAAAAGGAATTAGATTTGGGTTTTAGTGACAGTTTGTTACATATTCGTGATATCAAATGCTTCTTGTTCCAGAGCAAAATAATAAACTGCCTGTACAAGGAATGTGAACTATGTTAAAATAATGGGGACATTCTTGTGAAGACAAACGGCAGCTGCTAAAGAGACTTCAAACTTTGTATGGCACTTTATGCTTTTATTGCTCTTTTATTCTTATACCACTCCAAGGGAAGTAAAACCACTACTGTAACTACTTATTTTTTCCCTTCTAGTTCTAGGATTGAACCCAAGGCCCTGAGCTAGGCAAGTGCTCTACCACTGAGCTAAGTCCCCAGCCATTGTTTTTTTTAAGACAGGGTCTCACTATGTAGTCCAGGCTTGTCTCAAACCCTCAATCCTTCTTCCTATATGTCCTAAGTGATGGGATTACAGGCCTGTGGCACCAACCCTGGCTTGTCATTCCTATTTCAAGAATCAGAGGCAGAGCTGCTCGGAGGAAAAGATAATTAGTCCAGGACCACACAGCATGTTAGGGAGAATACTGGACCTGAACTATGTTCAGGCTTTGTTTGCAACAAGCTGTATGGTATACTAATCATTTATTTAAAAAATTAACTTCTCCTCTGACCTTGAAATGTGTCAGAATGAAGTATCTATAAAAAAATTACCTCAAATAAAAATTCAACTTTGATATTTACTATACTTAGTAACCTGATTCTTAGTAAATGAGCAATCCATACCAACTACTATTTGTCAAATAGACATAAATAAATAAGACATATAAGTCTCTCAAAAGGAACTAAATAACAATAAATCAGAGTTGTTTTTTTTTTTTTTTTTTTTTTTTTTTTTTTTTTTGCAATGGGGTTTTGCTATGTTGTCCAGGCTGGTATCAAACTCCTAGACTCAAGAGATCCACCTGGCTCAGATTCCCCATAGCTGAGACTATATGTGCATGCCACCAAGCCCGGCTAAATCTTTTTGGAGCTACTGGGGATTGAACTGAGTCTTGAGCTTCCTAGATAGGTGCTCTACTGCTTGAGCCAGGCCCCCAGCCCTCAAATCATGTCTAAACACCATACCTTCAAACCCCAGCAGCACAGCAACTAAGAGATAGCATAGATAAATGGGACCTCATAAAACTAAAAAGCTTCTGTGCATCAAAAGAAATGGTCTCTAAATTGAAGAGAACACCCACAGAGTGGGAGAAAATATTTACCAGCTACACATCAGACAAAGGACTGATAACCAGAATATATAGGGAACTTAAAAAACTAAATTCTCCCAAAACTAATGAACCAATAAAGAAATGGGCAAGTGAACTAAACAGAACTTTCTCAAAAGAAGAAATTCAAATGGCCAAAAAAACACACGAAAAAATGCTCACCATCTCTATCAATAAAGGAAATGCAAATTAAAACCACACGAAGATTCCACCTTACCCCTGTTAGAATAGCCATCATCAGCAACACCACCAACAACAGGTGTTGGCAAGGATTCGGGGAAAAAGGAACCCTCTTACACTGCTGGTGGGAATGTAAACTAGTACAACCACTCTGGAAAAAAATTTGGAGGCTACTTAAAAAGCTAAACATTGATCTACCATTTGATCCAGCAATACCACTCTTGGGGATATACCCAAAAGACTGTGACACAGGTTACTCCAGAGGCACCTGCACACCCATGTTTATTGCGGCACTATTCACAATAGCCAAGTTATGGAAACAGCCAAGATGCCCCACCACCGACGAATGGATTAAGAAAATGTGGTATCTATACACAATGGAATTTTATGCAGCTATGAAGAAGAACGAAATGTTATCATTCGCTGGTAAATGGAGGGAATTGGAGAACATCATTCTGAGTGAGGTTAGCCTGGCCTAAAAGACCAAAAATCGTATGTTCTCCCTCATATGCGGACATTAGATCAAGGGCAAACACAACAAGGGGACTGTACTTTGATCACATGATAAAAGCGAGAGCACACAAGGGAGGGGTGAGGATAGGTAAGACACCTAAAAAACTAGCTAGCTTTGTTGCCCTTAACGCAGAGAAACTAAAGCAGATACCTTAAAAGCAACTGAGGCCAATAGGAGAAGGGGACCAGGAACTAGAGAAAAGGTTAGATCAATAAGAATTAACCTAGAAGGTAACACACACGCACAGGAAATTAATGTGAGTCAACTCCCTGTATAGTTATCCTTATCTCAACCAGCAAAAACCCTTGTTCCTTCCTATTATTGCTTATACTCTCTACAACAAAATTAGAGATAAGGGCAAAATAGTTTCTGCTGGGTATTGAGGGGGTGTGGGGGAGAGGGAGGGGGCAGAGTGGGTGGTAAGGGAGGGGGTGGGGGCAGGGGGGAGAAATGACCCAAGCCTAGTATGCACATATGAATAATAAAATAATAAAATAATAAATAAATAAATAAATAAAAACCATACCTTCATACAATCTGTTTCCGTTACGCCCTTAATCAGGATTTTCTTAATTGCGTAATGCTGACCATCTAACTTATTCCTGACCTAAAAAGCAAAGACAAGGTATTAAGTTCCATTACATGCCAACTCAATAAAGACATTCTTCTAATTGAGCTTAGATAAGGCAAACTAGTCAAACAGATCAAATTAAGCTAAAGCCACGTCTCCTCCCTCCTGGGCTCTTGAAGTCAGCCAGAGTCTGCTCTGAAAACTGTACTAAGTCTGACTCCCAGAGACTCAAAGTCGGAAGAATGGGAAAATCAGCAAAACTACTAAGCACCGAAACATAGCAGCACAACTTGCTTTAATAACACTTTTCCCCCAACCCTAATATCGGTGTCCTCTCCTCTGGCAACACATTTTTAACAAGAATGAGCTACAGAACAAAAATGCAGAGTTTCCAGAATCCACCTCAACAATGAATATGGTCAGGGAAAATTAAGACCTGCCCCGTTTCCTATAAAGGATAAACACTAAGGAGAAATGCACATGACTTCTCAGAAGCTCAGAACACTCAATGACACAGTAATAACACCCACGACTTCTCAGTAACCATGAAAACAAGTAAGCAGAAACAACCTTGTAGACTCTCCCATATCCACCTTTTCCTAGGATGGCAAGCTCTTCAAATTCGTTCAAGTAGCGGGAAGTCTGGGCTTCAAAGGCGACCTCTCTGTATCTAAAAGTGAAACACAAACAGGACAGTTCATACCCAGTGCAGCATGGTCCTGCTCAACTTCACTTATCACTAAACTGCGATCATTTGGAAAGAATGAGCTACAGTGAAAATTTTCACTCTCTGGCAAAAATGTTGGCTAAGGAAATCGAGAATGTTTAAAAAAAAAAGAGGGGGAGGGAGATAAAGCAGAATGAGGGGGTGAATTCAACTATGATACACTGCAATAACTTTTGTAATGTCAGAACGTACTCCCAGTACAATAATTAAAAAAAAAAATGATGATGCACACCTGTAATCCCAGCACTTGGGAAGTGGAAGCAGGAGGACTGAGTTTGAGGCCAGCCTAAACTAAAGTGGGAGGCCCTGCCTCAAAAAAAAAAGTAGCAAATATAGCTGAGGGGGGGGCTATATTTCAGCTGGGGAATTAATTTCAGGTGCTTAACCAATCACAAAAATTCTGATTAGAAATTATCACCCATGTGTCACAGCACAAATACTAAGGAAAACGAGGTGGCAGCTGACTAGGTTAGTTCAGTAATAAATTGACATAAATTTCTTAATACTGCAGACCCATTATACACATTAAACATTTTGTAAATACAGCCAAAAGCCAATGGTCTTTCCCTAAACCAGACTCTAGCAATAGCCTGAACTAAGGCAGGGCTTATGGAATCCACACTCAGTAGGTGACAGGAAGAAAATAAGAAGCAAATTTGGAGCAGTACTAAGTGCCAAAAGCAAAGCTTTAAATTTTCACTATCAACATTATTCTTTAACCCCCAAATTAGTATTTTTCTCTCTTTTTTGGTGGTTCTGGGAATTGAACTCAGGGTCTTGTGCTTGCCAGACAGGCCCGCTACACTTGAGTTATACCCTCAGCCCTTTTTGCTTTCATCATTTTTCAGAACAGGGTCCCATTTATGCCTGAGTCAGCCTGAACTGCAATCCTCCTGTTTATACTTCCCAAGTAGCTGGGATGACAGGCAAGTATGCCACCATGTCTAGCTTTTATTGGTGGAGATGGGGTCCTCAAACTTTTTGCCTGGGCTGGCATCGATTCTAGATCCTCCCAATCTCTTCTTCCTGAGTACCTAGGATTATAGGTGTTAAATCACCCTGCCCAGCCAAAACTAGTATCTTCTTAATCAGTTTTTTTTTTTAATTTTTTTGGTGGGACTGGGCCTTGAACTCAGGGCTTCACACTTGCAAAGCAGGCGCTCTACTGCTTGAGCCACACCTCCAGTCCATTTTGCTCTGGTTATTTTGAAGATGCAGTCTTGACAACTATTTGTCCAGGCTGGCCTCAAACTGAGATCCTCCCAATCTCAGCCTCCCAAGTAGCTAGGATTACAGGCACGAGCCACTGGCGCCCAGCTCTTAATCATTTCTCTTACATACAGTTCAGTCTTTGTATAATGAAAAAAGTACTTAGCACATACCTGATTTTCTGCATGTAAGAATTATCCTCACAAGGATCCTAAAACCAAAATATTATTTTTAAAAACTATTCAAAAAGCTGCATAAGTAAGAATCTACCAAAATACAATAGCACATTAACTGCTACAATGCTTAAATAACTAAAAACATACAAAAACAGTATTTCTAATATTACTTAAGAGTCAACAAGTGAAAATAATTCTTTCCTTGTCTTTACTAGTGTCTATTAACTATACAAAGGGTGTCACTGTGATATTCCCATATATGCATGTAATGTTCCTTGATCAAGTTCACTGCTTCTACTACGCTTCCTTATCAAACAATTTTTAATGGATTTCATTATTCTGTTTCCCACATGTGAATGAAGCACTTGGATGATATCCTTTACTCTCTTCTGTCCTCTCACAACTGAAAATGTTCCACAGCTGACAGTTTATTTGCCAAGCAGCTCAGTGAGACCTGTAGCTTCACTTCAAAGTCTATGCAGCAACTGACCACTGAGCTGGTCCCCACAGCCACCAACCCATTCTAAGCCACATCAGCTCATGTGTTCAGGACTGCACCTGCCTCCCTCTTCTGTCCTGGGCCCTCAATCTATTCTGTACACAGTAGTGAGCACAAAGCCAGTAAACCATACATTAGAAGGTATCTTGAGTCACTTCTACACTCAAAGTCCTTTGTACCTTACTCTGAGTACAGCTAAGCATGTTACAATGGTCTTGAGATCCTGTTCTACACCCACGCATGGCTTAAGTGGTAGAGCACCTGCCTAGCAAGCACAAGGCCCTGAGCTCAAACTCCAGTACTGAAAAAAAAAAAAAAGATCCTGCTCTACCTGTCCTCTCTCCCCACGCCCTCCTCCCCACTCCCTGTCCTAAACTCACCACTGCACCAGCACACTCCCAGCAGCATTCGCACCACAGGGCCCTTGCACTTATTGCTCCTCTGCATTTCCTGCACACACATGCACGGCTCATTCTCACCTTCTCCTCCTGACTTTGACAGACTTTTCACTGAGGCCCTCCTGGTGCCCTTTGTGTATTTGAAAGCCCTACACTGACTCATGACTCTCCTTCATGTTGTTACCACCTGCGTTTTTCCTGGTGGTCAATGCCCAGTGAAGGCAGGGATTTTCATCACTTTCTTCGAGATTTTTAACCCAGCACCTCCAAAAAGAGCCTAACAGAAGTATTAGTAACATAGAAATCATTGAATAAATATTGCTGAATAAACAAAGTTTATATACTTTTTTGTTTTTTTAGTTTTTGAGACATGATCTTGTTATATAGAACAGGCTTGGCCTCGAACTCACAGTTCTCCTGCCTCTGCCACTCAAGTGCTGGGATTCAAAGGATGTATTGTGATGCCCAGCCTAAAGTTTATATTTTCAAAAAACCTATTATAAGAATTTAGTAGTGCTTTAAAAAACAGTTTTGGGTTTGTTTTGTTTTCAGTGCTGGGGATTGAACTCAAGCACACTGGCACGCTAGTTAAGTGTTCCATCATATACTGAATTATATACTCAGCAAACATACAGTTCCTTGAAGTTAAAATCTACTTTTGCCATGCAGAAAGTATACCTGTTAGGGCTTACCTGACGAACTCTTTCTTTGGCAGACTTCATTAAATGAGTAATAGCTCTGTTGTGATGAAGTCTCAATGAGCTAAACTCACCACTGCAGGTGAAAGATGACAGCAGTCCCATCTTGATAAAGGTCTGACAAAGTACTATAAAATATATAGAAAGCCATTATCAGAAAGACCAATGATCAAATGGCAATTTTAAGGAGTACCCTGAGAACAAAGAGTAGCGGCAGCATATGCATACCGAACCTCCGTGAGAGACAAGTTGGATTTCTGTGCACTTTAACCTCGCAACTGATTCTGTACAAGAGGAGGAGGAACAGGCACACATGCGGATCAGAAGCACGTCTGTAACAGTATCTATCTTGTACTGCACAGTCGCTTGCTGACCATACCTAGTCACAAGACTCAGCTCTTTTTTTTAAAAGAGGTAAGAAAAAAACAAACACAAACTTCTGACATTTCACACACTACTTTGCTAACAAGCAGTATGACAGTAAAGGCAGAAGCGGAAGCACATGGTAAGAAGTAAGGATAAGATGAATACTGTTCTTTTTTCTGTGGAGTATCTTTGGCCAATGTACAGACAGCACATGTCACATGGGTACACAGAATGAATATTGTATATACCAGGCTCCTCAGAAAAAGATGTTTCCACTCATTCAAGAAATACAGATAAAGCCGGCCATGATGGTGCACACATGTAATCCCAGCTACACAGGAGGCATAAATAAAAGAATCATGGTCCCAGGCTGGTCCCATTCAAAAAAACACAAGACCCTATCCAAAAAATAACTAAAGAATAAAGGCTAAAGGTGTGACTTAAGTGGTAAAGCACACAGTTGAAAGCCCTGAGTTCAAGCCCCAGTACTACCAGAAAGAAAGGAAAGGAAGAAAGGAATATAGATAGGGGCTGGGGCTGGGGCTCAGTGGTACAGAGCTTGCCTAGCATGCACAAGGACCTGGGTTTAATCCCAGCACCATCAAAAGAAAAAAACCAAACAACAAAATACTTAGAGGACATTCTTCCCATACTAAAAACTAAAACATGCTGGGTATGGTGGCTCACACCTGTAATTCCAGCAGCACGGGTGGTGGAGATCAGTAGGACTGCAGTTAGAGGACAGCCAGGCAAAAAGTTCTTGAGACCCCCATCTCAACCCATGGCTGGGTGTGGTAGCACACACCTGTCTGTCATCCTCAGCTATTCAGGGTAGCACAATTAGGAGGATCGAAATCCAGGTCAGTCCAAGCATAAAGCAAGACCCTATCTCAAAAATAACCAAAACAAAAGGTCTGGGGACATGGCTCAGATGGTAGAGCACCAAGCATAGTACCACAAAAAAACACTCCAATTAGATGATAAATTAACTGAATTACACCAAGAAACATTTATTAAGACCTCTTACTCTAATTTATAGAATGAGATGTTGCCCAATTCTAGAATCATAAAACAGAGCCAATGAGGACCTGGTTTCTTAAAAATAAATAAACAAGTGTGTCCTGTTTTAAAGTTCAGTCATTTAAAAAGGAAATTCAAAATTATCTTAATTTAGGCACACTGGCATACACCTGTAATTCTAGCACTTGGGAGGAGAGGCAGAAAGATCAGGAGTTCAAAGCCAGCCTGGTCTACACAGCAAGACCTTATTTCAAAAAAAAAACCACCTATCTTAAAATCACGCTGGAGGAGAAGAGGGATTGTAGGTCAGTAACAGAGTGCTTTCTCAGCAAGCACAAGGTCCTGAGTTTGCTCCCCAGCAAACTCACACACATGCATGCACACATCAGAAGAGCCACAGACTTGCTTTAGCTATGAGCAAGATTATTGCAGGAGAACTACAATCTGCTCCTCTGCACCTTGACCCTAATGCAACAGTCCCTAGGTACCAGAGCTTTGGAACCTCAGGGACACTCTTCCTAGAGCCCTCACCCCCTATGTGCCTCTGTTCAGAATATACGGCAAAGCAGGTGCTCTACCGCTTCAGCCACACCTCTAGTCCACTTTGCTCTGGTTATTTGGAGATAGGGTCTCGAGAACTATTTGCCCAGACTGGCCTTGAATCCTGGTCCTCCTGATCTTAGCCTTCCAAGTAGGTGGGATTGCACTCATAAGCCACTGACAAAGATTTGCTCTATTCAATAAAATTAAAGTTGGTACACACTGTAATTTATTTTTTTACCATTTTACATGTCCTATCAAGTTTACCAATGTGATAATGTATCTTCAACTAAACCATATTAAGTTTTAAGACTACAAAAAGGTATATATAAGCTTAAGCATTTTTGGGGCAGGGGGGAATTGTGAACTCAGAGCCTCACGCATGCTAGTCAGGCATTCTACCACTTGAGCTAATCCCCAGCACAAGCTTGAGCATTTCTAGTACCAAACAAGACTTAAGAAAGACTGTTTTGGTAGAAAAGAGCCTCAGAATCTGAGGCTAAAGATGTTAAAGTGGCCACAGCAGAACCGTCACAACCTGTACTTCTGCTCCACGTTGGGTCCAGGCACAGGGGCAACCTAAACACGTTCACCAACACAGGTGAACAGCTGTTCTAGTTCTCTGCTCCCAAACTGGCTCAGAAGAAGCACACATGGTTTTTACCTGCTCACCCACTAGACCACAACCATCTTCCAAAATCATATGGCTATCCTGTTGTAGATGTGATATAAAACCATCCTTTTATTCATTTGGTTACATGTTATTTGGGGGTTCCAGTGAGTACATTCATAAGGAAATTACCCAAAGGGAAACATGAAACGAACTGAGGGAATATGGATTATTCACACTTAGTTTGTCCCCAGTTTTTATATACCAGCTGCTGCTCAGACCAGGGCATTCCACAGTACAGCATTTTCACAAAGCTGATTTACTCTTACTCACATTCAAACACCTGCTTTGAACGAAGTGGATTCGGCTCGTGCACATGGCTCAGGTGCTCCAGCAAAGAGACCAGCAGAAGTTGGTTTGCAACTACAAAGGGGAAAGTTGGCTGTTGGAGGGGTTCTTTTAACACTTGGAGCTCCGTTAGAACATCAGATTCTAAAAATTAAAAAAGGGAAAAAATTATTGGTAAACATAGCTCCTAATGACAAAATGCACATTCTAGTGACTGAAACACAAATCATTTAACTTAGAGTGATAAAAAGCAAGAGAAGTTATGCTGGCTGAGTTAAGCTAAGAAAGGCTTTCTAGAAGTGAGTTTGTGCTGAATTCTGGGAGCTGGGGACCAGTAGCAAGATGCCATAAGGCAGGGAGAACGGTTTTGGTAGCCATGAGGTGTGCACCAGGAGAAATAAACAAATGAGCTCACTGTAAAGCAAACAAGCTAGCAAGTGGGAACAGGATGGCCTCCTTTCCCTGAGCAAGGCTGGCAAAATGAAGGAGGGGTAGAAACTACTCTGAATACAAGCTACCTTTGGATCAGGTGTAACACGCACACCACCTCCTTAATCCTCCCAAAACAGTTTAAAAGGCATTGCCAGCCCCACTGTCCCGGTAAGAACACTGATTTCAGAGAGATTAAGGAAGCAGCACGTCAGACAGAGCAGAATGACGTCCAAGCCATTCTTTCCACTACACAACACCAGCCACATGGAAGAGCTGGTTCTCAAAGTGAAAGGTCCTGAGCTCTCATGTGGAGTTTATTTAACACACTCCTGAACAGGTGAAAAAAAAAAAAAACAAAAAACATAATGAAATACAATGTTTGAGGCAAATGTTCTAGAAACATGGCATCCTGGAAGGAGGCATAAGGTAAGTTACAGAAAAATGGAGGAAGGAACAGGTCCTAGAGTTACCAAAAAAGAAATGGGCCAGCCAGGATTCAAACATCAGAACAGGGCTGGACATGGTGGTTCATGCCTATAATCCCAGCACTCCGGGGGCTGAAGCAGGAGTTTGAGACCAGCCTGGGCTACACAGCAAGACTTTGCCTCAAAAACAAACAAAGCAACTCACTAGGAACAGAGGGTGTGAGTTTGATCAAAGTACATTATATGCATATATGAAAATATATAATGAACCAACCCACTTTATACAATCAATACACGCTAATAAAAAAAGGAATAATACCCACTAGGATAGGAGGACAGAGGTGTTAATGAGTGTGAGAAACGGTTAAAAGGGGCTGTCAGGAAAGGAAAGTGGAGCCAAGTTAACTCTCAAGAGCTGGAGACCCACTCAATTAGAAACATCCTGCAGAGAGAGGATGTCTCCTGTTCTTGGAAAACCAGTCCATTTCACAGTCCCCTATCAACTAAAGGTCCTGAAACTGCCAGCATTTTCAAACCCAGCCTTCACTTGTCCAGTTTCTCTCTGACCTACAGATGGGCCAAGAAAGAAAAACCTTCCTGATCCTCATGTATACAGATGTGCTATTCATCTTAAATAAATACTTGAGTATAGAATGAAAATGTGGCCATGTAAAACCTTCTGTGTAAAGACATCTTAAAAGAGTTACAGATGCAGATATAATACTATACATAACAAGAAATCAAATTTACATAGCTCTGATGAGCCAATTAGAAAATGAACCAGTACTGATTCAAGTAGGTTTGCCAGAACCAGTACTTAGTGGCACACATATTAAATGAGGCACTCCAGTCTGCCCATCAGCTTGGCAGCTATTTAAAACCTGGAACACTTGGTGTCGTCAGGGCACAGAAGAACAGATGTGTTCAAACACAAGAGGAAGAAAAGTGTTTACGACCTTTCACCAGATGCTGGAGAAATAAAAATAAGCAAACCTTCAACTCACGAGTTCTGCTTCTGGAAATGTTCACTAAGAAAATAATTAAACAAAGCACAACAACGTATGTGTACAAGATATTCAGCTTAATACTGAAAATTGGGGGGAAAAAGAATATTGAGACTAGTGTTTTCTTGGCACATACATTACCACTCACCGAATTAGACTTCTAGAGCTCCACCAAGGAGAAAGGGGTAAACAGACAGGAGTTAGGCTAATTCAGTCTCCTGGGGAAAGTAGGTTCAGAAGGGTCCATTATTAACTGGAGGATTAATCTGATACAACAATTTTGAGAAACTGGTAATGGGTGAAAGAAGAAAACTAATGAACCTGACAATGGCTGGCTGTTGGCCTACTTCTAATTCCTGCTGCTCCACAGAAACCATATGGAAGAATTCCACAATGAATTACGAAAACTACACCTAAGGTTTGAATTTGCTGATTCACCAATTCACCGGCAGAGTGACCTCCTCAAATCACACAGACCACCTGGGGAAAATCATTTAACGATCTTGTTTTTATAACTATTAAAAATGGGATTACAGGACTAGAGGCGTGGCTCAAGTTGCTACAGCACCTGCCTAGCCAGCACAAGGCCATGAGTTCAGATCCCACACCACAAGAAAAGAAAAAGGACTGAAATTCAGTTTTCACAAACCTTTCCACATAAAAAATAACACTGTGTCTGGGCATGCTAAGCCTCTTTGGAAGAAATGGCCATATATAAATATGCAGAAAAGTATTATCAGTGACTCATAAGAAAATTTTTAAAAACTTATCCAAGATCACTCCCTTCAAAAATAATCTTTGGTTTGCAGAAACTCTTATCACAATGTGGCAGAAAGACTGACTTGCTTGTTTACAGCCAGGACCTTTCCTATGACATAACACTTTGCACACTATTGAGCTGCTGGAATGTATCATCTGATATGTGGGGAAAATCTGTATAGCTATTAAAAAATAGTTGTCTTACAGTTTTCCTTGGTAAAAACCGACCTGCATTATCACCATGGGCTGTTTTGTTTCTGCTTGTGGTCATGTTTTTGGAAGAACCATTCATCTCCTTTGCACCTTTAAATTATAATAATCTGTGCATCAAATGAATGTGTATCCTATGTAATCATTCTACTGGCACCTCTATATAGTTAAAAACTCCTTGAATAATGTATTCATTCTTTTTGTAGTTTTTGTTGTTCCTGGGGATTTGAACCCAAGGACCCAGGACCTCACTGAGCTACAGCCCCAGCCTCTATCTGTGTGTCTGTTTGTTTGTGGTACTGAGAACTGAACTCAGGACTTGCTAGGCAAGCACTGTACCACTTGAGCCATGGTCTCCAGTCCTCTATATATTCTGATAGCACAATTTAGTTTTTAAAACTGCCAAAACAGCAGAGTGGCAGTGGCTCACACCTACAGTCCTAGCTACTTGGGGAAGCTGAGATCGGGAGGATCCTTGTTCCAGGTCAGCCTGGGCAAACAGTTCAAAGACCCCTATCTCCAAATTAACCAAAGCAAAATGAACTGGGTGTGTGATTCAAGCAGTGGAGCACCTGCTTTGCAGGTGTGACGCTTGAGTTCAAAATCCCAGTCCCCACCCCACCCCAAAAAAGCCAAAACAAGTAGTAGCAACTAACGATCCTACTGCACTTTCAGTGAAATAATCTTGGACACGTTGACCTGGGTAGAGTCAGTATTTTAAAGTCCTCTCACTTTAGGCTGAAGAACTTGACTTAGCTAACTCCTAGGAACCAAAGGCCTCAAGAATACTCGGGCATTTCCCACGCTGCCTCGCTTCTAGACCTCATTAGCTATCAACAAAGCGACAGAGAGGAGCGGCCACAAGTTTCAACTCTTAGCCCCAAATGCTCGGCGTAGGGAGTCTGCAAGGTGCCATTCGATCCTAGGGAACAAAGACCACTGTCGATGACTGACAGGGCCTGGGCGCTGGACTGTGGCCTCGGGAAGTCCTTCGCTCAAGGCCTCAGTCTTAGGCACAGAAAAAAATGTAAATAAATGAGAAGGTAGCAGACGCTCTGCCGGCCAATATTTACCTTACCCTGACGGCCCACACGCCACTTCCCGGTTCACTGCACCGCTGGCCACGGGTTCGAGTTCGGGTGCGGCAGAATCAGCCCAGGTCCCAAAGCGAACCTGACACCGCGCGGGTACGGAGGTTGACGGGGGACAGTGGGGGCCACGCGCAAATTCGGCGTCACTTACCATCATACTTGGGATCCGTGCCTTCCGCCGGGAAGTCGATGGCGGGCGGCGCCGCCACAGCCCCCACAACGTCGCCGTCTGCTTGGCGCTCCGCGTCCTCCGAGCCACCCTCCAGCATCGCCGGCCGCTTGCTGGGCCGGAGCCCAGCCCACCGGCTCGCTCAGCAACACACTACGCTGAACCCTCCCCGACTGCCGCCCCACCGAAGTAGCGCCTGGCCGGGCGGAAGTCCCGCCGCAGGCGCTCAAGCGCCGCCGGATGGGCAGGCCCAGCGCAAGCCCCGCCCCTTCCTGGAGGGGAGGTGGAGAAGCAGCGAGGCTGGTCCCGCGTGGGCTCACCTAAGACGCGTGTGTCTGGTGCAGTTGTCCTCGCTTGCTTTGCGTCCCGCGGGGCGTGGAGGGCGAGGGCGCCGGCAGCGCCGGGTTCCCGCCCTGGTCGCCCGGGCGGACCTTGGCCTCATCCTTTACCGCCCTTCGGAACTGCCCTGCTTATCTGCAGATGAGCAGTGACGCTTACATCTTGCCAAGTCTGGGATGTCAGTGTAGACGTCAGGTGTCCCCACAGACTATAAGAAATGTTGACCTTTTGCAAATACAGGCATTGATTTTTTTTTTCTTTTTTTTGGCAGTGCTGGAGTTTGAACCCAGGGCCTTGACCTTGTGAGGCAGGTGCTCTTCCGGTTGAGTCACACCTCCAATGCAATTGACTCTTAGACATATATATGTTTTTTTGTTGTTGTTGTTCGGTACTGGGGTTTGAATTTAGGGCCTACACCTTGAGCCACTCCACCAGCCCTGTTTTTGTGATGGGTTTCTGGAGATAGGGTCTCATTAACTGTTTGCCCAGGCTGGCCTCTAAACCGCTATCTTCCTGATCTTTGCCTCCTGAGTAGCTAGGATTACAGATGTGAGTCACTGGCCCCTGACACTGTCATTTGCTTTTAAAAATAAAAAGCTTTTCTCTGAGAGCTGAATTTACTTCGTTCAAGCATTAAACAACAACGAAATGGGAAATGCCAACTAGATTCCAGGATGAATTCAAACTTACAGAAATTCGGCTGGTTTTGAGACTGACTTTACAATTATCATGTTTTCAAACTAGAGCTTTTCCAATGTGATCCCCACAGTCCACCCTGGATCAACTGTGTTTTGAAACCCTCAGCTTCAAAAATCCATCTTATTTGTCTTCTGGAAGTGGCCCTGATGACTTCATCCTGGACACAATGCTGTGGAAATAATCCTTAAAGGATCACAGAGAATATAATATAGCTGGGATAAAAAAAATCTGTACAGTTTTGGAACTCAAACTCCACAAAAATTTAGACATATGTTCCATATAGCATCACCCCAGATGCCTTCAGCCTGATCCAGACAATTAAGGATGCAGTTCTCTAGATCCTTCGAAGGATGACCCTTCATGCCTTCCTGATGTTCTGGGAGAACACAGACTTCATGGAGAGTGATTTAATTACCCACAGCTTTAAAAATACAAATGTTTTTGAGCTTGGGGAGTGGCTCAAGGGGTAGAGTATTTGCTTACCAATCCTAAACCCAGGGTTCAATCTCCAGTAAGACAAAAACAAAATGAGGGCTAAGGATATAGGAGAGCACTTGGTCTACTTGTGTAATGCCATGACTGCAAACCAAACCAAACCAAAAAAGCAAGTATATTTGACTCAGCTATTCCACTTTCAGGAACAGGCTCTATAATCCTAGCTACTCAGGAGGCTGAGATCAGAAAGGTCATGGTGCTAGGCCAGCCTAGGTAAATAGTTCACGAGAACTTGTCTCCAAAATAATCAAAGCAAAATGAACTGGAGGTGTGGCTCAGGCAGTTAGAGTGCCTGCTTTGCAAGTGTGAAGCCCTGAGTTTAAACCCAGTCCCACAAAAAAAAAAAAAAAAGTTAGGAATGAGCAAAAATATATTGCTTAAAAAGATTAGCTGGGTGCCAGTGGTTGGCACCTGTAATCCTACTCAGAAGGCAGAGATCTGGAGGATCAACATTCAAAGCCAGCCTGGGGTAATAGTTCATGAGACCCTATCTCAAAAATACCCAATACAAAAAAGGGCTGGTGGAGTGGCTCAAGTGGTAAGAGCACCTGCCTAGCAAGTGTGAGGCCCTGAGTTCAAGCGCCAGTACCACCAGAAAAAAAAAAAAAGCTGGATGTGGTAGTGTACATCTCTAATCCCAGCCCTCTGGAAGAAACAGGAGGATTGTGAGTTTGAGGCCAGCCTGAAGTACACGGGGAGACTCTCAAAATAACACAAAGGCTATTAATTATAGTACTGGTTAAGATTTCTACACAAGATGACAATATATTTGGCTAGAGAAATTATGTACGGGGCTGGAGGTGTGGCTAACACACATGAGGCCCTTAGTTCCCACCACAGCACTAAAGGCAAAAAAAGAAAAAATGCCTCATTATGTGTTCTGGGTTTCTTTTTTTTAATTTTGAAAAAAATCCTGGTGTGCAATATCTTCACCATCACTGGAAAGACTCAGTAATTACTCAGAGTATGCAATAAAGGCACCTCATTGAAGTGAGTATATAAGCAAAATCCAACTTTGCAGAACACAATGTGGGACTTATCCTAAAAGCTTTTAAATAGGCTTCCCCTTTCACTTACGTACAGAATCATATCCAAAGGAAATAACCAAACTGGCAAGTAAAGATAAATCTATGAGAATGTTTATCAAAGGATAGGTTGTTGATGTACTAGGATTACAGTAACTCATGCCTGTAATCCTCGATACTTGGGAGGCAGAGATCTGGAGGTTCGAGGTTCAAGGCCAGCCAGGGCAAAAAGTTCTGAAGACCCCATGGCTGGGCATGTTGGTGTGCATCTGTCACCCCAGTTGCGCAGGGAAGCACAAACAGGAGGATCCTGTTCAGGCTGGCCCAGGCACCCAGCAAGACACTAGCTAAAAAAAAAAAAAGATTAATTTGGTGCTTTTGAATGAAATCAAATGGTTGACAAAGGTTCTTTCCTTGGCCTATTGCTAGTGAGGCTCATCTGAAGTTTTTTCTCAACTAGGCTGATTTTTTGGCCTTCCATGTTTATGTCTGTGATAGCTAAATTTTAGTAAGAATCCTGAGTGGAGCTGGGACATCTATAGTCCCAACAGGAGGGTCACTTGAGCCCAGAAGTTCAAGCCAGGGTCAAAAAAAAAAAGGACTAGGGAATGCATGAATCAAATGGTATAAAATTTGTCTAGCAAGCTTCAGGCACTGAGTTCAACCCCCAGTACCACAAAAAAAAAATTCCAGCATGGTGATACACACCTATAATCCTAGCTACTTAGGAAGTGGAGACAGGAGAATCAATGTTCAAGGCCAGCTCACGCAAAAATTAGCCAGATCCCATTTCAACAAACAAGCCAGGCATGATAGTACCTGTCCATAATCCCAGCTACTCAGGAGACACAGGTAGGATAATTGGAGTCCCAGGGCAGCCTAGGCAGCAGTGCAAGACCCTATCTCAAAAACAAGCCAAAAGGGCTGGGGAAGTGATTCACGTAGTAAAGTGCCTACCTAGCAAGCATGAGACCCTGAGTTCAAACCCCAGTGCCACAAAAATAAAAGATAAGGTCTGGGGAGTGGTTCAAGTAGTAGAGCACCTGCCTAGCAAGTGTGAGGACCTGAGTTCAAACCCCAGTACCACAGGAAGGAAGGGAGGAAAGGAGGAAGGGAGGGAGGAAACTCTTGTAGCCAGAATCTCCCATCCTTAATATGTGATAGCCCTCCATATCTGATCTGGTTCCTTCTCCTCAGACCGGTGATGTCTAATTATCCAGCCTGCCTTCAGCAAGAATCCTGTTAGGCCAGTTTACAGAAATATCCCTAACCCTTGGCCTTTCCTCCTAGCAATGTTCTATCCCGTGGCACCCCACCTCTTGGCTATAAATTCTTAATCTTCCTTGTTGTCTTCAGAGAATCTGACCTCTTCTACTACGAAATGCCACTGTCCTCCCCTAGCCCCCTTGAAGAAAGTCATGCTTACTCATCAGATGAGGTGGTGCACCTGTCAACCCAGCACAGGGAGGTGAGGCAGGATGACCTTGAGTTCAAGCCAGCCTGGACTGCACAGTGAGATCCTTGTCTCAAAAAACAAATGAATAGGGCTGATGGAGTGGTTCAAGTGGTAGAGCAGCTGCCTAGAAAGGTGAGGCCCTGAGTTCAAACCCCAGTACTGCCAAAAATACAAAATGAATAAATTTTAAAAATTTAAATGTCATTCCTACTATCTTTAACAAGTACCATGAATATTTGTGCATACCCAAGATCCAGTAATCCCCTCTAAACTGTCTTTAGCCAACTTTATATGTGCCCAAGGAGATGTGTATGATGTTTATTGCAGGATTGCCTGCAGTAAATTTAGAAATGGCTTTAATATACAACAGTAGAGAGGGGATAAGTAAACATATTATGAATGCAAATGAATATTATAGAACAGTTAGAATGAATCAACCAATTCATATATATCATCAGGAACATTGTATCAACACAGTGAAAACTTACATGACAGAGGCAATTGGTTGTCTTTTTCTTTTTCTTTTTTTACCCCGGTACTGGGGATTGAACCCAGGGCCTCACACATGTAAGGCAAGCTCTTTACCACTTGCGCCATGCACCCAGCTCTCTTGTATTTCATTTTATAGACAATGTCTGGCTAACTTTGCCCAGGCTGGCCTGGAACACATTGATCCTGGTGCCTCTCCATCCTGGGTAGCTCAGATTACAGGAGTGTCACCACACTGGTCCTCACTCTCAGAAAGCAGTTGTAGTAAGAATGATTGCTAATGCTTTCTGAGCACTGTCAGCCCCACTTGCCCACCTTGTGCTAAGTTTTTTTTGTTTTTGCAAGTATTAACTCATTCACTTCTCACAACAAACATACTATCTGAATGCTATGATTATCTCATTGTATGGATGAGAACATACAAGCAAACAGAATTTGTTAAACACCTGGCCCACCAGGCGCCGGTGGCTCACACCTATAATCCTAGCTATTCAGAAGGCAGAGATCAGGAGGATCAAGGATGAAGGCCAGGCTGAGCAAATAGTCTGTGAGACCTCCATCTTGAAAAAAAAAAAACCCATCACACAAAAAAGGGCGGCAGAGTGGCTCAAATGGTAGAGCGCCTGCCTAGCAAGTGAGACCCTGAGTTCAAACCCCAGTACTGGAAAAAAAATTTTTTTTAATAAATA